ATTTCTAAGACTTGTCCAGAATCTGTGTTCTCAGCAATGAACGCATTGAGGTGGATTGATTTCATGCCCACAGCAAGACGATCATTTTTGTTTAGAATTCCGACCAATGCATCTTCATTGCTCTCAAAGCTTGGCTGACATCTAACTCCACACCCAGAGCTGTCTGCTAAAGTTCGGAGCCTGTGAACAGCCTCCCTTCCCCTGTGGTCCCTGGTTCCTGACACTGATGTGCTGCCTCAGGACGCTGGTAGATTGTGTTTGTTGCACACACAGGCTTCAGATGATTGATTGCTCTGCTGTCAGCCTGCTTGAGCATTGCAATTAATTAGCGCTCAGGAACTTTCAGTCTCATGGGCTCGACTTCTCTTATTTGACAACTCGCTACTTGTGATTCTGAGTCAATTCGGGTGTTTCATTCCTCTGAACGACTCCATTCCACTGCAGTGTTTCTGCAGCATAAAAACCTTGAAACTTTATTTCTCCTGCAAGTGCCAATGCTTGACAAAATGTGGAGTCCTGTAGCTCAGTGGTTAGAGCACTCGCCTTGCCAGCGAGAGGACCTGGGTTTGATTCCTGGGCAGGGCGAAATATTGGGCAAGTTTCCTTACTCCCCACACCTCTGTTTACGTAGCAGTCAGTAGGAACCCACTTGTTAGTCGATTGGCGGATCGCTTTACTGGTGGTAATAATCCCTTCACAAATAATAAATAATCATAATTTGGTCACTGAATCCATGACTGTTTGTTGGAAACTTCTGTTTCCAATTGGCTGCTGCATTTCACCCACTTTGAGACGTCTTGAAGACGTGATAATGAGCGATATCAAATACAAGGATTATTATAAAATCTGAACAAGTTGAATTGGAATGGAGAATAATACAATGTCACTACAGGAGAAAGGAGGGAAAGAGAGACAGACGGGGAAGGGATTTTGATTTCACTCTTAAGATGTGGCTTTTACAACTCAGCCATCAAGAGAATTTTCATTATCTGTACCACACTTGCAGTTTTGTGAAGAGAATAACATAGGAACAAGTAACAGGGGGTTCACAAAGTGTTGTTACGCCCATATTTTTTACTACAGTGCATTGACCAGCAACTGAAACAATGTGATGATCATTGTATTGAGAAGTACTCAATTGTATTTAGACGCCCAGAGGATGTGAGCGTGTGTGAGCGCTATCATTTTCATGGCAGATATTGATCTGTCGTTATGTTCAGCGCGACATTTTCTGGAACATGGAGTCAATGAGGAAGAAGTAACTGGTGTCAGATATTGTTACACTTGACTCATTTGCAACAGAAAATGAATTCACTCTAAGAAAAAAACGGGGGGCGGGGGGGGGGGTAACAGGACTTTGTGAACACCCTGTATTTTCAATATGAAGTCTGACTAGAATATTAATGAGATTGCCTCAGGTAGTCAATGGGTAGGTAACTGCAGCGCTCAGTGTGCTCCTGAGCCATACAGGGTCTGGGGGCTGTGCGGCCCTGGGGGTTCGCTGGCGCCTCCTGTTGTTCAGCTGAAGAAAGCATTGTCTGCGTGCTGAAATAAAAACAGAAGGCGCTGGAAAACTCAGCAGATCAGGCAGCATCTATGGAGAGAGGAAAGTGAGTTAACTTGCCAGGTCGATGGCCTGTTACCTTTTGTCTGTATGCTGAGTTGGGTTTGTGACTTTTGACTGTAGGATTCCGGCTTTTTGCTAAACAAAACAACAAATTACATTTCCACAACGCTTTTCACGTCGGGAGGACGTCCCAGGGTGCTGACCAGTCAACAATTTGCACCCGAGCTGGGGTTTGGGATCAGGAGAGGTGGAGGTTGGGGGTGGTGTGCGTTAGGTGGATTCAAATTAAATGAAAACAAACCAAAGTAAAGCCAAGTCAGAAAACCCAGGCTGGACGTCTGTTGTATGACCTGACACAGCCATCGATCGGCATTGAGAGCAGTGTGAGGATGCTGTAACCTCCTTTGTATTGGGGAATGTCTCAATTTAAATCGGGTTTGGCTCCAGTGTCTCCATCTGATGTCTGAGCTCAGCTGCGATGGTGGTGGGATTTGTTTGTTGATCTTAGAGATTTTATTCTTTAAGCTGCGCTGCTACTGTATGTTTAAAATGTAATTCCAAATCATTTGGGGACAAAGGAAAATGAATGCTGCTGGAAATTTAAATAGGGTCCGGACCCTGAGATGAAGCACTGCCCATCCCAGATGGAGTGATGTAATTCTTGATTATTATTTGTGAATGCTTACAGGAGAGAATAATAACAATAATAATAATTCTTGCATTTGATAGAGCACTTTTCACGTCGGGAGGAGGTCCCAAAGCGCTTCACAGAACACATTGTAAAGTGAATTGACTGTATAGTTGTGGGCGAACGCGGCAGCCAATTGCGCACAGCAATGTCCCACAAACAGTCATAGATTGAAAATGACCAATTTATTATTGTTTTTTGTTTGGTTTTGGAGGGATTATTATTAGGCTCTGTGTGGAGTAAGGAAACTTGCCCAAGGTTTCGCCCTCTGCCTGGGATTGAACTCAGGTCTCTCGCTTGCAAAGCGAGTGCTCTAACCACTGAGCTTTTAAGCTCTTTACAGTTTACTCCCAGTGTGTCAGCCTGGCTCGGTGGGTAGCACCCCCAACCCTTGAGCCATAAGGTTGCCGGTTCAACCTCCACGTTGGGACTTGGAACTCATGTAGCTCTGAGCTGACATTCCAATGCAGTCCTGGGTGGGTGTTGCATTGTTCCATCATTTAGATGTGACATTAAACTGAGGTCCCATTGCCTGTTCAGGTGGATGCTGAAGATCCCATGGCACTATTCAAATAGAGAAGGGAGTTTTTCTCTCCCGGTGTCCTGGCCAGCAATCTCCCAAATAAAATTGATCATTTGCTTCACAGCTGTTTGGGACACCACCGGTGTGCAAATTGGCCGCTGTTTTTGCCCACAAAACACACAGTCAAGGCACTTTACAGTATATCCCGTGAAGCGCTTTGGGACTCCTGCTGACATAAAAGACATGAAATACTAAATGTAAGGATAGTTTTTATTATAATTTATTTGTTCACTGTCTCTCGCTTTCTTTACCTCCAACTTTCTCCTGTACCTTTGATTCCTTTTTTCCATTCTGTTGGAAAGACAGCAGTTGAACTCCATTGCAACACAAATCACTGAATATAGAAAGTGGATCCAGTCTAGTTGAAAGGCAGTGCCAACCCATAGACACCAGGAAGTTACAGATTTGAGTTTGAGCTAAGTTATCACAGCTAGGAAAGCAGTTGGGGTTCCAACTGGCCTCAATGTCCCAGGTTGATGAGGTGAAAATCGGCCAGTTTTCCTGCTGTGAGCTTAGAATCATAGAATCATAGAATATTACAGCACAGAAGGAGGCCATTTGCCCAACCATGCCTGTGTTGGCTCTTTGGAAGAGCTACCCAACCAGTCCCACAACCTCGCTTTCTCCCCATTTCCTTGCAATCTTTTTTCCTTTTCAAGTACCTATCCAATTCCCTTTTTGAAAGTTGTTATTGAATCTGTTGCCACCGACTCTTTCTTCTGTGTGATTTAACTTTCTGTAAAAAGGCCTAGTGGGTGCTGGGTATCTGCCTACACCGAGTAAAGGATGAAAAGGAGTCCAAATGCCTTGAAGAGAGCAGAATATTGCCCAGATGGAAAAAATGGGTTTAAAAAAGGGTTATTACAAAGGATTTTTTTTTGGTCAGCCATGTGTCTGACACATGGGAAAACCCATTGCCATGCGTAATCCAAACCAAACTGAGAATTCCATGCATCCGGCCTGCACATGGAAATTCCTGAGATAAGTAGATTGTTGGAATGGAATGCGCCCTCTCTCCCTGGAGGGTTGCATCCTACTTATCTAATCCAGGAAAGTATTCGGTGCAGGTTGGCAAGAGGCAAGGCTTGGGGATCCCAGAGTTTCCATTAGGGAAATTGCTGGAGTCGAAACAGCTGAAACCACACAGCTTTAAATTTGAAAAGTCGGTTGAAAACGATGTGAATGAAAAGGTCCGTTTTTGATAGCTTGAGGTAATGGGATCCATGAGTGAGGATAGGTTTGTGTTAATGATCTGAAACTGTGGGCATCATCTTCCATAATCAAGGCTAAGCCAGTTAAATGAAAAGTGTCTCACCATTTGCAGAAAGTAATGCAAATAAGCTGCAATATTTAGATAAGCTTTTAGAACACAAATGTGTCTCTTTAAATAAAAAATAAAAATTTTGGACACTTTTCGTGGGACATTGCTGTGCGCAATTGGCTTCCTCGTTTCGTCCACAGAATACATAGTCAATCCACTTAACAATAGATTCTGTGAAGCGCTTTGAGACATCTCAACAACGTGAAGCACTATATCAAATGCAAGGATTGTTATTATGTTGTTATCTCTGGTTTCAGTGATGGTTATAAAAACTTCATGTGTCCGTGTGTTTGTTTGGTGCGTCTGTCTGTGTCACTGAAACAGGTGAGGAGATGAGGCTCCTTTGTAGAGTTCCAAATTATTGAATAGCAATGATGCACAGTGATAGGGATTTGGGACATAAGGAATATTAAAGGAATATGGAGAAAAGGCAGAGAAATTGGATAAGAAAGGCAAGGAAATTGGTTGCAAACTGTCATGAACTAATCAAATGATGAAGCAGTCTTGGTTGGCCAAATGGCCTCCTCCTGCTCCTATATTTTCAATGTCTGGTTTCGGGTGAGGAAGAATAACAAAGTTAGAATGCGTAGGTACTCGCAAGCTCCTGGTAATAATAATAATAAATCCTCGCATTTGATATAGCACCTTATCACTTTGTTGAGACTTCTCAAAGTGCTTCACAGAATATATTATAAAGTGTAGCGACTGTGTATTTTGTGGGCGAAACGCAGCAGCCAATTGTGCACAGCAGCACCCGTGGAATCTGTAGACCAGCAAGAGAGAAAAGGAGAGAATGAGAAGCAAAAACTAGGATCTTAATATTCCTTTTGGTGTTTTGCAGGTTGTGACCTCTGATGTTCTACGGACATCACGGATATTGATCCTCCACATGGTAAGTCACCTGGAGATAGCCTCTCCTCACTGTGATATCATCCAGCAGAGACACACAGGGAAATCTGTACAGATCTCATTGGCAATACCACTTCTGTTCAAACTTCTGCTGTATGAAGTTTCTCGCAAGGTTAAGGTTTGTGGTTTCTTTCGCTATAAAGAATAAAGGCAACACTGAATACGTTCACAAAAGGATAGGAGTTAGTTGACACTCCTTTGTAGCAATGTCACTGTAATGACAATATCAAATAACAAAAAATAGCCGGACTGGATCTGAACCCTCCTCCCCCACCCCATGTTTTAAATTCCTCAGGCCCACATGCTTGTAGTCTCCCGACAACCCACCTCTCCTAACACACGCCAATGCCTCTTAATTCACAGCACCCCCTCTATTTTACTTCATGACTTGATTTGTTCAAAATGTATTTGGCGTCTCCTTAACCAGGTTCGATGGGCTGAATGGCCTCTGATTCTTGTATTCTTTGCACGAATATCCATTCTGTAAACTCAACCGCTCTGATTTCAGGCACCGCTTGTGCTGGGATATACCTTTCACCTACAAAGAAATATACAGTATATCCTGTGAAGAGTTTTGAGACACCATCTCCTGCTCCCCCGCCCTCCCGACATGAAAGACGTGGTATCGAGTGTGAGGATTATTATTTTATTAATGTTCCTTGGCCACCTGCAGTACTTGCATGCCTCACACGTAGCAGCTTTTCGTGGAGTGAGCCTGGACAGTAAATGCTGGAAAGCTATTTGCTCGTGAAGGACATTCAAGCCAAACCAAACCAGGCCTGTCGCAGATCCAAATCCCAGTCACAGTGGGAGCAATAATACACAGAATACTAATCAACATAATAATTTAGCTCCGTTCATATTAGGAGGATGTCTCAAGAACTGCCCCCAAGCTGGGATGGGAGCTGACGGAGGGGGTGGGGGGATTGGAAGATGACCAAAGATGTACATTTTGAGACATGGCTTGAAAGAAGGGAGGGAGAGGGAGAGAAAAATTGGTTTGGATGAATTAAAAAGGGAAAATCAGCCAGAGCTCCTGATCCCTTCCCACTTCAGTGGAAAGTACAGATCCATGTGATGTTGAATACGTTTGCGATATTCGTTGGCTAAACCTACACGTGAATAATAGGATGAGGTGTATCGGATAAGGTATTGGAGGACACCCATTCCAAGTTAAAAAAAATCAAAAGTTTTCAGAAAAAGGAAACAAAATCATCTTTTGTTCTCAAATGTCGTCCAACCCATTCCGATTATAAATGCCAATTTTTTTGTTATCAGTGGTGGTGACCAGATCACTAACATTGCAATTCTGTAATCACCGATCTTGCAATTGCAATGACATAATTATTATTATTATAATAATTAACTACACATCTCAGCCAATTCAGTGGAGCCAGGAAAGCAATGAAAATAACCAATGAACTGAGGCAATCTTAGGTCAGTTTTGCTGTAGTGTTTGCTGTTGCAGAGGTGGAAGAGCTATTGAAGGTGCCTCACTGTTACAGTCACATGTAAATTAGCCAAATGAACACTAATAAAGTAAAATATGGAAGCAAACTTGACCGTTCAGCTTCTTGACCGGCGGCCTAATTAGCGACAGCATGTCTCACTGTGTTAAGGTCCCTGAATGGCTTTCGCTATTGGAGTATGTGAGCTGATAATTGTGATAATCTTCTTTAACTGTCAGCGTCAAACCATTTTCAGTGAGTGTTAAGGATGAAGCCTGATAAATTCTGTTTCTTGTTTCTGGCGATAAAATATTTATACGTCATGTTTTTCTGCAGTCGCAGCATGCTGTCAATCTGTCCTCCTGTGTGCACAGAACTCCACATCTCAGTGAGAAGCTTCAGTCATCAGTGCCTGACTGAAGTGCCATTAAGCATATGCCCAACCAGCTTAATTGAGAAATCTTTGGGTTCGAAGGTACTGTTGGCCAGTAGTGGAGTTGACCACTCCGTAGAAATCAGTCGATTACACACAGCAGCGTCCAACAAACAGTTGTGGATTGAGTGACCAAATTATTAATATTATTATTGCTTTTAACGGATTATTCTCCCCGGAAAATCGACCCGCCAATTGACTGACAACCAGTTCCTATTTACTTCCAGGTAAACAGAAATTAGTGGAGTAAGGAAACTTGCCCAACGTTTTACCCTCCCCTTAACAGGTTTACTCAACAAGACAGAAAAGTTGCATTAGTTCAGTAACCACGGTTACAATAGGCAGGAGAACGTGACAATAACAAAATATTTTTAAAAAGCTGGACTCGTTCCAAACTCCTCCACCATCCACACACCCCCCCACCCCGCCACCCTTCCTGGCTTTCACCACCAGTGGAACCTTAGCGTAGTGGTTAGCATGCTCGCCTCGCAAGCAAGAGGTAGATCCACGGTTTGATTCCCGGGCAGGGTGAAACTTTAGGCAAGTTTCCTTACTCCACTCGCCTCTGTTTACCCAGCAGGAAGTAGGAACCTGATTGTTAGTTGTTTGGTGGATTGCATTCCAGAGGTAATAATTCCTTCACCCTCACCCCCCTCCTCAAAAACAAATGGTCACTCAATCCACGACTGCTTGTGGGACACTGCTGTGCGCAATTGGCTGCTGCGTTTCACCCACAAAATACAGTCAATTCACTTTACAATATATTCTGTGAAGCGCTTTGAGACGCCATAAGGCGCTATATCAAATGCGACGATCCCACAAACCACCATGAGTTGAATGAATGTGGAGGAGTGTTGGCCTAATCTCAGCAAAAACTCTTGTGTCTTCTCTCAAAATGAGAAAGGAATGAGAGAGGAAGAGTCAGTGTGCGAGTGGCAGGCAAACAGAGAGAGAAACACAGAGATAGAGAGGGAGGTTTGGCACTGTGTACAACAGTTTACATCCCTGATTGAACCTTTTTTTCAGTTAGCAATGTAGCCATTTGTATTTTATATGATGACCAATTATCCACAGTTTTTCCCCACTCTGTTTGCTTATCCACAATGGAGCCTGTTCCCAGTTAGTGTGGACAACTGTTTCTCTACTGCATTAACAGTTCTGTTCATCAATAAAGCAACTGTTTGTATCCGGCTCATTTACTTGAGTTTTGATGTTCCAAAATAAATACCAGTTTTCATCAAATTTACTTTGATTTTCTCACATTTTAACATATGATAAATCCTGAAAAATACCCTGTTTTTTGTTTTGTGGATAAAATTTTTTTTTAATGTTCCTTAGCCTTCTTTGCCATTGAGAACCATTAAGCATATTTTTTCACAATCCCCATTGAAAGAACGGCATTTTACATTGACTAGTACAATGTAATAAATGTTGAATAATTTCTATTAAGGTGGAAGGTTGCTCTTTGGCAGTAATCCAGTTTAAAAAACTCCTGGCTCAGTAAAGATAAAGTCTCGTTGGAGAGTGAGCAAGCTTGAAACCGATGAAAAGAGATGAATCATTAACTGTAACTGTTCATCAAAAGGAACCCAATCACTTATCAATATGCTAGGAGTCGCAAGCACAGTGGTTGAGTTTGCAGATAACACCAAGCTAATGCAGATGGTAGATTACGAAGCAGAACAAGATAGGTTACAGGAGGATTTGAACATACTTGGGAATTGGGCAGATTGGTGGCAGATGAAATTCAATGTGGAGGAATGTAAACTAGAGGACAAAAAATCCGGGACTATTATTTGAATGGAAGGAAAATAATATGTATGGAAAATGAAAAGGACCTGGTGGTTCTGATTGACAATAAATTGAAGCTCTCCCTACAATGCTCTGTGGCAGTGAATAAAGCAAACCAGATGTTGGGATGTATCAAAAGATCAATAGCAGCCGAAATAATGGGTCCTGTCACTGTATGATGAGACCACACTTAGAGGAAACTGTGTTCAGCTCTGGTCGCTGCAGACAAAAAGGATGTTGAAGACCTCGAGAAAACAAGAAGGAAGGCAACCAAAATGATTGAGGGAATGGAAGGACTGGACTGTGAGGAGCGACTCAGTAAATTGGGCATGTTCACACTGGAAAAGAGAAGATTGAGAGGCAACATAATTGCTGTCTTTAAGACTCTAAAGGGGCAAATCAATATAGATCATGGCAGGCTGTTTCAACTAGTCCAGAATAATAAAACCAGAGGACACGGCCTGCGATTGAAGGGGGGCAAATTCAGAACAAATCTACACCAACACTATTTCAGTGAGCAAATAGTGAACCTGTGGAACAGGCTCCCGAGGGAGACGGTTGAAGCAGGAAATATTCTTTCAAACAAAGATTAGCTAGTTTCGTTTTAGGAAATAATATTACAACAACAACACAACATTTATAGAGCGCCTTTCACGTCGAGAGGACATCCCAAACCGCTGAACAGTCAGGTGTTGGGTCCCGAGCATGGGGGAGGGGTGGTGTAGGGATGAGGGAAGGCAGAGAAGTGCAAGGGAGGAAGCGAGGCCAAGGGACTGGGATGGAGTTCCAGAGTGTGGGGGCAGAGAGGCTGAAAGCCCGGCCACCGATAGTAGAGAGGGGCGGGCGGGAGACATGGAGCAGACCGGAACCCGATGAACAGAGGGAGCGGGCAGGTTGGTAGGGAGTCAGCAGGTCAGAGAGGTAGGAGGGGGCAAGGCTATTCATGGTCTCAAAGGTGAGGATGAGGATCTTGAACTCAATCCTCTGGGGGATGGGGAGCCAGTGGAGTCGGGCGAGGGTGGGAGTGATGGGGTCGCGGAGCCTGGTGCACGAGAGTACACGAGCTGCAGAGTTTTGGATGATCTGCAGCTTGTGAAGGGAAGAGTTGGGAAGGCCGATGAGGAGGGAGTTCCCGTAATCGAGCCTTGATGTAATGAATGTGTGGGTGAGGGTTTGGGGGCCTGAGAGGTGTGGCAGTGGCGGAGTCTGGCAATGTTGCAGAGGTGGTGGTAGGCAGTGCTGGTCATGTTGCGGATGTGGGGGAGAAAGGACAGTTCAGGGTCAAACAAGACGCCCAGGTTCCTGACTGGCTTAGTGAGGTTGAGTGTGCAGCTGTGGAGGCTGATGCTGCCAGTGCCCGAGGTGCGGAGGCGCTGGCGCGAGCCAATCAAGAGGCCTTAGTCTTGCTGACATTGAGTTGGGGAAAGTTGGCCCTCGTCCAGGACTTGATGTTGGACAGGCAGTCGGTCAGGATGCCAGTAGTCCAGTAGTTGAGGGTGGAGGCAGAGAGGTAGAGTTGGAAATTTACCCCATGTCTGCGGATGACATCACCAAGGGGGAGCATGTAGAGGGTGAAGAGGAGGGGACCGAGGACAGAGCCCTGAGGAACACCGTACATAGGGAGTTCGGCACATATGTGCAGGCGACCACCAGAAAAGTGGAAGGTGAACTAGATGGACCTTGGTCCTTTTTCGTTTAGGATTTCTTATGTTCTAATTGTAAATCCTCAGGTTCACATTGCCAGAGTCTCACACCAGAACTGAGCTCCTGATCCAGGCTGGTGCTCCATACACAGTGGAGGGAATATATTATTGTTAGAACTGTGATGATTTAACTGACATTTAAACTGAAGTGTTATTTGCCTGTTCTGATGACTCTGTGGGAGAAAAGCAGCAGCCAATTGCACGCAGCAGTGTCCAACAAACAGTCTTAGATTAAGTGACCAAATTATTATTACTTTTTGAAGGGATTATTACCCCTGGAAAAGCGGTACCAATCAACTAACAACTGGGTTCCTTCTTACTGTTGGTAAACAGAGGGTGCAGAGTAAGGAAAGTTGGCCAACGTTTCATAGCATGGACTGACACTTCGATATAGTGGTGCGGGAGTAATCGCTGCATTGCTGGAGGGGTCAACCCTTGGATGAGATGTAACGTCACTGAAGTGTCTTGTCGACCTGCAACGCAATATCGCTATTTCAGCATTCTATATCACTCACTGTGAAAGCCAGCATGATCCCTGGTTAATAATTCTGAACTAGCATTTAATGATTTATTTACAACTTGACTAAATCCCTTTGCTCATCTAGTTCCCCTAGAACGTTTTATGCCTTTTAGCACTGACTTTCACACACTATTTTTACAGCAAAAAACATTTGGCTGCATTGAATTCCATCCACCAAACTTCCACCCACGTTGATATTCTGCTGTCATTGTCCACTTACAGACTTCTGCACTGTTCATTACAGTCCAGTACTCTTTGAAACTCAGTGTAATCTACAATATTGGATAGTCTACCCTTTTTGGGGGGCCGGCCGGGTGTCTGACACTGGGGAAACCCATCACTCGTGCTTAAGAGGATCCAAACCAAACTGAGAATTCCATGTATCCATCCCACCTATACATGGAAATCTCAGAGATAGATTGTTGGAATGGAATGCGCTCTCTCTCTCTCTCTCTCTCTCCCTGGAGGGACCCACCCTGCTTACCTAATTCCGGAAAGTACTAGGCGCAGGTTGGCACGAGCCAAGGCATGGGGACCCTTCTACGTCCAAATAACACCCAAATCAAGATTGTACGTGTATCAACTGTTGTATTTTCATTATTGAGGAATCATTTAACTTTAAAGAGTAAAACTGGTGATTTTCTTTCTCTCTCCTCCCTTTCCTCCAGGGTCGGGACTTCCCGTTCGATGACTGTGGCCGCTCATTCACCTGCCTGCCGGCAGAGAGGCTGGACAGTGAGGTGGAAGCCCTCGTCTGCAACATTGATATTCTGCTGCACATCATGACACACAAGGTCAGCTGCTAGCCCACAGTAGAAACTCAGGGAAATCTCCTCGCAGAGAGAGAGAGAGACTGTGGCTGCGCAGAGCACAGCAATTTCTGGTTCCTGATCAGCCACGTTTAATCTAAAAGCACTTGATCTGCGCAAATATCAACTTTTCTAAATTGCTAATCCCTTATTCCTTTCTTCACTTATTGGTGCCCTCCCATCAATTTCAAACACCGTCCATGGATTAAGGTGTGCATTTGGCTTTAATGTAATGGAGTTACTCCCAGCCCTGGCCAACAATCCCCCCAAATAAAAATTGATCACTCAATCTAAGACTGTTTGTGGGACGCTGCTGTGTGCAATTGGCTGCTGCGTTTTGTCCACAAAATATACAGTCACTCCACTTTACACTATATCCTATGAAGCGCTTTGAGACATCTCAATGACATGATAAGGCGCTAAATAAATGCCAGGATTACAATCTGGGGTCAAAGTTATGGTGTCCCTAATTGTTTCTCCACTGGATTCCACAATGATCGAACTACTTGTTTGTTGGAGGGATGTCATGTTGAGTCACAAGCGTAAAAATTCAAGTATAAGTCCATAAATTCTTTTGAAAGGGAATTGGATAGATACTTGAAAAATTATTTTAAAGCATTTGGGATGGAGCAGGAGAGAAGAATGGCTCGTTTTGAGAGAAACAGCAGTGCAGACTTGCTGGGCTGAATGGTCTATTTCTGTCCTGTGACATCCTGTGGTGGTATGAGGCAAAGAGTTAAGTTTTGAATGCATCATTGATTATTTTTTNCCTGCTCTTGTGGGTTCCAGCTGGGCCCAGGCTCCCCTCCTGGTGTGTGGGTCTGCAGCACAGACATGATTCTGACCATCCCGTCTTACCCAGGTAACACACTCTGCAGACATGTGCTCTCTGTGCAATGGGCACATGGTTCATTCAATCTCTCAGCTGCATTTCTCCAGCAATTTTGTTTTGTATGTTTCAAAAGTTGAGCAAAAATGTTTACGTCCCCTGCACAGCCACCATCGCCGGTCAGGCCTTCAGCCTCTCTGGCTCCACCCTTTGGAATTCCATTCCACAGTCTCTTCACCTCACTCCCTCCCTTGCCTTCTTCAAGGCACATCTCAAGACCCTCCTCTTTGACTGCGCTTTTGGCCACACTCCTACTCCCACCCTCCCTGCCCTCACCCCCCTGATCCCAACACCCTGCTCAGGTCCAAATCCCTGACTATCCAAGGCCTTGGGACTTCCAATGTAATTTGTTGCTGCTGTTGTTGTTGTTGTGTGGGCGTACACTCACTAACAAGCATTTGAATCTCCTCCTTGGTAAGAGGCATAAAGTAGGAAGATGAGCGGGAGGACTCCCAACAACATATAGGCTGCTTACTATACAGCATTTGAGATAGCACCTAGAATGTCAAAATGTTTTGCAGTGCTGCAAAAAAGGCTAGTGTTTGTGCCATCACTGTATGCAGTTTGGGGGAGAGAGTTTATTAAGAGAAGATGGTCTGGAATAGGTCACATAGTTATTCACAACCCAAGCTGGTCGGGTAAATTTATGGATTGACACAGTCACAATTCCACATGCAAATCAATAATAATAATAATAATAATCCTTGCATTTGATATAGCGCTTTTCACGTCGGGAGGACGTCCCAAAGCGCTTCACAGAATAGACTGTAAAGTGAATTGACTGTAAATTTGTGGGCGAACGCAGCAGCCAATTGCGCACAGCAATGTCCCACAAACAGTCGTAGATTGAAAATGACCAATTTATTATTGTTTTATTTTGGAGGGATTATTATTACCCAAACTGTCACATGTATCAATGCTGTTGGGCTCTGTATGAAGCAATCATTGGTTGCATATCTTTTACCATCATGTAGCTCCTTGGGGGTGGGGGGGGTGGGGAGGTACGCGGGGTCGCCTTGGCGCTGAACTGGCTCCAAGGTGACTTTCCTGGTAATGGAAAGTCAAATCGAACCAGCCCTCTCTGACAGTCTTGGTAGTCTTGTTCCTGAGCCAGGCAGGTCCGCAGTATTCCAGGGCACTGCTGATGACAGCACAGCCAGCTTGACTTATCAGCAGGACCTGGAAGGATAGACCGGTCACTGAAGGCAGAGAATCCTCCCACTCAACTCCTGTTAACCTTGCAATTGAAAGCTCTAATGGGGAGGGTGGTCCTAGCTGGACAAGCAGCGGGAAAGTTTGCCAGACAGCAATATCAATGGCCAAGCTGTGCAGTTTTAACTGGTTAAACTCCAGCAGTTACCCCAACGCACACTCTGGGGTACCCAAGCCTTGGCTCTTGCCAACCTGTGCCTAATACTTTATGGAATTAGGTAAGCAGGATGCAACCCTCCAGGGAGAGAGAGAGAGCGTATTCCATTCCAATAGTCTATCTCTGGGATTTCCATGTGTAGGTGGGATGTCTGGAATTCTCAGCTCAGTTTGCAGACTCGTAAGCAACGTTGATGGGTTTCTGCATGTGTCAGACACCCAGCTGAGCCAAAAAAAAAGTTAATTGTGTGATGGTTGTCAGTGGTATGTACCTAACGTAATGCCGGTAAGTGCTGAACTCAGCACAAGACTCGATGATGCAGTATGTAGGCTGCATATTGAACTGGACTGTATTGTCAGCAGCTCTGCTGCAGCCAAAGCCAGCAATCACAAAGCTGCTGTGCCGATCTCATTATCTGTTTATTGCCCTTAGGCTCTGCAAGGCGCCTAATCATTTTGCATTAAAGCTACGGGGAATAAATGGGACACTTTGTCATCTGATTTTCAGCACATTCAGCGTCCACAATCTCCGCATTAACTTCCCGTCCTGGAGGATATTCTCTTTATATTAGCAAAGCTATTTGAGTTGAGTGAAACTTTTGGATTAAATCTTTTTTACACAGCGCATTGTACCCACACTGCAAACATGTAGCCTGATTTCAACCAATAAAACTTGAAACAGGCTATGAATACTCCAGGAGTCCTGTTGCTCAGTGGTTAGAGCACTCGCCTCGCAAGACAGAGGACCTGGGTATGATTCCTGGGCAGAGTCATGTGGAGGAAAGAAACTTGCCCCGCCCGGGCGAAACAATGGGCAAGTTTCCTTCCTCCACCCGTCTCTGTTTATCTTGCAGTAAGTAGGAACCTGCTTGTTAGTTGATTGGTGGATCGCTTTTCCAGGGTTAATAATACCTTCAAAGGCAGGCAGGCTGGCAGGCTAAATTGGTCACTCAATCCACAGTTGTTTGTGGGACGCTGCTGTGCGCAATTGGCTGCCGCGTTCGCCAACAAATATACAGTCAATTCACTTTACAGTGTGTTCTGTGAAGCGCTTTGGGACGTCCTCCCGACGTGAAAAGCGCTATATCAAATGCAAGGATTATTATTATTATTCTGTGAAGCGCTTTGAGACATCTTGAAGACGTAATCAGACTCTATATCAAATGCAAGGATTATTATTGTTATCATTATTAATATCTCTGGAAAGCGATCCGCCAAAAGAGGAAGGGGAAAAAATTGAAAGGAAAAATAAAATCTTATAATATCACGTGTTCGGTAAACACTGAGCAGTACAACTATGGCATGTTCATCAGCTCTGACCGTAAATTGAACTTTGGAGATCCTGATCTGGTGAAGAGCCTGGTTCAGGTCACCTGTTGGTGGAAACACTGCCAGCTTTCTGCCAGCACTGAATGGTAACCTGTCTTGTGGTTCACTCTTCATGTTTCAGTCGCGTGGGGCAAACGTTTCCCAATCCCAACACAAGGTTGTGGACATGTTGGACAAAAGATTGTTTGTATTTTAGCCGAGTCTGCACTTCTTGTAAGCTCTTCAGTGTGAAAGTGATTGTGCATTAGATTCAAGAGGTTTTATAAATATATAAATCCAAATTGTTGTTTTTAAGAGGTCCAGAATTATCGTTGCAACTCTGCTCAGGTAGAGGATTGTTGGGGATTCGGTGCTTACGTTTTATATAGCGCTTTATCACGTCGTCGAGACATCTCAAAGCGTTTCACAGGATATACTGTAAAATGTGGTGACTGTATTTTGTGAACAAAATACAGCAGTCAATTGCACACAGCAGTGTCCGACAAACAGTCGTGATTGTAATAACCAATTTATTATTATTATTTTGTGGATTGAGTGACCAAATTATTCCTCCCAATGTGAAAGGCGCATTGTAATTTTGTTGTTGTTATTATTTTTCACGGGATTATTACCCCCGGAAAGCGATCCGCCAATCAGCTAACTAACCAACCAACCAACTAAAATAGAGGTATCAAAAAGCATAGGGACGTAGGAATAGGGCTTGGCGATTCAGCCCCCCGAGCCTGTTCCTTTCACAATCCAGACCATATGAACCTCTGTTTCCACCCACCCAGTGGACTGTGAGACTAACTTTTTTTTTGCTCAGCTGGATGTCTGACACTTATTGAAACCCAACACCATGCTCTAGAGTATCCAAATCAAGCTGAGATTTCCATGCATCTCACCTACACATGGGGACCCTAGAGTGTGCGTTGGGGTAACTGCTGGAGTCTAACCAGCTAAGCCGTATAGCTTGCCATTGATAGCACTGACAAGCTTTCCTGCTGCTTGTCTAGCTATGACCACCCTACCCATTAGGGCTTTGGCTGTAGGGTTAAGAGGAGCTGAGGGGGAGGATTCCCTACCCCCAGTGACTGGTCTGCCCTCCAGGTCCTGCCAGTGTGCCGGCTTGGGCTGTGCTGTCATCAGCAATGAGTGCCCTGGAATACTGCGGACCCACCTGGCTCAGGAATTGTAAAGGAGACCGTCACACAGGGCTGGCTCAATTCCCACATTCTGTTGCCAAACATGTCACCTTGAAGCCAGCTCCTTCAGCTCCACGGAGACCCTAATCCTACACACAAACAAGCAAAACCTGCAGGAAATTCTTTCATTCTAATGTTTCCACTTTTTAAACCTCGTCTCTCTCCCTGCACAGAGAACACGTCCCCATCCTTACCCACTACACTGCAATCATTGTGTCTGTGTAGCATTTGTTCATCTCAGTCTGCTCTCGTCCCTACTCCCTGCAGTACTGTTCTCGAGCAGATACTTATCCAGGTCCCTTTTTTTTAATCATCGCACCATCTACTTTGAAACCTGTTTCACATCCACTTTCCTGGGAACATCTAATCTCCTGTCATGCTCATGGATTTGAAACTTATGTTTCATGATCCCATGGTCCAAATCAGATCGACTGATTACTTTTATCTGTTTTCTACTTCTCATCATCTTAAAGAGCTGGATCAAGTCCAGCAACATCTTTTTTAATAAGAACAAGTTCAGAATCTGTGAGCCTCTCACAACTTTAAGTTTTGGAGTCCTGTAGCATAGTGCTTAGAGCACTTCTCGCAATCCAGAGGAACTGAGTTTGATTCCTTGGCAGCGCGAAACCTTAGACAAGTTTCCTTATTCCACACGCCTCTTTTTATTTAGCAGTAAGTAGGAACCCGATTGTTAGTTGATTGGCAGATTGTTTTCCGGGAGTAGTAATCCCACAAAAAAAGAGTTGGTCACTCAATCCACAACTGTTTGTTGGATACTACTGTGCATAATTAGTTGCCGCATTTACAGTATATTCTGCAAAGCGCTTCAAGACGTCTCAATGATGTGATAAGGCACTGTATCAAATGCAAGGATTATTATTATTATTTAAGTTCCATCATCAGCCTTGTTGCTCTACGAATCAGAGGTTTCATTGTCCACTTGAAAGGTCGAGTGCCCAAGTGTAGCCTCATCAGTGATCCTCATTGCGCATGTATATATTGTTTCTGATTCTAATGTGCATTATTTTGCATTTATCCACATTCCAATCCATTCGCCACTACAGGATTAGGGCTAAATGCCTTGAGAAAATCAAAATTATATCCACATTGCTTCCCACATCAACCTTGAGGAAGGCATGTAGTGAATTCAATTTAGATTTTTATAAATGGTTGTAATAATAATAATTATCCTTGCATTTAATATAGCGCCTTATCACATCGTTGAGCCGTCTCAAAGTGCTTCAACAGAATATACTGTAAAGTGAATTGACTATGAGTTTTGTGGTCGAAACGCAGCAGCCAATTGCGCACAGCAGCGTCCCACAAACAGCCGTGGATTGAGTGACCAAATTATTGTTCTTTTTAAGGGATTGTTACCCCTAGAAAAGTGTTTTGCCAATCAACTAACTACCGGTTTCCTACTTGCTGCTAGGGTTTAAGGTTAACTTTAGGGTTAACATCAGAGAGCTTGAGGCGAAGGTATTCGTTTCAACTACATTCATACAAGGTTATGTGATAGTCATGGTTTTGACTGCTAACAACACCAGTGTTCAGTTTCCCAGAGGAGTCGGGGGAGTGGGGGCAGTTGGTATGAAGCATGGGTATCACTTACCACACTCGGCACATACAGTGCAGTCTGTGTGATTCCATCCACCATCTGACCAAATATTTTCAGCCCTTTAATGACAAATGTGGAATTTGTGGGCTTAACTGTCAGCAGATTTTTTTCCTTAGCAAATTCTCCTCTGACACAATATCACTGACATGCTGTACCTTATCAACCTAATCCCCAACAGGCTATGGATCACTGTGGCTGCCTTCTAATTGGAGTCTGCTCTGTAATCTCTCTGCTTGAGTGTATCCTGTCACTGGAGAGTAAAGCTCTGAGCTTTTGCAGCTTACTCAGCTGCCACAGCGCAGGTGATGGGCACGTTCGGTTTGTTTCCCGTGTAATCCACTGAAGAAACAGCCTTCTGTTAATCAGCTCTGCCTCTTTGCCGAGATTTATGAGTTCTGTCAAGTGCAAGTTCCTGACTGATGGGTTTGCTTTCACTGACGTTCAGAAGTAGTCTATTCGTGCCACACTTGGCTGCTTCTTGTTAAAGTAAATATTCATTACCAGGCCCATTTACAGCCTCCGCACCTTTGCTATATTTCTGGAGGATTTTTAATACAGATGTTTGCCTTCAGGTTAGAAAAGAGATTGCGTGGCAGGGTAGGTACCTGTTCTCACAGTGACATATGGTCCTGTCTGCCTGTTCAGGTGGACATTAAAGATCCCATGGCACTATTCGAAAAGAGAAGGACGTTTGCTTCTCCCAGTATCCTGGCAACAATCCCCCAAATAAAATTGATCATTCATTTCATGGCTGTTTGTGGGACATTGCTGTGTGCAAACTGGATGCCATATGTCAAAATACACAGTAAACCCACTTATATCTTGTGAAGACATCTCAACAACATGATAAGGCGCTATATCAAATGCAAGGATTAACACGCAGACAAAACTGATTTGCTGGCAGAGATACCTGCTTTGTCTACACTTTGGGAAACTAATGACCAGGTTAAAATACTGTGTTCAGGGTAGCTCTGTTCCGCTCTGTATTAGCAATTTGTTTGAAAAGTAGAAGGGCATTAATGATTTTGTGCTGCAGAGCCTGAATAATTGTATTTTGTAGGATGCAATCGCACCCAGTTACTTTTCAAGTATGTTAAGGGAATATTCAATGTACATATTAAACAATATTAAATACCTGCATAACAACAGTCACTACACTGCACAGTAACTCATTGTGTGAACGCATTGTGACATGATAAGGCAGGCGCTGGATCAAATCAATAATTTAGCAGAAAGTCTTGAATATTTGTCCCAAGAAAATGGTTTTGTGGCATTGTGGCTTTCACATTTCTCAATCACTCCTGAGTTTCCAGTGAATTTTGGCCATCGGAACAAAGGAATCTTCCTCTTTGTGTTTCTCAAAGTGAGGGATGATAATGTTGGGAAGCAAGAATACATCCCAGCTTCAGGCAACAGTTACTCTTTGGGCAGATGCAGCACGGATTAGACACAGAGCTCATTCGCCATAATAAATATCCACGTCTTCTTTGTCTTGTAGATATTTGCTGGGAGGGATTCAGCGGTGTCAGAGTGGTGTCTGTCCCGGGCACGCTTACGTACGCCAGGAAACATGGTGTCTACCTCCTGAACACAGAGGTAAGAATTCCTGCCTGTCTTAACAACAACAACAAATTACATTTAAACAGCGTTCTTCATATTAGGAGGACGTCCCAAGGCGCTGGACAGTCAAGGATATGCACTCAAACTGGGGGTTGAGATCAGGAGGGTGGGGGTAGGAGGGTGCAGGCAGGAGGGTGCCCGAAGGCGCTGTCTAAGAGGAGGGTCTTGAGACGTGCCTTGAAGGAGGCGAGGGAGGGAGCGAGGTGAAAAGACGGTGGGGTGAAGTCTTAAATTAAAGATTGAATTTTAATCTTGAATTAAATTTGTACAAGGATTAGTTAGGGAGGCCATAGGTGCAATTTTGGGCACTCCATTTCAGGCTGACATTACAACCATTGAGAGGGTACAGAGTGCATTGCCTGGAATGATACACAGTGAAATATTAATAATGGTCAATATAATAATTATTAATAATAATCCTTATATTTGATCTTTGCCTTATTATGTCATCAAAACACCTTTAAATGCTTTGCAGGATCTCACTTTAGAGTGTAGTGACTGTATTTGAAGGTAAACACGGCGGCCAATGTACACAGCAAAGTCCCAAAAATAGCCATGAAGTAAATGACCATTTATTCCCTGGGGGATTGTTGGCCAAGAGAGAGCCTCCCTTATCAATTCAATGTTCACTATGTTTTATAAACACTATTGCAATCTGTGCTTTTGACCCATTTGCAGAGATTCACGTTCAGCCTTGTGCAATGTTCTGAAATTAATTGACAATCTGTCAACAGTTCAAAGTGGCTGGGAAATTTCTCTTATCAAAGACTGGTTGATCACTGAGCAGTTACACAAATTCACATGATGGTGCAATATCAACAACAACAACAATCTGTATTTATATAGCGGCCTTTACACGGGTAGCATCCCAGAGCACGTTCCAGTAACTTAACCCCTCCAGGAGCTTATGAAGGGTTGACACAGTTGACACTCAAGAAAATTGCATATGGTCTTAATTTAGACCTGTAACTCAGTAGTTAGAGCACTCGCTTCGCAAGCGAGAGGATCTGGGTTTGATTCCCGGGCAGGGTGAAACATCAGGTAAGTTTCCTTACTCCACACGCCTCTGTTTACCTAGCAGTAAGTAGGAACCCACTTGTTAGTCGATTGGCGGATCTCTTTTCTGGGGGTAAGAATCCCTTAAGAAAATAATAATAATAAATTGGTTATTTCAATCCACGACTGTTTGTGAGACACTGCTGTGTGCAATTGGCTGCCGCATTTTGCCCACAAAATATACAATTCACTTTACAGTATATTCTTGTGAAGCTCTTTGAGACGTCTCAACAATGTGATAAGGCCCTATATCAAATTCAAGGATTATTATTTATTATTATTAATTTCTCTTATTTATCATTATTAATTGAGTTCTTGGTGTCTTGGCTCATACATAAAGAACGGTTCCAGAGGAGGGCGGCCATTCACCACCTTTAAGAGAGCAGCAATGAAAGGAGAAATTTGGAGGGAAATTGTAAAAAAAAATGCAGGAGTGGCTGTGAAAGCAGCAATAATGGCTGTTGTGATGTGTCATTGGGATGTGGTCTGTGAGGTGATCACCTGCACATCGCAGGTAGAGCCACAGAAGATCGAGGAATTGGGGAGATATAGTGTTGGGAGCTGGCAGTTATATAGGGTCATAAGTGCAAGGAGTGTAAGTAGATACAGAGCCACATTGTAAAATTGTCCATATTCAGGCACTAAACACTACTTTAATGCTGGAAGATTGAGGCTGGTTCTGGCAGAAAGCACAGGATTGCAGGACTGTGCTTTATTAGAAACTGGCCCCAACTCACTGTCCGGTTCATGCCAAAAGAACAGAACAAGTGCTAAACCCAGAATTGACTAACACTACAGTCAGTGTATAGAGCACTTGTGAACCGCTTCAAGTCAAACTGGTTTTCAGGTAACCTGAGGCCTGGACTTCCTCAACCCAAATATCTTTCAGATGGAATGCCAGATCTGGTGGCAATTCAAACACAGTTTTGGATTTGCAAACTTATTTCTAAATTCCCAGTATGCTTTTTTCATCACCCCAGTTCCCAGATCTCCAGTTAGGTCAGACATAGGGCAACAATGTGGAAAACTAACCGGGAAGCATGATGGTAAGTGGACTTGGGAACAGAGACATGTAGAGTAAGCAAACTTGCCTAAGGTTTCGCCCTCCCCGGGAATCAAACCCAGGTCCTCTCACCTGCGAGGCGAGTGCTCTAACCAATACGCCACAGGACTCCACATTTGATTTTTGCAATCATTAGGACGATGGGAGCAGAGGCTGGGAGACGAGACTGTCAGGCATCTTTGTTCCCAGTCCATCAGCTCCAGTTGAGCTGGAGCTGATGGTTAAATTGGTCTTGAGGTGTTGAGCACGAGCAACATGTTTGACGTCATGGTTTAACTCTCGTGATCTGGGAGTGTGGAGCCAAACAAAATACTAAATGTTCTGCCTCTGATTCACTGTGATGCAGTTGTGTAGGATATACAGGGACATTAGTAGTCCACGTACTTTTATCTTATGAAATCTTATAATTTAGATAATTATTTGGGGAGGGCAAGTTTGCTGGGCTAATCATTTTTCAAAGAACCAGCACAGACATGATGGGCCGAACGGCCTCCTTCTATAATTCTATGATTCTATGAATCACTTGGTTGTGTGAGCTGGTTTGAAATGTGGTTGAATATAAGTCTTACCATTATAAATCATATATATAATCGTCTAAATCGTACAACCAAGTCCAATTTAGTTTCCAATCAAACCCATTTAGATTTCTTTGTGCTAGTTGTATAAACACCTCCTAACTCCTAATGCCACTCCCCTACACTCTATTACTCCTACATTTAGCTGCTGCATTGACAAACTACCATATGCGCACTTACCACCTGTATTGAATTATGTGTGCGCTGTGTAGATTATTGATTGAATCAGATTTTATATGATTTATACAGTTTGCCCGCAACTAAGACTTCAATTAAGTCATATATAAAATGCTATGTTCCCGACTGATGATGTTAATAATATTAATAATATGCCTTTTGTGAGTTTTACTGTCTTTGAGTATGTCACACAATACCTGAGTTTTGACCTCTCTCTTCAGGGCTGTGTCTGTGATATCATTTACAAAGGGACAGAGGAGCGGATACAACAATGTGCACTACGGGATGGCAGAGCCCCTCTGGTGTGTAAGATAATCACAATCCTTGCATTTGATAAATAACATCTTATTACATTGTCATAGTGTCTCAAAGCACTTCAAGGGATTTATTATAATAATAATAATCCTTGCAGTTGCTATCGCGCCTTATCACGTCGTTGAGAGATCTCAAAGCGCTTCACAGGGAATACTGTAAAGTGGATTGATTGACCTTCTGACTTAGTGCGGTGTCTCACCTGAGAGTGTTGGGTGAGACAATGTAATGTATAATGCGTTTGACCTGGGAATGCTGAGTTAAACAGTGTAGAGGGAGCTTTCCTCTGTGACTGAACTAGGTGCTGAGATTCGGTCCATTATCCATTGACATCCCTGACATTGATGAGCACAAAGTGATACAGTGCTATGGCTGAGAAGCACCATCTCTCTGAAAACTGATACAAAATGATGAGCGGATTCGATAGGGTGAACAAGGAGAAATTATTCCCACTGGCGGTGGGTCGGTAACCCGAGGGCACCGATTTAAAATAGTTATTAAAAGAAACAGAGGGGAGGGGAGGAGAAATGTTTTCACACAGCGAGTTGTTGGGATCTGGAATCATTGCCTGAAAGGCCGGTGGGAACCGATTCAATAACAGCTTTTAAGAGAGAAGTAGATAATTATTTTGGGACGACAAGTTTGCAGAGCTATGGGGAGAGAGCGGGGGAGTGGGGTTGATCAGGGCTATGGGAGAGAGCGGGGGAGTGGGGTTGATCAGGGCTATGGGGAGAGAGCGGGGGAGTGGGGTGATCAGGGCTATGGGGAGAGACGGGGGAGTGGGGTTGATCAGGGCTATGGGGAGAGAGCGGGGGAGTGGGGTGATCAGGGCTATGGGGAGAGAGCGGGGGGAGTGGGGTTGATCGGGGCTATGGGGAGAGAGCGGGGGGAGTGGGGTTGATCAGGGCTATGGGGAGAGAGCGGGGGGAGTGGGGTTGATCAGGGCTATGGGGAGAGAGTGGGGGAGTGGGGTTGATTTGGAAGCTCTTTTCAAAGAGCCGGTACAGACACGATGGGCCGAATGGCCTCCTTCTGTGCCATATATCTCCATGATTCTATTTTTGGGATTGAATAACTAATGTTTATATTTCCCAGGTATCAGGCATTGTGTTTTTCTCCTCTCCGACTGCTGAGAGACTGCTGGCCACGCATGTCACTCCTCCGCTGGATGCCTGCACCTACATGGGTCTGGATTCGGGAGCTCAGCTGATTCAGGTAGGAACTTTCACCCAAAGGGAAGTGGGAATCTGGAACTCTCTCCCTCCCCCAAAAGCCTGTGATTGCTGGATCCATTCAAATTTTTTAAGACTAAGGTCAATAGATGTTTGTTAGGTCAGGGTATCAAGGGATATGGGATCTAGAAGGGTAAATGGAGTTGAGGTACAGATCAGCCATAATATGATAGAACAGGCTCAAGGGGCTGAATGGGCTCCTCCTGTTTCTATGAAGGCAAATCAGTCTCAGTGGGTATGAGTAGGGCCTCAGTGATTGGTTCAGCCAAGCACAATCCTCACCTCAAACCATGTCCATGTTCCAGTCAGCGGGGTTCTGGATAGTCAACAGCAATGGGAGCGCTGAATTCTCTAACACAGGCCCCTGAGACTAGATCCTACTATCACCTCAGCTGAGGTCAATCAACGCAGCTCAACAACCACAACAAATTACAGTTATACAGTGCTTTTACATTAGAAGGCATTAGACAGTTAAGGGTTTGCACCCGGGTTGGGGGTTGGAATCAAGAGGGATGGAGAGTAAGGGGCCTGGGGGTAGGAAGGCGGCCAAAAGCACAGTCAAAGAGGAACGTCTTGAGATGCACTTTGAAGGAGCCGAGGAGGGGACGAGGGTTTTCAGGATGGAGTTCCGGAGGGTGGTGAAGGCTCGACCATCAATGGTAGGGTGGGCAGTGCAGGGGACATGAAGCAGGCCAGTGCCCACCGAGCAGAGCGAGTGGACAGGTTGGTATGGAGTTAATAGGGTCAAGATTGCTACCTACATCATGCTGTCTTTCCAGCTCCTACTGCATGTTATATGTCTCCCTTGTCCTCCAACAGCTGTCGATTTTCTTTGACATACTGCTGTGCATGGCACAGAACACCAAAGAGGATGACTTTGTGAAGGGAACGAGGAGCAATCTCAGGCTCTCCAGCACGGCTGAGGATATGGACACTGCTATCCTGCGGAGTGCCAGAGCTTTACTGTGGCGGGAGCTACGTGGGATACCCGTGACCGTGGGTGAGCTGAGTGAACCTTTCATTCATCCCTTATTTGGTTACGTCTGCAATAAACCAGGCATAGAATCATAGAATATTACAGCACAGAAAGAGGCCATTCGGCCCATCGTGCCTGTGCCAGCTCGTTGGAGGAGCGACCCAATCGGTCCCAATCCCCCCACTCCCACTCTTTCCCCATGTCCTTGCAAATTTTCCAATTCCCTTTTGAAAGTTGTTATTGAATCTGTTCCCACCGACCCTTGCAGGCCGTGCAATCTAGAAAGTAACAGAGATGTAAAAAAAATTCTTCATCTCCCTTTTGAGACGGATAAAATGAATGCCAGAATACAGACAGCGTGAAGTGTGGAAAATTCCAGGATACTGTCTCATATACCCGTCACCATGGCTGATAGTTTCCTTAGGGAATGAAGTGACGTCTGGTAGTGTAGTGCTTTCGCCACAAAATACACAGTCAATCCACTTTACAATATATTCTGTGAAGTGCTTTGAGATGTCTTAACTGATAAGGTGCTCCATCAAGTGCAAGGATTATTATTATGGCTTTGACAACACATACCTTGGCAGTTACAAACTAAGGCAGACTTGTAGGTGTCCTCAACCCTATCAGCCCTAACAAATAGGATCATTCTTGTTGGACAAGTACCTTAATAATAATAATAATAATAATAATAATCCTTGCATTTGATATAGCGCTTTTCACGTCGGGAGGACGTCCCAAAGCGCTTCACAGAACACACTGTAAAGTGAATTGACTGTATATTTGTGGGCGAACGCGGCAGCGAATTGCACACAGCAATGTCCCACAAACAGTTGTAGATTGAAAATGACCAATTTATTATTGTTTTTGGTTTTGGAGGATTATTAGGCTCTGTGTGGAGTAAGGAAACTTGCCCAAGGTTTCGCCCTCTGCCTGGAATTGAACTCAGGTCTCTCGCTTGCAAAGCAAGTGCTCTAACCACTGAGCTACAGGACTCCACCTTGATGTGGAGTTACCAATTGTCTTAACCCCCAAAATACAATTGCTTCGCACACAAAATATATAGTCACTACACTTTACAGTATATACTGTGAAGCGCTTTGAGACATCTCAACAACGTGATAAGGCGCTGTATCAAATGCAAGGATTATTATTATTATTAACAGTGGGCAATCCACCTATGTGAAGCCTGTGTTCACTGCTCTCTCTCTCTCTCTCTCTGGCCTCATTGATTGAGTTGCATTAGAGATAGGCTCTCAGCATTCAGGTCATGTGGTGTGAGACCCTCCTCAAGGCTTGACCCTATCCTGATGTTGCTTTGTGCTTTACAGCCTACATAGCTGATGGTTCTCATGAGTACATGAGTCTGTCAGCAGATGATCACTTGCAGAACCTGACAAGGAGAGGGAGCATGTCTGGAAGCTTCACAGCCCATCATATTGCCCACTCGGAGGTCACAGTAGGTAACACCCCTCTCTCTCTCTATGACCGATGCTTTCTCCCTTCTGTTACACATGTGCCTCAATGCCAATGTCTTCCACCTGCTGTGTCAGAATCCCAGTCAGCACAAATTGTTCAGAATTCCAGGATACTGAATCTGACCTACACGTCATCAGTCAGTGATAAACCTGAACTCCCTGTTGTTTGCTGATAGTCATTTCTGGGTTGCAAATAATTCTTATTGTCAATGCAGTCTTTATAGTCGATGTGAAATTGGCTTTTATGTTTTTTTCCTGCTCTCCCCACAACCCACTCAGGCCGGCCCGAAAGCAGGCACGAGCTATGTGAGGGGGACCATCCAGGGAATTTAAGCATTTGCTTAATATCAGCCAGGGTTCTTGTTCCCAATCACTCTCACCAGATCACAAGATTGGTTTGGATGAAGAAAAGACTCCTGCTCGGCCATCGTTCCCTCCGCTCCACCATCGGCGGACGTGCGTTCAGCCACTATGCCCTGAAGCTTTGGAACTCTCTCTCTCTGCCCCCTCCTTCCCCTCTTTTAGATCATGATTGACCATGCGTACGGTCACCTCCTATCTCCCCCTGGCTCACTGTTAGCGCTCCGAGACGCTACCCAGGGTGAAGAGCTCTGTATAAATGCAAGTTTTTGTTGTTATTGAAGAAAGCCCTTTGGCCCATTTAATCTCAACTTTCCAGAACATCCTACCCATTACAGTATCGAGCTGCTTTATACCTGAATGCCAGTGTCCTGGCCTTAACCACCCTTCCTGGTAACTTGTTCAAGTAGTTAATTACCCTCTGGATAAATAAACACTTCCTGGTATTTGTCCTGAAATTGCCCCTTTACACTAAACTCGTGTCCTCTTGTTCTTGTGGTATTAGTGCATTGTGTAAAAAAAACTATGGGGGTAACAGGATTTTGTGTACAAGGGCAGGCGGCTTGGAGATATCTGCCCTTCCGTTCTGCTCCTTCCCTACAGGAAATGTCTGGCAGCTCAGCACCTCCCTATCCTGGCTGAGTTCGACCAACAACAACAACTTGCATTTATATAGCTCCGCTCACCCAGGCTAGAGTCCCAGAGCACTTGGATCAAGATCTAACTACAAGAGGAATCACAAAACAAGCTTGTTTATTTTATTTCGGTTGAAACAAAACTTCCAAAACTCACTTCAGGATTATTCATAGTGTTTAAAAGAAACAATGGCCTGCCTGGCACACAGTGCCCACTGTTTGCTGACTTGTGGGGTTACTTTCTGCAGCACCCTGTCCTCCTCAGTCAGGACTGCTCCATCATCAACAGTCTCCTGGACGGAGAGATTGCCATCGAGTCCAAGAGTGTTGTCCAGCACTGCCACCTGCAGGTAACACTCCTACCTTGTCTGCTGGGAAAGGCTTCCCTGTTTGTCCACTAATCTGTAATTCATCACTTTGCCCAATAGTTACCTGTATAATTAAGGACCATTCAAATCAATTCCTTACTGATTTTTTACCCTTAAATGCTGAATTTTAGGTCTTCCCTCCATAAAAAAGACAATAATTTGGTCACTCAATCCACAAATGTTTGGGGGACGCTGCTGTGTGCAATTGGCTGCCGCGTTTTGCTCCACAAAACATAGTCAATTTACTTTACAGTATATTCTGTGAAGCGCTTTGAGACATCTCAAAGACATGATAAGGCGCTATATCAAATATGAGGATTATTATTATTGTTCATTTCACTTTAAGCCTGTGCTTTATGTTGAATGTTGCTGACACTGATCTGATCACTGCTGTTTGTATTCCTGTGCTGCCCAGGGCTGTATGAGTTTGGGCTCAGGGTGTCTACTTTCTGGAGTGGATGTGATCTCATCCCTTACCCTCTCCAAGTCACAGCTGTGCAACGTCATCATCCAGGGACATCACATCCGACTGCGAGACATGAAGCTCAAGGTCTTCACCATTGTGGGACGCTATGATGACCTGCAGGTGATGTATACACAACAGTGGCTTCATCTTAGTTCAGGGGCATTTCTTGCTTATCAAGGTTGTGCGTGTTTTTTTTTCCCAGCCGGGTGTCTGACACATGCGGAAATCTATCACCGTGCTTAAGAGAATCCAAACCAAACTGAGATTTCCATGCATCCCATCTACACACAGAAATCCCAGAGATAGATTTTTGGAATGGAATGTGCACTCCTTCCCTGGTTGGTAGGAGCCAAGGCTTGGGGACCCCAGAGTGTGCGTTGAGGTAATTGCTGGAGTCTAATCAGATAAAACTGCAAAGCTTACTATTGGGTATTGCTGTCTGGCCAAGCTTTCCCGTTGCTTGTCCAGCTAGGACCATCCTACAGGTTAGGGCTTTGCCTTGCAGGGTTAACAGGATGACTCCCTGCCCCCAGTGACTGGTCAGCCCTTCCAAGTCCTGCCGATGAGCCAGGGTGGGCTGTGCTGCCATCAGCAGTGAGTGCCCTGGAATACTGCGGACCCACCTGACTCAGGAACCGGACTAGAAACTGTCACAGAGGGTGGGGGCTCGATTCCCACATTCCATTGCAAGGCATGTCACCTTGGAGCCAGTTCAGCTGTGGAACCCGCTGTGCATATCAACTCTAAGGATAACACAATACAGTTTCACCCACACAGTATCAGATGCATTTCAGGTTACATGCTGGTTCCACTCTGTCCTAATAATATGCCTCAGCACATAGCATTTAAGATTATGAAAGGATTCAGTAAGTTCGTAGGCTATTTCCACTTGTGGGCGAGTCCAACACTACAGTGTCAGGAAAGAGTTAATATACAATGTTAACTGCAGAAATGTAGCCAATGAACAAATTCCACAGAAGTGAAAAAGGGAAAATACTGCAGATGCTGGAAATCGATATACCAATAAAGACAAAATGTCTGTGTGTCTATCTAACCGATTGACGTAGAGACACCAACAGGAGTCCTCACAACAGGAGTCCTCCCAAAAGGATATGCGTGCAAGTATGTGGACAAGGGATGCTAACAAATTCAATAGCACATTTTCTTAATCTTAAGGGCTAAAGATACCTAAGAAGCAAAGATCAAGCCTTTCAAGGACAAATTAAAATGCCAGACGAAAGAAAGAATAAAATGAAACTGTTTGCAAGTATAGCTGCAATGGGGACAGCTAGTCTGAAATAAAAACAAAAGTGGCTGGGAAGACTTAAAAAGTTAGGCAGCATCTATGGAGAGAGGAAAGTGGGTTACTGTTTCAGGTCAGTGACCTTTCGTCACAACTCTAGTCTGAAGCTAGTCTAGACAGAACTCTAGTCTACACTTTTCATCTGAAGTCCAGAGTGTAACAGCTGCCAGATTAAACAACAGGCTGTGAACAGTGAGCATTGTAATCTCTATACTTGTCCAAACTGAAGAGAAACTATTTTCTCTGATGGGGGAAATCCAGAACAAGGGGGGCATAATCTTAACAATAGAGCTAGGCCATTTAGGAGTGAATTCTGGAGACGGTTTTTCACCCAAAGGGCAGCGGAAATCTGGATTTCTCTCCCAAAAGGCTGTGTATGCTGGATCCATTCACATCTTCAAGACTGAGGTCTTGTTAGGTCAGGGTATCAAAGGATATGGGGCAAGAGCACATAATTGGAGTTGGGGTACACATCAGCCATGATCTTATGGAATGGCAGAACAGGCTCGAGGGGCTGAATCGCCTCCTCCTGTTTAATAATAATAATAATCCTTGCATTTGATATAGCGCTTTTCACGTCTTCTAGACGTCCCAAAGCGCTTGTTTGTTTGTTTCTGCATGGTTGTGATGTAATTGAGTGACAGTGCTCAGCAGTGTGTGTGTGACACTATTTGAGGAATTAATTTGCAGTTCTGACGCTGAATTTTGAGGAAATTAATAGGCTTATTTATCAATATTATGCTCCATCGGGATCTGTGGAATTTCTCCATCGAGATCACTGAGTTTCATCCAAATGAATGACACTGAATATTTTTTTGGAAACTAGATCGAGCCGTTTTCAGCTCATCAATTCCCTTAATGGTCTCCAGCCATTATCTAGTGTCTCTCTGCAATTCGTCACTTCAGGCAAAGATCACACTGATGTGCTAAACTGCACCCATCATTATCCATTAAGTTGTTCCTCTTCAGAAAGTCATATAAACCGAGTTTCTCTATAAAAATAACAATAATAATAATAATAATAATAAATCCTTCCATTCGGTAAGTGTCTTTGGGTGAATCCTTCACAGGATTTACATGAAATGGAGTGACTGTGTATTTGTGAGTAAACTTGGCAGCCAATTTGTGCACAGTGATGCCCCACAAACAGCCATGGAGTGAGTGACCAAATTTTATTTGGGGGATTGTTGGCCAGGACACCAGGAGTATCACCCTTCTCTTTTCCAACAGCGCCTCAGATCCACCTGAACAGGCAGAAGGGACTTCAGTTTGACATCAAATCTGAAGGAAGGCACCTCCAACAATGCATCACTGGAGTGTCAGCTTAGACTGAGCTAAGCTGATACTACGACAACAACAAGAAAATTACATCTATAGAGCGCCTTTCATGTTGGGAGGACGTCCCAAGGCGCTGACACTAGACTGAGTTCAAGTCCCAATGTGGAGCTTGAACCCACAACCTTCTGACTCAGACGCGAGAGTCCAGCACTGAGCCAGGCTGACAAAATGGTTGGAGTATATTCACTCCAGAGGTTGTGGGGGAAGGTGGTATCTAGATCCGAGGAGGAAGTGCAGTGAAAAACAAGTCATATTTCTTATGGCATGACTGTACCTCTCCAGAGACTTGTATAAGTCATGTTTCTTTAGTCTGGAATATGGTATGATACAGTTTCTAGACACTTCTACAAGACGTGTTTTTCTAGCTGGTTAGTGGTCTGATCCTACTCTCTGCGGAGGCTTTACAAGTTGCAGAGCTTGATGCACACTGTAACCATGTGCCTGTTTGGCTATGGGTAGAAGGTTGCAGATTCAAGCCTTATGTTAGCACTTAACCTCATACTGTAGGGCTGACACTGCAGTGCAGTACTGGGGCACAGCTGGATTATTATCTTCAAATAAGGTGTCCTACTTACTGCTAGGTAAACAGGCTTGTGTGTGGAGTAAGGAAACTAGCCTAAGGTTTCACCCCATCGGGAATCAAACCTGGGTCCTCTTGCTTGAGAGGCGAGCGTGCTAATCACTAAGATACGGGCTCCACTTAGTTAGGGCTCTTCAGCCTTGAAAATAGCCATCTGAAAGAGGATATTTATAAGATGCTTAATAGTACAGAGGAAGCCATTAGATACAACCAATATCCGAGTAAGAGGAAACAAGTTCAGGGTTGTACAAAGCAGGTTTAGAACAGACCAGGAATTATTTCCTTACATAGAGGATCATCAGATGGAACCAGTGACCAGGAAGTTCCTTATTAGGTCCTGGATTCTGAACTCATTTTTTAAAAAAAACAGCTTGACATTATAATCCTAATAATTATCCTTGTATTTGATACAGCGCCTTATCAGGTCTTCTAGACGTCTCAAAGTATTTCATACAATATACTGTAAAGTGAATTGACTATATTTTGTGGGCAAAACGCACCAGCCAATTGCGCACAGCAGCGTCCCACAAACAGTAGTGGATTGAGGTAATGTAGAAGACTGAGATCAATTGTTTATTATTATTGTTGTAATTGGGCCAGACTTCTCTTGCAATCTTACGACCGAGTTGCAATTCTCTTTGGGTCCAAATTCTCTGAACTCTCAGGCCTAGATCTAGGAAATGCACAGTCACTCCACTTTACAGTGTATCCTGTGAAATGCTTTGACACGTCTCAATGACGCAATAGGACACTGTATCAAATGCAAGGATTATTATTATTTTTAATTAGGTGAGCCATCTCCTTTCCAAATGTTCCTAAATGTATGAATTATGTATGTCTCTTACAGGTGCCTTCCAGCTGTGACACCTCCACCTTCCTAAACCAACAGTGGTCAGAGTTCTTTGAAAGGACAGGGATCAAGTAAGACCTCAGCACTCTGTGCACTTGATGACAGAGGGTCATATCAATGTTTTGAAGCCATTTCCAACGCGTTATAGATTCCCCGCTTCAAACCCATGTCAGTTTCCTAAGGCGAACATCGTGCCTTAACTTCAGCTAGATCAATCCTCCCCCTGGGAATCTATGAGAGTCCTAGAGTGACTTGACCAATAATAATAGGAATAATCATAATAATAATCCTTGCATTTGATATAGTGCTTTTCACGTCTTCTCGACGTCTCAAAGCGCTTCACAGAATAGACTGTATTTGTGGGCGAACGCGGCAGCCAATTGCGCACAACAGTGTCCCACAAACAGTCTTGGATTGAAAATGACCAATTTATTATTGCTTTGTTTTTGGAGGGATTATTACTAGGCGTGTGGAGTAAGGAAACTTGCCCAAGGTTTCGCCCTGCGGGGAATTGAACCCAGGTGTCTCGTTTGCAAGGCGAGCGCTCTAACCACTGAGCTACAGTACTCCACGACTCCCATAGTTATTTCCCCAGCACAACAACTACCCTGGCTGTACAGCCAAGGCTAGCTTACTTCCCATGTGGAAGTCACAGGTAGATGTGAGTCTCACTGCTCCAATTCACTGGCACAGAATATACCGGCACAGCTGTGAATCAAATAGTTGCTCTCAGTTTCAATAAAGAGGAATGGTGTACCCAATCTTTTCTCCCGCCAATGAGCTAGAAATTCATGTAGGGCCAAATAGAAAAGGAGGGGAGATTCTAGTAGGACGATGTAATAAAGAGCAAAAGAAAAGGTTTAGTTTCAGGTTTCTGATGCAATGGAAGAGTGAAAAAGCCCACGATAGTGAGATTCCCAACTCCACCAGGAGGCAGAGGTCAGGGAGTTCCTCAGAGCCAGGCTCCACTGGCTCCTAATTACAAACAGATCGATTTCACGATCCTCTCATTCATCTTCAAATCCCTTTGTGCCTTGGCATCTCCCTACCCCCCACTCCACCACCCTCTACCTCCGCTTGGCCGGCTCTGGTCTCCTGTTTGTCCCTCGTCCCCTCCGCTCCACCATCAGTGGCCGTGCCTTCAGCCCTTGTGCACCAAAACTCTGTCACTCTCTCCCTCTATCCCTACGCCTTGACCCCTCCCTTTCTCCCTCCCTACCTTCAAATCCCCCTAAAGACCTTCCTTTGTGATGGTGCTTATGGTCACCTCGCCCCTCCCTCTCCCCCTGGCTCGGGGTCAGACTCAGCCACTGTCATGCACTCCAGGACACTGCCCCACGTGAAAGGTGCTGTGTTAACCCAAGTTGTTGTTGTTGAAGCTTCAACGGGACAAACGGCTGAATGGTTGCCTCTGTCTCTCTGTGGCATTGACGGCTGTGGACAGCTGAGCACCGGCTTTGGAGTCTGAGGGATAGTTTTGCAGGAAGACCTGCGGGGATGAAGGGAGGAGAATAAAACAAAAATCCTCTCTCTCACAGGGTAAGCGATATCTGGGGCCCGGGGGCACTTGAGGGGGACCGATGTTTGCTGAATGCCCAGCTCTTCCCGGTCTTCCACACCTCGGAGCCCATCGGAATAGAGGACGTGCTGTGGTTCTTCAGAGGGGAGAGGAAGGAGAAGCCGGGCTGCCTTCTCAGGAAGTGGTCCTACTCCTGGCGCATGTCACTGCAGCAGGTCCTAAGCTGCCTGGACCAGGAGACCGAGCTGGCCTGGCGACGGAGGCTCTTCTTCAACCGGGCTCAGCACACAGTGAGACACACGCTCCTCGAGCACAGGGACAGCAGCCTCTTACCCTTGATCAGGGCAGCAGTGTGCGAAGGCCATGAGCAGCAGATACTCGGTGTGCTGGACACAGGTCAGCTGGTCTGTCGTGGGTTACACACTTCCATGCTTGATAATAATAATCCCTGCGTTTGATACAGTGCCTTATCACGTCTTTGATTCGTCTCAAAGCGCCTCACAAAAAATATACTGTAAAGCGCTCGCTCAGATCACTGGGTGGGAGTTGGCACTAGATTTGGCCTCAGCTGGGGAATTAAGCAAATACTGATCGCTATGCAGCCCCCTGCTGCATGGTGTGTGTGTGTGGTGGGGGGATGAGTGCGGATGGTAGTGTGTGGGTGGATGTGTGTGTGGAGGAGGCTGTGAATGTGTAGGAAGTCATTGCTTCTCTTTTTGCAGTGGCGTCCACAGCTGAGGACCTGGGTGTAGCTGCCCGCACATTGGCCAGTATTGCTGATGTTCTGGGCTGCCTGGCCAAAGGACAGGGTGGGCTGCGGAGCGGGCCTGCTGCCAACCAGGCCTGGACAACTGCCTTCCAGCTCCTGGAGAGCGGTAGGGTGGCCCCCGGCGTGGCCAAGCTCACAGAAGAGAGGGCCAATTGGCTCCACAGGCAAGTAGCCGTTCCTGTCAAAGGTTGTCCCTGAAATGGGAACATTTCTGTTAGAATTTGCAGGCGAAAGAAGACCAAGGTCATCTGGTTCGCCTTACATCGTCCTGGCAGTCGCTTGAAATATCGCTTGACTCCCGAGATATTATTTTCCAGCAGAAATCTACCTCATTTGTTCTCGAAACAAACAACATGTTCTGCTGCCACCGTCTGTCTCCCTAGTGAGGTTGTTCCATATGTTTACTACTCGCTCAGTAGACTAGTGTTTCCGCAGATTTATTCTGAATTTACCCCCATCAATCGCAGGCCGTGTCCTCTGGTTCTACTGTTCAGCACAGCTTCTCATGATCTACATGATCTATTCCCTTCAGAATCTTTAAAAAAATCTTTAAACATTCTCCAGCTGGTTTTCAGGAATAGTGTGCTGGTGTCCATGGGAGTCTATCTCCCTAATCTCTCTGACCTGCTGACTCCCCAAGCCACCACCCACTGCCTGCACTCATCTGGCTCCAGCCTCCTGCATATCCCTTGTATTCTTTGTTCCACCATCGGCGGCCGTGCTTTCAGCCACTACGCCCCCGAAACTCTGGAACTCTTTCCCTCAATCCCTCCGCCTTTCCCCTTGCTTCCCCTTTTTCAGATCGCGCTTTAAGACCTTCTTTTTCGACCGTGGCTATGTCCACCTCCGCCCGGCTCAGCGTCAAGCTCCGCTACTGCTAAGCGCTCCGAGACGCAACCCTGCATGAAGGGCACTATATAAATGCAAGTTGTTGCTGTTGGAGAGTTAGCGTAGTGGCCTACAAGTACACAGTTACTACACCTAATGTAGCACTGTGAAGCACTTAGAGATCTTGTGACAATGTGAGAAGCCGCCATATCAAACACGAGGATTATTATTCTTCCCTTTTAAGTTTCCTAATCGACTCCGCATCCACATCCCTCTGCAGCAGCCTGTTCCACATTCTCACAACCCTCTGTGTGGAGAAATGTTTTCTTCTCATTTTCGGTCTCCCCAAAACATCCGTTTTGTGGTACGGTAATAACACTCTAAATTTAGTTGCTATTACTCCTTCAACTTTGAGTTCATTTTAAAAGGAATGAATTTATAATGTGTTCAAAGTAAGGCCATTTTAGTCATCGGCTGCTGCCTTCAGCTCAAACAAACACTAGTGAGAATGTTCACATGAACATAAGAATTTGCTGGCGAAAGAAGCCTGAGGTCCATCTAGTTCGCCTTCCACTATCTTGGCAGTCGCTTGACATGTCGTGCCCCAAACTATACACTGTATTAGCCCCAGATATTATTTTCGAGCAGAAATTGATCTAATTTGTTCTTGAAACAAACGACACTTTCTGTTTCCACCGTCTGTCTCCCTCGGGAGCCTGTTCCATACGTTTACTACTTGTTCTAAACAGTCTATCTCTCCTCGTTCCTCTGGCTCTGGTATAAAAGACTCTTCCCAGTTAACTCCGGCTGTTGACTTTGTGTGGCAGGCCAGACCTGCTGGTGCGAGCAGCTCGACATTATGAGGGAGCTGAGCAGATCCTGATCAGACAGGCCGTCATGTCAGCTCGGCAGTTCATAATCACAGGGCAACGAGAGCTTCCCCCCATCAATCAGTGGGTACTGGCGGAGTGTCCTGCTCGCATCGACCTCTCAGGTAATAATAATAATAATCCTTGCTTTTAATACAGCACTTTTTCATTGATGAAACGTCTCATAGAAATAGGAGGAGGCCATTCAGCCCCTCGAGCCTGTTCCGCCATTCTGTAAGATCATGGCTGATCTGTAGCTTAAGTCCAATGACCAGCCCTTGCCCCGTATCCCTTGATTCCCCGACCTAACAAATATCTATCCACCTCAGTCTTGAAAAATTAATTTGATCCCGCATCCACAGCCTTCTGGGGGAGAGAGTTGCAGATTTTCACTGGCCTTTGGGTGAAAAGCTGCCTCCTCATTTCACTCCTAAATGGCCTGGCTCTAATTTTAAGATGATGCCCAAAACGCTTCACAGGAAATATTGTGAAGTGGATTGACTTGTGTCTTTGTGGGCGAAATATGGCAGCCAATTACACACAGCAACATCCCACAAACAGCCATGGAGGGGTAACCAATTTGCATTTAGCGGATTGTTGGCCAGGACACGGATGTTTTAGAAAGAACACAAATGTTGTAAACATGGATGTTGTAGACAGAAGTGTCAGACTGATTCAGTCAGTAGCACTCTCGGCCTCTTAAGTCAGAATGTTGTGGATTCAAGCCCCACATCGGGATTGGAACTCATACAATCTGGGCTGACACTCCCAATATAATGCTGGGCCGAGCGCTGCATTGTTAGAGGTATTGCCTACTTTAACTGAGGTCCCGCTGCCTGTTCAGACAGCAGAAAAGAGAAGCCAGTCTCTCCAGAGATCCAGGGCAATAAATTCCTGATAAAAATCAGTCACTTGCTTTCTGGCTATTTGTGAGATGTTGTTTTGCACAAATTAACTGCCATGTTCCCTACAAATGGTGCAATCTTAAAGAGGGTGAAGGAACAGAGAGACCTGGGAGTTCACATCAGCAAATCTTTGAAGGTGGCAGCACAGGCAGATAAAGCTGTTAGAAAAGCATATGGGATACGAGGCTTTATAAATAGGGCCATAGAATACAAAATTCGGGAAGTTACGATGAACATTTATATAGAACACTGGTGAGGCCTCAGCGAGAGACTGTGCTCAGTTATGGGCCCCACACTTTAGGAAGGGTGTCAAGGCATTGGAGAGGGTGCGAAGGAGATTGACCAGGATGGTACCAGGAATGAGGGACTTCAGTGATCAGGAGAGGTAGAGAAGCGAGGATTATTCTCACTGGAGCAGAGAAGGTTAAGAGGAGACTTAATAGAAGTTTTCAAAATTATAAGCGGATTCGAGAGGATGAACAAGGAGAAACTATTCCCACTGGCGGTGGGTCGGTAACCCGAGGGCACCGATTTAAAATAGCTGTTAAAAGAAACAGAGGGCGGTGAGGAGAAATGTTTTCACACAGAGAGTTGTTGGGATCTGGAATGCATTGCCTGAAAGGCCGGTGGGAACCGATTTGATAACAGCTTTTAAGAGAGAAGTAGATAATTATTTGGGGACGACAAGTTTGCAGAGCTATGGGGAGAGCGCGGGCAAGTGGGGTTGATCAGGGCTATGGGGAGAGCGCAGGGGAGTGGGGTTGATCAGGGTTATGGGGAGAGCGCGGGGGAGTGAGGTTGATCAGGGCTATGGAGAGAGAGCGGGGGAGTGGGGTTGATCAGGGTTATGGGGAGAGAGTGGGGGAGTGGGGTTGATCGGGGCTATGGGGAGGGAGCGGGGGAGTGGGGTTGATCGGGGCTATGGGGATAGAGCGGGGGAGTGGGGTTGATCAGGGCTATGGGGATAGAGCGTGTGAGTGGGGTTGATCGGGGCTATGGGGAGAGAGTGGGGGAGTGGGGTTGATCAGGGCTATGGGGAGAGAGAGGGGGAGTGGGGTTGATCAGGGCTATGGAGAGAGAGCGGGGGAGTGGGGTTGATCAGGGCTATGGGGAGAGCGCGGGGGAGTGGGGTTGATCAGGGCTATGGGGAGAGAGCGGGGGAGTGGGGTTGATCAGGGCTATGGGGAGAGCGGGGGAGTGGGGTTGATCAGGGCTATGGGGAGAGAGTGGGGGAGTGGGGTTGATCGGGGCTATGGGGAGAGCGCGGGGGAGTGGGGTTGATCAGGGCTATGGGGAGGGAGCGGGGGAGTGAGGTTGATCGGGGCTATGGGGAGAGAGTGGGGGAGTGGGGTTGATCAGGGCTATGGGGATAGAGCGTGGGAGTGGGGTTGATCAGGGCTATGGGGAGAGAGTGGGGGAGTGGGGTTGATCAGGGCTATGGGGAGAGAGTGGGGGAGTGGGGTTGATCAGGGCTATGGGGAGGGAGTGGGGTCGATCGGGGCTATGGGGAGAGAGTGGGGGAGTGGGGTTGATCAGGGCTATGGGGAGAGTGGGGGAGTGGGGTTGATCAGGGCTATGGGGAGAGTGGGGGAGTGGGGTTGATCAGGGCTATGGGGAGAGTGGGGGAGTGGGGTCGATCAGGGCTATGGGGAGAGAGTGGGGTTGAATTGGAAGCTCTTTTCATGATGGGCTGAATGGCCTCCTTCTGTACTGTATAATTCTATGATTCTATGAAATTCATAGTCAGTCCACATTACAGACGTTTTGATAATTAGAAACATAGAAACAGGAGTAGGCCATTCAGCCCCTTGAGCCTGTTCCACCATTCTCTAAGATCATGGCTCTGTAAGACCACTATGCTACAGGACCCCACAAATCCTTTTTTGATTAATAAATGGGTTCCTCAGCATGTTCAATGCTTTAGAAACTCTACAATTACACATCTGCCAATAAGAAATCTGTTTAAAAAATACCACAGATTAGATTCCACCGCTTTAACCTCATTTGCCTGCTCTCTCCCATCAACCTTTTATATCTTTATTCCTCGAGGGGCTATTAATTTTAAATGATGTTATTGACTTGGCTTCAGTGATCACTGTGACAATGCATTACACATGCTGTTCTCATTGAAAGCCCGCGTTCACAATTGGTGATAAATTAAGTGGCTGCCTCCGGCAGATTGCTGCATTGCTGACTGGCCTGTACAGGCTGTTCACAAAGTCTTGTTACCCCCTCCCCCATGTTTTTTCTACACACAGTGAAAGGTGGAAGAATGATGATAACTGCATTTAGACGTCCAGTGGATCGGTGTGTGTGGGAGTGTGTCTGTGTGTGTGTGTGTGTGTGAGTGTGTCTGTGTGTGTGTGTGTGTGTGAGTGTGTGTGTGTGTGTGAGTGTGTGTGTGAGTGTGTCTGTTTGTGTGTGAGCACCATCATTTTCATGGCAAACAATGATCCATCGCCATGTTCAGTGCCACATCTTCTGTCACATGGATAATAATAATAATAATAATAATAATAATAATAATAATAAGCCTTGCATTTGATACAGGACCTTATCACGTCTTCAAGACGTCTCAAAGCGTTTCACAGGATATAATGTAAAGTGTAGTGACTGTTTATTTTGTGGACGAAACGCATGATGGAATGAGCAGGAAGTTACTGGTGTCCGACATTGTTACACTCCATTCATCTGCAACAGAGAATAAAAATTAATTGTAAGAAAAAACACAAGATGGAGGCGGGCGAAACAGGACTTTACCTGTACACCAAGCCTGTCTAAGCTCCCGTTCAGTTCAGCGCTAAGACGGACAGATTTAAGATAATTGTCAAAAGAACCAGAGGGGAGATGAGGAGAATGTTTTTACACAGAGTTGTTAGGGTCTGGAATGCACGGCCTGAAAGGGTCAGTGGGAACAGATTCAATAACAACTTTCAAAAGGGAATTGGATAGAGACTTGGAAAGGAAAAACTTTCAAAAGTATGGGGAAAGAGCAGGGGAGTGGGACACATTTATAACATCAAGGCTTGACTACACAAACTTACTGCTTGCCGGCCTACCCAACTCCTCCCTCCACAGGCTGCAGATCATCCAGAACTCTGCAGCCCGTGTCCTCTCCCCCATCCTCACCTGACTCCACTGGCTTCCCTTCACACAGAGGATACAGTTCAAGATCCTGGTCCTCACCTTCAAAGCCCGCCATGGTCTTGCTCCCCCGGACCTCTGTGACCTCCTAACCTCCTACCAACCTGCCTGCTCCCCCCGCTCAGCGGGCACCGGCCTGCTTCACGTCCCCTGCCTCGCTCGCTCCACTATCGTCGGGCGGGCCTTCCGCCACTCTGCCCCCACCCTCTGGAACTCCATCCCGCAGTCCCTCTGCCTCGCCCCCTCCCTTACCACCTTCAAGACCCGCTTCAAGATCATCCTCTTCGATCGTGCCTTCGATCACCCTCCTTCCCCCTCTGCCTTCCATCCTCCCAGATCCCGACCCCCAGCTCAGGTCCAAAACACTGATTGTCCAGCTCCTCGGGTCATCCTCCCAACCTGAAAGCCGCTATACACATGTCATTTTGTTGTGTTGGGTTGCTCTTCCAAAGAGTCGGCACAGGCACGATGGGCCGAATGGCCTCCTCCTTTGCTGTAATATTCTAGGATTCTATTCTATGACAGAGTTTGATGCTTTTCTCTCAGGTGGTTGGAGTGACACTCCCCCAATCACATATGAACACGGTGGAGCTGTGGTGGACATCGCTGTTCTGGTGGACAAGCGCAAACCTATTGGGGCCAAAGTGCGGCGTATCGCGGAGCCAAAGCTGCACTTGGTCCTCAACAGTGGAGGGATACAGGGGGAGATAGCTGTGGAGATCGTGTGTCACAGCTTGGAGGACCTGCAGGATTACTGCCAGCCACACGCTCCAGGTACAGGATCTCTCTCTCTTTCTCAGCATAATAATAATAATAATACAGCGCCTTGTCACATTCTTGAGACGTCTGAAAGCACTTCACAGAATATACTGTAAAGTGAATTGATTGTATAATTTGTGGGCGAAACGCGGCAGCTAATTGCGCACAGCAGCGTCCCACAAACAGCCAAGGAATGAGTGACCAAATTTTATTTGGGGAATTGGTTGGCCAGGACACGGGGAGAGAGAAACTTTCTTCTCTTTTCGAATAGCTCCCTGGAATCTTTGTCAGTGGGAGAATGAATTGTTGAAGATGATTTTTCATTAGGAAGCGAAACAAAGTCAAGTAAAGCAGTTGATTGGAATGTCCGTGACTGAGGTTACCAGGAGCCCCTCCACACACTGTCAGGTTTGGATGATTATTTCTTGAGTAAGTTATCGTAGAACATTGCAGTTAGAGGCTGTGCTGTTTGTTGGCAGGAGCTTTGGTGAAGGCAGCTTTCATCTGCACAGAGATCATCAGCTACCCCTCCCACACCTCTCTGCAGGACCAGCTGATGAATGCATTCGGGGGCGGCTTTGAACTTCATTCCTGGTCTTGTTTGCCTCATGGCTCTGGCCTGGGTGAGTTTTTTTACATAGATTCATAGAATGTTACGGCACAGAAGGAGGCCATTCGGCCCATCGAGTCTGTGCGGCTCTTTGACAGAGCGTCACTCTCACTAACCCCAATCACCAGCTTTCTCCCCATAACCCCACAAACCTGTCTTCCCCCAATACCTATCCAGTTCTCTCTTAAAAGCTGTTATCGAATCGGATCATTCCAAATCCGAACAACTCACTGAGTGAAAACATTTCTTCTAACCTCCCCTCTGCTTGTTATAATAATAATAATCCTTGCATTTGATATAGCGCTTTTCACGTCGGGAGGACGTCCCAAAGCGCTTCACAGAACACACTGTAAAGTGAATTGACTGTATATTTGTGGACGAACGCGGCAGCCAATTGCGCACAGCAATGTCCCACAAACAGTCGTAGATTGAAAATGACCAATTTATTATTGTTTTTGTTTTTTGGAGGGATTATTATTAGGCTCTGTGTGGAGTAAGGAAACTTGCCCAAGGTTTCGCCTTCTGCCTGGAATTGAACTCGGATCTCTCACTTGCAAAGCGAGTGCTCTAACCACTGAGCTACAGGACTCCACTTGTTTTGGTAGATATCTTAAGACTGTGACCACGAGTCACAGACACACCTACAGCGGAAACAGCTTTTCCCTATCTCGCCTGTCGAAACCTTTCATGATCTTGAAGACCTCTATCAGGTCCCCGCGTAACCTTCTCTGCTCTAATGAGAAAAGTCCTAACTTCTCCACTGTCCTCATAGCTAAGGTTCCCCATTCCTGGTATCATTCTCATGAATCTCCTCTGCGCCCTTTCCAGTGCCTTAATATCCTTCCTGAGGAACGGTGCCCAGAACTGGACGCAATACTCCAGCTGAGGCCTAACCAGTGTTTTGTATAGATTAACCATAACCTCCCTACTCTTATACTCTATGCCCCTACTAATAAAGCTCAGTACACCAGGGGCAGATAGCCGTGGAGATTGTGTGTCACAGCTTGGAGGAGCTGCAGGATTACTGCCAGCCACATGCTCCAGTTAACAGTTACTGTAACCTGTACCCGAAAGGAGAGGAGACACCAATCCTGTTTGAACGCCTTGTTTCTCATCATAATGGAGTTTATAAGACGTGAGCCTCACTCTCTCTCCTGCAATCTCTCCGCCTACACCCCTCCCTCCCCACCGGCAAATCCTGCTGAAAGATCTTCCTTTGTTTGATTGTGTTACGGTCATCTCCCCCCTCACTCTCTCCATGTCTCGTTGTCAAACTCTGCCACTGTCAGGCGCTCTGGAATGCTACCCCGTGTGAAGGGCACTATATAAATGCAAGATGTTTTTATTGGACTCATTGACAGTGATGCAGGAACTCCACTCCAACTTGTGTCTGGCTTTCAGTGTAACATGTTTTGCACCGTTTGGGAAGGATGGAAGGAATTTGTTTCTATAGCCTCTTATCGTGTTGAAACGTTTCCAAGCGCTTCACAATAATTACCATTTTCTAAGCAAACCCGGTAGCCACTTGTGCTAGCAAAGTCCTGGGGGATTATTTGCCAGGACATTGGGAGAGAGAAACTCCCTTCCCTTTTCCAGTGGTGTCTATGGGATCATTGCACTATCAATCAAGATTATAATCCAGATCTTGACATAAGGTGTGATCCCACAACGTTCATTATAACCTGCTCAGAACTTAATTCTCAAACACTACATAATAATAATAATAATAATAATCCTTGCATTTGATATAGTGCCTTATCTGCCCTATGGCAGAATATACTGTGAAGTAAATTGACTGTGTATTGTATAACAAAGGCAGAATACAGAATAAGGTGTTGGGGGTGAGGCTGGGGTTGTTGGGGGTAGTGAGGTGTTTGGGGGTGAGGCTGGAGGTGTTTTGGAGGGTGAGGATGCTGGGGGTTGAGCGCTGATCTGATTGTTTCTCTCGCGGTGGCAGGGACAAGCAGTATCCTGGCGGGGGCGGTGATGGCAGCTTTGCTCACGGCGGCCGGCAGATCCTATGACACCGACTCACTCATCCATGCCGTGCTCCACTTGGAGCAAATGTTGACAACAGGTAATTTCAGTCATTCCAGAATATCCCGTTAACATTCCTGTCCCATCTCATGTTTGCGGCCAAAACCCTGGTCCCTGCTTTGATCACCTCAGGGCTCGATTCCCTCAACGTTCTCTTTACGTGGGTTCATACTGTAATAATGTTTACTGTATAAACTAATGCATCCCAAACTCTGCCGCTCGTGGCCTCTCCTGTATCATGTTACCCGCTCACTGTCACCAAGCTCCACAGATTCCCAGTTCTTTTTTACATCAACTTCAAGATCCTTGTCCGGATCTTCAACCCCCTTCCTGATCTTAATAATATTAATAATAATCCCTTAAAAAAATTAATAATGCGTTAACTCAATCCATCATTGTGTGTCGTAGATTGAGTGAATGTTTGTCCTGGTTATCCACTGGCACTGTTCCCACCCCTCTTAAATCAGCCGTCATCACCCCCATCCTCAAAAAAACCATCAATATTCTCCAAGGCCTTGGAACGCCTCATCTCCAACCTCCCATTCCTCTCCAAGGCCTTGGAACGAATCATCGCGTCCTATCTTCGCTCTTTCCTCTCCCAAATGTTCCTTCTCTGAACCCCTCCAATCAGCATGCCCACAGCATGGAAATGGCCCTTGTCAAAGTCACTACGACATTCTGTCCATCTGCGACCAGGGCTCTCTCTGCCTCCTTGTTCTCCTTGACCTCTTTTCTGCCTTCGAAACTGTCGACCATTCTGTCCTCCTCCATCGCCTCTCCTCTCAGCTCAATCTTCATGGACCTGTCCTTGCTGGTTTGAATCCTACCTCTCCCACTGTCTCCACTTTGTCTCCATTCATGGCTTCTCCTCCAGACCCCGCACCATCATGGCGTCCCTCAGGGCTCTGTCCTTGGTGACCTACTTTTCAACATTTACATGTTCCCTCTTGGTGACATCATCTGTAGACATGGGGTCAACTTCCACATGTATGTGGATAACACCCAACTCTATCTCTCTGCCTCCACCCTCGACTCCAGGACCCATTGCTGTCCTCACAGACACCCTATCGGACATCAAGTCCTGGATGAAAGCAAACTTCCTCCAGTTGAATGTCAACAAGACCGAGGCTCTGCTGCTTGGCTCCTGTTAGCGCCTCCACACCTCGGGTACTGACATCATCATCCTTCATGGATGCACTCTAAACCTCACGGAGCCAATACAGAAACTCAGCGTCCTGTTTGACCCTCAACTGTCCTTCATTCCCTCACATCCATTCAATGACCCGATCTGCCTTTCCTCACCTCCACAACATCACCCGGCTCCACCACTGTCTCTCACCGCAGGCTGCCGAGACACTCATCCATGCGTTCATCACATCCAGGCAAGACTACATAAACTCCCTGCTTGTCGGCCTCCCCAACACCTCCCTCTACAGACTGTAGATCATCCAGAACTCGAGTTCTCTCCCGCATCAGGCCCTGTGACCCTATCATCCCCATCCTCGCCCGACTCCACTGGCTTCCCATCACACAGATACAGTTCAACATCCTGGTCCTCACCTCCCTTACCAACCTGTCCGTTCCCTCCACTCAGCGGGCTCCAGCCTGCTTCACATCCCCCGCCTTGCCCACCCCACCATTTGCGGTTGGGCCTTCAGCCACTCTGCCCCCACCCTCTGGAACTCCATACCGCAGTCCCTCCGCCTCGACCCCTCTTTTGCCTCCTTCAAGACCCATCTCAAGACCCTCCTCTTCGACCATGCCTTTGGCCACCCTCCTATCCTTATCCTCCCTGCCCTCCACCCCTCCACCCCTACTGATCCCAACCACCAGCTTGGGTGTGGGTCCCTGTCTGTCCAGTGCCTTGGGACGTCCTCCTGATGTGAAAGGCGCTGTACATATGTAGTTTGTTGTAGTTTGTGGTTTCCTTCTGTTGAGAAGGAGCACTATGTTCTGGCACAGACGCTGCATCACAGCCGATCCCAAACACCTGGTGAAACTCACTGTCATATAGTTGGGTGCCTTATTACCTCACCTGTATTGGCTGGGTGCCTCGGGACAAAGCAGCAGGACCTGGGACTGTTTGAGGATGATATTGGAGGAGTTATGGTACGGTTACCTATCTGTGGTAGTGAGGAGTGAGCTTGTCCTGCGACATTCCTCTGAGAAAATGAATGATCAGGGTCTCACAGGGCTCGGTAACATCTGTTTGCCTTCCAGGCGGAGGCTGGCAGGACCAGGTTGGAGGCTTAGTCCCTGGTATCAAGATCGGACGCTCCAAACCCCACCTGCCCCTGCGGGTGGAGGTTGAGCCCATCGCGGTGACGGATGATCTTGTGAAGAGGCTGAATGACCGCTTGTTGCTGATTTACACAGGGAAGACACGGCTGGCACGCAACCTGCTCCAGGTTAGATACTCATTCCCCAGGACAAGGTGTCGGCTCCCAAACCACGAGGATGGCTGGTGGAGTCCTGCCGTTTAGTGGTTAGAGCTTTGCGAGCGAGAGAGGACCTGGGTTCAATTCCCGGGCAGGGCGAAATGTTGTTTCCTTACTCCACACGCTTCTGTTTATTTAGCAGTAAGTAGGAACCGGGTTGTTAGTTGATTGACAGATCGCTTTTCCAGAAGTAATAATCCCAAAACAATAAATACATTTGAAAAATAATAATTTGGTCACTCAATCCATGTCTGTGTGTGGGACACTGCTGCGCAATTATTATTATTATTTTTTTGAAGGATTATTACCCCCAGAAAAGCGAACCACCAATTGACTAACAACCGGGTTCCGATTTACTGCTGGTAAACAGCAGCAACAACGTGTATAACGCCTTTCACGGTAGGAGGATGTCTCAAGGCGCTGGACAGTCAGGGATTTGGACCCCAGCTGGTGGTTGGGGTCAGGAGGGGTGGAGGGCAGGGAGGGTATGGATAGGAGGGTGGCCGAAGGCACAGTCGAAGAGGAAGGTCTTAAGACGGGTCTTGAAAGTGGCAAAGGAGGGGCGAGGCAGAATGGACTGTGGGATGGCATGTGGAGTAAGGAAACTTGCCAAAGGTTTTGTCCTGCCTGGGAATTGAACCCAGGTCCTCTCGCTTACGAAGTGAGTGCTCTAAACACTGAGCTACAGGACTCCACAAGCTACAAAATGCACCAAAGGTGGGACTTGTCTAACTTGCTTGGACTTTCCTAGTGTCTGAATGTATTGAGTTGGGTTTGAATTGCAGGATGTCCTGAGAAACTGGTACGCCAGGAGACCCTTCATCATCCACAACACTGAGGCTTTGGTCAGCAATGCAGAGCAATGTGCCCGGGCGCTCAGTAACGGTAAGCGAGTGTTTGGTACATTCTTCTTCTAAAATACCATGTACAGACTGCATTTCCAGTGATTTTGCATAATTAACAAAGGTCGTCACTACTGAGGTCAATGCAACTATACACCTTGGTGTCATTATACACATCTCTGTCTAACTACATAGTAACAGTGAGCTCTGGGGAAAACTTTTCACACAAACACATACACCACAGCTCGTATGGTGTAAATGCACAGTGTGGTGCTGGGCTGTGTTTTATGGGAAGCTCCCAGCTTTATGCTTCATCTCTGCTGAGTTAGCATGTGTAGCTGAGGCAGCAGTGAAGACACGTCAGTAGGTCCCAAAGCCCTTGGGCTACAGAGAGGAAACCACAAAGGCTCCATCTCGATCTATCACATACACACACACACACCTGGAAACGCTGAGACACACCAGGGCTCACTACCCAGCTTCACACATTGAAAACGTAGTGAGATCCTGAAGGGCAGGTGGCTGTAATGGAAGCATAGTGTAAACCCAGCAGGAGGTAGGGAGCAGCTTCAGGAGGGAAAGGATTAGTGCTGAGGGAAACCAAAGGTGAGCAGGTTTCCACAAAGCCTCGTCAGCTCATGTTTGATTAGTGATGAGTCGAGATATCACATCACTGAACAGGAAACCCAGACTGTTGCTGGTGGGTACCTCTTCTGTAGCTGAACTTGTGGGCTGCCGAGTCCGTCTTTGTGGCTAACGCTGTACTCAGATGAGTAAATCAGGTTGTTTTTCTTTGTTAGCCTTAACAAGGTGCCCAGGCCCAGTGCAGCACACCATCACACTGAAAAGAGTAGGCAAGAAGATGAGCTAAATCAGAAAGTAGAGTATAGTGACGTGAAGCTTGTGGTGTATCCACTACGAGTCTAGGAGGAAGGGGAGTCACAAGGAGGTAAGGAGTCTACCCACACGTTTGAGCACATCTGCTGGGCATCTTCTACATGTAACAGACAGCACTTTCCTCAACTTGTGATTGATTTTGAAACCACTCGCAACAACTCACCTTTCACGTAAAATTAACATGTTGAAGCGCTTGACAAAGTAAGATTAATTAGAAATGAAGAGACGATTACTATGAGCAAACACAATCCCTAATTCAGCCAAGCAATATCCCACAGAGGGGAGGAGTATCCAATTCATTTCACTTTGAGGTTAATTTGGATGAGGAGGGAAAATAAGGTTTAGTATTATCTTATCGAAGGCAAATGATGTACAACGTTCAGTGAGATGATAATAATAATAATAATCCTTGCATTTGATGCAGCGCCTTATCACCTTATTGAGACGTCTCAAAGCGCTTCACAGAATATATGGTAAAGTGGAGTGACTATGTATTTTGTGGCGAAACATATGACAATAAGCACACTGGTTAATGAGTCCTGTAGCTCAGTGGTTAGAGCACTTGCCTCACAAGCGACAGATCTGCGTTCAATTCTCGGCGGGGAGAAATGTTGGGCAAGTTTCCTTACTCTACACACGCGCTTCTGTTTACCCAGCTGTAAGCAGAAACCTGGTTGTTAGTCGATTGGTGGATCGCTTTCTGGGATAATAATGCCTTCAAATAATGATAATAATAATTTGGTCCGCAACTGTTTGTGGGGACACTGTTGTGCGCAATTGGCTGCCGCGTTTCGCCCACAAAATACACAGTCACTATACTTACAGTGTATTCTGTGAAGCGCTTTGAAACGTCTCAAAGTCGTGAAAAGGCTTTATATCAAATGCAAGGATTATCATAATGATGTACAACTCTTACAGGTGACCTGGCCCAGATTGGACAGTGCCTGAACACCTACTGGCACCAGAAGAAATGCATGGCCCCTGGGTGTGAGCCCTCGGCTGTGCGGCGGATGATGGCAGCACTACAGCCACACGTCCATGGGCAGAGTCTAGCTGGAGCTGGGGGCGGAGGTTTCCTGTACATCCTGACCAGGAAACCCCAGCAGAAGGCCGCCATAGAGAGCATTCTAGCGCAGAGTGAGGTATGCAGAAAGCTCAGCTGAAAGTCACTCGCTCCCAACGTCACTGACTCTTTATTTACAATATCTCAAACCGTAGGCAAGTTTCCTCACTGCACACACACACCTCTGTTTACCCAGCAGTAGGTAGGAACCCGGTTGTTAGTCGGGTGGCGGATCACTCTTTCTGGGGGTAATAATCCCTTCAAAGAAAATGTAATAGTAATTTGGTCACTCAATCCACGACTGTTTGTGGGACGCTGCTGTGGGCAATTTGCTGCCATGTTTGACCCACAAAATTTCCAGTCAATTAATTTTACAGTATATTTTGTGAAGCGCTTTGAGACGTCTCGACCTAATAAGGCGCCATGTCAAATGCAAGAATTATATTAAATACTGGTTGAATCTCCTGATGCACTGCAGTAACAAACCACTTTACAGCCAGCTCAGATTATTGTCAGAGACGCTAGTTATGCATTTAAAGGATTGGAGGAATGATGATCCTTTGTGCCAAGATCCAAACCAAATTACATGGGTATGGGGAGGGCAGAAATGGTCGGAGGATGGCTGAAGGCACGGTCGAAGAGGAGGGTCTTGAGTCGTGCTTCAAGGAAGCAAGGGAGGGAGCAAGGCGGAGGGAATGTAGGATGGAGTTCCAGAGGGTCTGGGTAGAGAGGCTGAAGACCCAACCGCCGATGCTGGGGCAAGTCAGCGGGGGACATGGAGCAGGCCGGAGCCTGCTGAGCGGTGGAAGTGGACAGATTGATAGAGGTTCAGCAGGTGTTAGACGTAGGAGGGGGCAAGGCCGTGGAGGGCCTTGAAGGTGAGGACGAGGATTTTGAACGTGTTCCTCTGAGGCGAGCCAGTGGAGTCGGGCGAGGATGGGGGTGATAGGGTCACGGAACCTGGTGCGGGAGAGGACACGAGTTGCAGAGTTCTGGATGATCTGCAGCTTGTGTGGAGGGAAGAGTTGGGGAGGCCGACAAACAGAGTTGGTGTAGTCGAGGCTAGATGTAATGAAGGGTTTTTTTGTATGAGGGTTTCGGTGGCCTGAGGCGTGAGGCTGTGGTGGAGTCAGATGGTGTTGCAGAGGTGGGGGATGGTAGAGCGGCTCATGGCACAGATGTGGGGGAGAAAGAACAGTTGAGGGTCTAACAAGACGCCTAGGTTCCTGACTTGCTCGGTGAGGTGTGCACAATGATGGCTTTAGGACCTTGAAATGAGAGCGTCCACTATTAAGAAGCGAGAAATAAGGGAAATCAAGAGGAAGATTTTCACACAAATGTAACTGCTGATGGGGCGGTTCTTCTGTTAGTCTTCATTACAGAGAATCACATCTCCTCAACAGAATAATGGAACCTCGAGTATGACAAAGAAAACATTTTATCAGGAGATTGTTAATGAACAGGTGCTGTAATGAACTTTCGCTTCAGCTAATAAGTGGTGGAGAAGTAGAGAAAGAGGTTACTGAATTAATAGAAACATAGAAACAGGAGTCGGCCATTCAGTCCCTCGAGCCTGTTCTGCCATTCTATAAGATCATCTGTACCTCAACTCTGATTACCAGCCCTTGCCACATATCCCTTGATACCCTGACCTAACAAATATCTCTCCACCTCAGTCTTGAAGATGTGAATGGATCCCGCATCCACAGCCTTTTGGGGGAGAGAGTTCCAGATTTCCACTACCCTTTGGGTGAAAAACTGCCCCTGATTTCACTCTTGAATGGCCAGGCTTTAATTTTATCATTATGCCCCCCTTGTTCTGGACTCCCCACCCCCACTGAGGAAATAATTTCTCTGTAGCTACTCTTATCAAATCCCTTTATTATTTGAAACACCTCAATCAGATCTCAATGTCAATGTGACCTGTTGCTGTGTTACAGGGTTTGGGGAACTTCAGTGCCCATGAGGTGGAGGTGGATCAGACTGGAATCACAGTGCGTCTGCCTGGAGCGGAGCAATAATCCATCTACAAGGCCCTTCATTGGCTACTTTCACTATCACTGCAATCAGCTGCTGCTTTCTAACCAAACAACACTTGGATTGATAAATGATGGTTCGAAATTTTGGGAAAACACGGCTGGAATCTGGGACACGTCTATGAGTGATCGAGATCTTCAATGAAGCAAATGTAACTTGATAATTTTATCAGTAATTATTTAAAAGTATATGATTGAGAAATCAGGTGTCCCTCCAGGGAGAGAGCGCACATTCCATTCCAACAATCTATCTCTGGGATTTCCATGTGTAATTGGGATGCCTGGAATTCTCCTTGGTTTGGAGACTCTTAAGCAACGGTGATGGGTTTCCGCGTGTGTCAGACTGACCAAAAAAAAAGGAAATCAGACAATCCTGATCATTCCAATACGTACGAGGACCATTAAAGTTATCACGTTACCCATTTTCAGTTGGTAAATAGACTTTCTCCTAAATTTGATCCACAAAAATCCTGAATTGAGATTCTTTCCGGTGATACCCGCACATGGGGTTTGCAGGAATGTGCACACCTGCAGTGTGCATCCAGGTGAGCTCCAGAGCTAAGTGCTCCTGGTTTCCTCATGTGCATTCCTGTGATTGGATTTTGTGCTGGACCACTAAGTTGAACCTTGGTAACACTTAAAATTTTGTACAGTCTGAGTTAGAGATAGGAAAGGTCACAGAAAGTGATAGAGAATTAAAGACTCAGGGTGAAGTAGCAGAGAGAGAGGCTGGCACAGTGAGTGTAGCTCCTAATGGAATATTTGTTTAGTTAACACTGAAGCCAGTTTATTGAGTGATGTCCAATTATCTGCATTATTGGTTCCCCCCCCCCCCCCACATTGTTTGACACCAAAAATAAACCCTGAAAACATCCCCAAATACCCAGGTATTCACTTTGTGGATGAAAAAACACTTTAAAGGTTTTTAGATTTACTCTACCTAGTTCTGTACGTTTGTCGGGATTCAAATTAAAACAAGATTTTCTATCTATTGTGGAGGGTTTTAACGTTAGACCCTAACCTAAGGTTACCGGACTTAAATACACAGCCATGAACCAGAGTCTGAGTGGCAGCTACTTCTGAAAGTTACAATTTGGTGCCAATCAGACAGGACAGAACTATGTGCAATATTAGTTTAGTGGAAAGGACATGTAAGGTAGGGAATGGGATTGAGTGGCCGACAAATGATCAAATGGCCTGGTTCTCACCTCTGAGTCAGAAGGTTGTGAGTTCAAGCCCCACATCAGGAATCGCACGGTCTAACCTCATGCTCCAATGCAGCACTGGGTGGGGGGGGAGTGTTGCATTGTCGGAGGTGCCGTCCTTCAGATGAGACAAATTGAGGTCCTGTTTGCCTGTTCAGGTGGACGTTAAAGATCCCGCGGCGCTATTCGAAAAGTGAAGGAAGTCTCTCTCCCCCCCCCCCCCCCAGTGTCCTAACCAACAATCCCCCAAATAAAATTGGTCACTCGTTCCAAGACGGTTTGGGGGACGCTGCTGTGCACATATTGGCTGCCGTGTTTCTCTCACAAAATACAGTCACTCCACTTTACGGTATATCATGTGAAGCGCTTTGAGACGTCTAAATACTTGATAAGGCGCCATATCAAATGCAGGGAATGTTAGTATTAAATCACAAGCGTGTATTGATCTGAAGCCTCAGCTCCAGACACCAGATACACGGATACAGTGCTGCAAAGCTCTCGGGTCTACTCAGGATAGGGACCTGTGTGGGACAGAAGAACATTGTTCTTACTCGGTTGCAGCAACAATAACTAATTACTTTTGTATAGCAGCTTTCACGCCCGGAGGACGTCCCAAGGCAATATTCACACAGAAAGATCAACAATCGGCGTCTGATTATTTCCAAGTTTAATCCAAAAAATGTTGGAGTTAATAACCACGATATAATCAAACCAATATTCAGTTTACATTTCTCTGTGTCATCACAGTCTGCAGACAAATAACAATTAAATACCAGGGGACAGATTTAAGATAATTGGCAAAAGAACTAGAGGGGAGATGAGGAGAATGTTTTTACACAGAGAGTTGTTAGGGTCTGGAATGCACGGCCTGAAAAAGTGATGGAAACAGATTCAAAAACAACTTTCAAAAGGGAATTGGATAGGGAGTTGGAAAGGAAAAACTTGCAAAGATATGGGGAAAGAGAGGGGGAGTGGGGCTGATTGGGCGGCTCTTCCAAAGACCTCCTTCTGTGCTGTAATATTCTATGAACTTTCATTGCTGACACACGACACAGATACTGCTCATGCTATCACACATCTAGAACCTTCCCACTGCCTTTATGATTTTATTTCAAGTATCTGTGTATATTTTATTAATCTTAAATTGATCTTGTATATAATTGTGGGCTATTATCTGCTGCCTTGTCTCAGAATTCAACCTCTCCATTATTGGACGTTTTATTGTTTGCAAAATGAAAATGAAAACTTGAAAGAAACAGTTCAAATAAATGAACTGATTGTAATAATTCCAAACAAATAACTTTTGTTAATGTTTGCGCATGAACGATCTCAGATTCTGCAGTTAACGTGACTCCATCACTAAACCTCCCACGGGAGGGGACTCGTATAGGGAAAGAGAAGTGACTGTTAACACTGGTTGTTGCTCAGTTGACTCCAGTTGCTGCTTCTCTGCAGTACTGAGCTCATCTTCATTCAAAGTGCAATCAAGGTGATTGTTGGTTACCTGTATATGTTAAACTCTCCCCTCGCCAGAGACACATTGTAAATTGTCAATCATTTTGGAGGCACTGTTTGGTCTGCAGTTTGAGGATCACGTAGTTTTATGATCCAATGCTTTAACTTTGCAGTGAAGCTGTTTTTGCTAAATGTTGGTTTGTAAGAGAGAAATCCTTTCCCAACCATCCCCTGATCATCTGCCCTCCACTGCTGAGATCGTTGCTCACACTGGATTACAATTCTAGACACTGGAAGTCCTGAGTGGCCAATTATTATGTTTTTTGCACCTAAAATAGTTTTCCCAATGTGAAATGAAGAATGTCTCTGTACTGAGTCACTTTATCTAATGTTCGTTTCAACTTTATTCACTCAATGTCCCACCTGCTCCCAGATCAGAAGAGTAACTCAGCTGTTACAGCACTCACCTCGCAATTGAAGACCAATTGCTAGATGGTACAATCGTAAAGGGGGTGAAGGAACAGAGAGACCTGGGTGTCATATAGTAAATCTTTGAAGGTGGCCGGACAGGCAGATACAGCTATTAAAAAAGCATCCGGGATACTGGGCTTTATAAATAGGGCCATAGAATACACAAGTCAGGAAGTTATGATGAACCTTTGTATAAAACACTGGTTAGGCCTCAGCGAGAGACTGTGTTCAGTTCTGGGCCCCACACTTTAGGAAGGGTGTCGGGGCATTGGAGAGGGTGCAAAGGAGATTGACCAGAATCGTACCAGGAATGAGGGACTTCAGTGATCAGGAGAGGCGAGAGAAGCGAGGATTATTCTCCTTAAGGTTAATAGAAGTTTTCAAAATTTTGAGGGGATTCAATAGGGTGAACAAGGAGAAACTATTCCCACTGGCGGTGGGTCGGTAACCCGAGGACACAGATTTAAAATAGTTGTTAAAAGAAACAGAGGGAAGAAGAGAAATTCTTTCACACAGCGAGTTGTCTGGAATGCATTGCCTGAAAGGGTGGTGGAAGCCGTTTCGATAGCAATCTACTTTTAATCATCTACTTCTAATGATAATTATCTACTTCTCTCTTTTAAGAGAAAAGGTGATAATTATTTGGGGAGGACAAGTTTGCAGGGCTATTGGGAGAGAGTGGGGGAGTGGGGTTGATTTGGAAGTTCTTTTCAGAGAGCGGCACAAACACAATGGGCTGAATGGCATGTATCTGTGCTGTATAATTCTATGATTCTATGACCTGGGTTTGATTCCCAGGCAGAGCAAAATGTTAGGCAAGTTTCCTTACACCGTACGCAGAGGTTTACCTAGAAGGAACCCGGTAATTAAGTAAGTAGGTAAGTAAAAAGTAAGTAGAAACCCAGTTGTTAGTCGATTGGCGGATCGCTTTTCCAGGGGTTACCCTTCAAAAGAAGAAAAAATTAAATAATAATTTGGTCACTTCAATCCACGGCTGTTTGTGAGACACTGTTGTGTGCAATTGGCTGGAAGGTTTCTCCCACAAAATATACTTGACATTATAATCTGGGAAGCGCTTTGAGACATCTCGAAGACATTATAAAGGATTGAGAATTGTATTATAACACACAGCTCCCTCTGAAATTTCCCTTTTGACATTCAGAGCCAACCTGTCCCAACAGACTTCAGGCTGAGATTCCCAAGTCCTGGAGTTTCATTCTTGCCGACCCTGTGAAGCATTGCCGTAAATATACATTTAATCATCTGTGTGAAAAGGTTTCAGGATAAAGCAGTCTGATATCACATAAATTCGGATGCAGCACCGTATGCCACCTTTACCGCACGCTCCAAATACACCAGAAGGTCCAGCATTTATTCTAATAGGAAGACGATTCCTTTTAAAACTAGAGAAGGAAAAGTAGTCTGTAACTCTCCACGAAAACCAGCACGATTAGCCTCCGCAGGTCAATTATATGGTTCCTGTTGGTTGGTGCCCAATAATAACCCACGGCTTTGTTTAGTGAGTCTCTAGGAGTGTCAGTTGTGACAGTGAGCACTCGACCACATGAACAGACCATGTCTATTTCCACTTAAAGGAAGGATAAAGATCCAAGGCCCATTGCTTTCCAAAGATCCCAGGCACATACTACAAGCGAAGCCTCTTGATGTCCTCGCTGCGGAAGTCGTTGCGGAGTGCTAGGACCTGGCGAACCTCAGCCGGGGTCAGCCGCCATGTCAAAGGGCCAGAATTCTGCCCCCAGTAATCCAAAATCTCCGTTACCTGTGGAACAGGCAGGTGTCAGATCAAATCCCCACATTTACACTACATCGCAGCAAAGGCAACAGAGCAAGGCTGTAAAATGCTTTAAATAAACAATGGACCAGGACTAAGGAATGGTCTAAATTAACATCACAGGTTACAGCTGAAGGCTCAGTGACACCACATTTACACACACGATTGTATTCAGGAAAAGTCATTCCCAAACTGCCCGACAAGGAAAATGCTGACTCACTCTTTCCAGGTTCAGGACTGTCGCCATCTGGGAGAGCCGAGCAAACTTGTCCCGAATGGTCCACGTGATGACGGAGGTCAAGTAAGCCACAAGTGACCGGAGTTCCTTGTCAAACTGCAGCCCGCCGAGCTAGGGAGGGAGAGAGAGAGAGAGAGTGAGGAACTGAGCGAGAGAGAGAGGGGAAAGAGAGAGAGACAGACAGTGAGAGGGAGTGGGGTGGGGGGGGTCAGAGAGAAGGGAATAGCGAGAGAGAGTGACAGAGCAAGAGGGAGAGTCAGACAGACAGACAGAGCGAGAGAGGGTCAGAGCGAGAGAGGGATATAGCGAGAGATGAACAGAACGAGAGGAACAAAATGACCCGTCCATTGAGACAATGGGTCACCCCATTGCTGACAGAGAAACAATCAGGAATGGAGCTACAACCTTCCTAACAACCGTAAAGTCTCATCTGGATTTTTTTTGAAAAAACGTTTTTTTCTTCTCCCCTCTGTACTCTCTCCCTCCCCTCTCTGTACTCTCTCCCTCCCCTCTCTGTACTCTCTCCCTCCCCTCTCTGTACTCTCTCCCTCCCCTCTCTGTACTCACTCCCTCCCCTCTCTGTACTCACTCCCTCCCCTCTCTGTACTCTCTCCCTCCCCTCACTGTGAGAACAGTTGAGGCCACTCTACAGAAGATAGAAAATTGCAATAACTGGCTTTTGCTGTCCGGTCAATATCTCTGAGCAGAAACTACACATTCCCTTATAACTGGACTTTCCAGCCCAAAACCAGACAGCTGACAACTTTACTGCCCCGGAGCTGCATGTGTGCAGAGTGGGATCAGCGATGACCCGAAAGTCAGATATTTTGCAGGGCAGGAAGCCGGCTGGTGCAGAGGGAGCCCCGAACACGTGCAGTGGCTGTGAAAGTGCTGACTGTCGGGTCAGCACTTTCCCTCCAGTCGGGTTTCCGTGCTGCCCATAGCACAGAAACTGCCCTGGTCAAGGTCACCAATGACATCCTGACCATCTGTGACCAGGGCTCCCTCTGCCTCCTCGTCCTCCTCAATCTATCGGCAGCATTCGATACGGTCGACCACGCTATCCTACTCCACCGCTTGTCCTCCCACCTCAACCTTCAAGGCCCTGTCCTTGAGTGGTTTAGGTTGTACCTCTCCCACCGTCTTCACTTTGTCTCCACGAACGGCTTTTCCTCCACCCCCCGCACTGTCTCGTGCGGTGTCCCTCAGGGCTCTGTCCTCGGTCCCCTCCTCTTCACCCTCTATATGCTCCCCCTGTGGTGACATCATCCGCAGACATGGGGTTAACTCCCACATGTATGCGGATGACACCCAACTCTACCTTTCCTCCTCTACCCTCAACCCCCGATGTCCTGACAGCTGTCTGTCCGACATCGAGTCCTGGACGAGAGACAACTTCCTTCAGCTCAACGTGCGCAAAACTGAGGCCCTCCTGATTGGCTCACGTCAGCGCCTCCGCACCTCAGGCGCTGACACCATCAGCTCCGCACTCTCCACCTCTCAAAGCCATCAGGAACCTCGGCGTTCTGTTCGACCCTGAGCCGTCCTTTCTCCCTCATATCTGCGCCACAACTGGCACCGCCTTCCATCACCTCCGGAACATCGCCAGACTACGGCACTACCTCACCCCTCACGCGGCTGAAACTCTGGTCCACACCTTTATCACCTCAAGGCTGGACTATGGGAACTCTCTCCTCGTCGGCCTTCCCGGCCCTCCCTCCACACTGCAGGTCATTCAGAACTCTGCAGCTCATGTACTGTCCCGCACCACATCACTCCCACCCTCGCCCTCACTCCCACCCTCGCCCTCACTCCCTCGCTCGCCTCCACTGGCTCCCCATCTCCCAGAGGATCGAATTCAAGATCCTCATTCTCACCTACAAGGCCATTCACGGCCTCGCTCCCTCCTACCTCTCCGACCTACCTACCTGCCCGTACCCTCCGTTCCTCTGGCTCTGGTCTGCTCCACATCCCCCGCCCCAACCGCCCTACCATCGGTGGTCGGGCCTTCAGCCTCTCAGCCCCGAGACTCTGGAACTCCATCCCCCAGTGCCTTCGCCGCTTCCTCCCTTTCCTCCTTCAAGGCCGGTCTCAAGACCTTTCTCTTTGACCGAGCTTTCAGCTCCCCTCTCGACTCTCTACCCCCTCCTCGCTCCCTCCCTTCACCCTGACCATTTCCCCCCTCCTCGCTCCCTCCCTTCCCTCACCCTAACCATTTTCCCCCCAAAGCTCGGGTCCTGACCCAACTGTCCAGCGCCTTGGGACGTCCTCCCGATGTGAAAGGCACTCTATAAATGGAAGCTTGTTGTTATTGTTGTTGACTGTGATCAGCCCATTACTGACTGACAGTGCGGGGTGGCATATTGTGGATCCCACCCACCGCGTTACAACAGAGGCTCAACTGTATTGATGCAGTTTTTCATACCTACCCGGCTGAACGTCGACTTCAGAACCACCTTCTCCAGCTCAATAGCAATCAGGCTGGTCATCAGACTGGTCAGGTGGTCATAGATAACAGGGGATAATCCGACCTGTAACACACATAGACACACACATCACACCATAATACACACATACACACAAACAGAATTCCCAGTTAATATTGTTTGACTTTCTGGGAGTTGCTCTGTACATTCCCAGTGTTTGCTAGCTCCTGCTCACATTGCTGCACGTGGCTTCTAGACGTGACAAACACCAGGATCCTGGTTCTTTGTATTCTATCAGGCACTCATTACCAAGTCTCCTGTTATTTTGTGTAATGAGGTGTACAGTTACAGTCCCGTATGCTTTTTTTAACAGCTTTAACTACCTGTCCTGCCACCTTGACCTGCTGAGGGGTGTGGGGTTAATGCTTAACTATCAGGTACACAGGCTGATTTCCTGTCCTCCCCTGACTTAGGTGGAGAGTGAGGACCTCTGCTGCTGGCCAACTGATAGCAGCTGTCTCAGCACAGACCAGGGATCAGAATGTCCTGATCTCTGTTACTCTGACCAAAAATAATAAATTGTATTTATAAAGCACCTTTCATGTTGGGAGGACGGCCCAAGGCGCTGACCAGTGAACCTGCTCAGCCGTGCTCAGTATATTTGTTTCCAGCTCCTGGAATGTTTAAGTGAATCCTATCACTCCATTCCCCACCACCACAACCGTGTTTTTAATGTCATGGGAAAGTGGCTGAGAGGGAGAGATTCCCACATTCAAAGCCATCCCAGGAGATGCTTCAAATTTTATTGTGAAATGATTGTGGCATTTAAAAGAGACTGAGACAAGTATCTATACAGGAAGGGTATTAGTATGATAATTCTTACATTTGGTCTAGCACCTTTCACATCAGGAGGACGTCCCAAAGCACTTCACAGGATATACTGATATACTCTAAAGTGTAGTGACTGTGTTTTGTGGGCAAAAGTGGCAGCTAAAATGCAAACAGCAACGTCCCACAAACAGCGTTGAAGTGAGTGAGTGACCTTTTATCTGAGGGATAGTTAACCAGACCGCCATCTCTTTTTGAATAGTGCCATGGAATCTTTAACATCCACTCGTACAAACAGGCTGGGCCTCAGTTTAAAGTCTGAAGGATGGCACCTCCAGCAATGCAGCGTTAATGCAGGACACCCCCAGCACTGCACTGGAGCAACAGCTTAGACTAGATGAGTTCCAAGTCTCAACGTGGGGTCTGAACCCACAAGCTCTGGCTCAGGGGTGAGAGTGCTACGGCTGAGCCAGGCTAACACATAAGAGGAGATGGGGAAAGAGGGAATTGTAATAGGACGCTTCTTGGAGGAGCAAACACCGACACAAAAAACTGGGCTAAGTGGCCTCCTACTGTACATTTCAGTGATTGTACCTTGAACTCAGCCATTAATTGCTCCAGGTTCACAATGAACTGCTGAACCCAGGGATCATTGGCCTCATAGTCATTGAACTCCTCCTGAAATAACAGAACAGTCAGTGGCTAGCAGACACCAGCACTTTTTTTTATTAAGTACTGACAAAACTTAGGGTTATTTTAGAATAATAATAGCGTGTTCCTGAAGTGAATCCTTCATTACAATGAAAATCTTACCTTCAACAATCGTATAATCACCCAAGTTGTACATTCACCCGAGTCCCATTCAGTTTCCTATCAAAACCACTTAGATTTCTTTACACCAGTCGTATTAATCATGTGCACTTTACTCGCTGAAATATTGATTAAATTGGATTTGATTTGTGACTTATAGTTGGCCTGAAACGCAGACTTTGCGTACGTCATATTAAATGTTATGGTCCCGACTGATACGACTTCTGTGAGTTTTACTGTATTCACAATAATTGATGTACCATCTTTACAGCCTGGATTTCAGGGCCTCTTGTTGTGTAGGATATGCCCAACATTTAGTCACGACAATAACTTACATTTCTGCAGCGTCCTTCATGTAATACAACGCTGGGGCCAATCTCGGTGTCGGTGGATAAAGGGAGGTCACTGTAGCGACTGCCGAAGAGGTAGGATTAAGGACAGGTCGAGGAGGGGCAAGATGGGGGGGGGGGGGGGGAGGGTAGTACCGACAAATGATTGAATCTCCCAGGTTTAAATGACCTGTAATCAAGCACTATATTATCAAATACTGTAAAGGAATCAACTTTGTGTAATGTGTTCTTACCTCCTCGATGTTGTGAGTGACTGAGAGGAATCCATTTATCCAGGGCTTAAGCTGAGGTTTAACAGCTGTGGAGTTCAATTCTGCTAAACCTTCCTGTGACATAAAAAGCAAAATAATCTTTGATTACGATACGGGAACTTGAACATCGAAATGTTTCAAACTGCTTCAGAGTTTCTCCATAAAGTATAAGGATCGTGTTAATTGTAGGAGCCATTTTGTGCACAACAGTGTCCCACATACAGCGATGAAGTGAATGACCAGTTTTATCTGGGGGATTGCTGGCCAGGACAACGGAAGAAACTCCCACCTCTTCTTGAAGAATGCCATAAAATCTTTAATGACAGACAGGATTTTTTGTACATAGAAAGTTGTTAGGGTCTGGAATGCACAGCCTAAAAGGGTCAGTGGAAACAGATTCAATAACAACTTTCAAAAGGGAATTGTATAGATAACTGTAAAGGAAAAATTTGCAAGGATATGGGGAAAGAGCGGGGGAGTGGGACTGATTGGGTCGCTCTTCTAAAGAGCCAACACAGGCACGATGGGCTGAATGGCCTCCTTCTGTGCTGTAATATTCTATGATTCCATGATGAGATCGCTGAGGCATAGAGGACATGTCAAACAGCACAACTCAGCTCCCATTCTACGCACTCATTTACAGCCTCCACACTATATCAATCGTCCTGGACACTGGGAGAATAAAGTCTCCAACCCCCCGACCAACTCCTGGTAACACTGCCCCACAGCACCACCTGATCATTGACCAAACCACCACAACTCCCCACAGACCCTGTGTGAGCAGCTCACCTGCAGGAGGTCTCTGAACTTGTTGGACACAGCAGCCAGGTCTGATAGGCAGCTGTCAATCTTGGCTTGAGCAAGTTCTGCTCCGAGCCCTTGGCTAAACAGCTTCGTACAGTCATTCTGTGAGAAACATTTGCCAAATCAGTAACTTTCCTCCAATTGCATTTACATTCTCCTTCTCTCCCGGTAAATCACTTCTTACACCAGCCTTCCTCCTCCAGTGAAGAGCATCTAAACCACAATGTCTACACTGGCAGCAACAATACTAACAATAATACTTTCATTTCATATAGCACCTTCTCGCGCCAGACAGAATATACTGTAAAGTGCAGTGACTGTATATTTTGTAGGCATACACGGCAGCCAGTTGCGCACAGCTCCCTGCAGCTCCCACATACAGTCGTGGAGTGAGTGACCAATTTTACTTGGGGAATTTATTGGCCAGGACACCAGGAAGGACCCTTTCGTTTTCAAATGGTGGCACGGGATCTTTAACATCCACCTGAACAGGCAGACGGGACGTTAGTTTGACATCTCATCCGAAGGAAGGAAACTATCGCAAGTATGGCTGGCTGTCTCTCGTGGAGTGAAGCATTCCATGAGCAACCGACTCCAACAGTGGATAAATGTAACACTTGCATTTCATACAGCGCCTTTACACTTTCACAATAATAATCCTTGCATTTGATGTAGCGCCCTATCACGCCTTCGAGACTTTTCTACTTTGAAATAACGACTATTATTTTGGTTCCATAATGAACCGTGTTGTGAACAGCCGTAGACTTGAACCCAAATCCCAGGCTGCAACTGAAAGCTCTTTCAGAATGACTGTGGTACAAAGCCCCCCCCCCCACCCCAGTGCTGCTCTCATACCTCCAGGTTCTTCTTCAGTGTCAGGAGGTTTTCACTGCACAGCTCCACATTGTTCAGAGACACCTGAGGAGGAAGAAGCAGAACTTTAATGGCATAAAATAAAGGTGGGCAGGTCTGCAGCAGCGTGATCAATGCATCAGAGTGTAATCTTCTCTGAGGGTTAGTGTGGGATCTGGTCTTGTGCTGAGACTATTTGGCTTGTTTCTCCGCTCCGCTTCAGAAGACTGATGTTTTTCCGGCTCCTGCTGTAGGAAGTCGCCCAGCACGGCACACTGAGTGTCAGAGGCAGCTAGAGAGAGTGCATCTCGGCTCAGCCTCACCCTTCATGTTCAGGTATGGCTTGCAAGATTAATAGGAGTCAAGGGGGAACAGTCCCCACACACACACACCCTGGTGACCAGTGCCTCTTCACAGTGTTGTGGAGCACTACCAAGCTGCCTGGCTCGGGAACCAGATACCCAGCCCATTACAGAGAGTTATCAATTCAATTCTGTTCTCCCATTGGCTTTCAGCCACCTCGGCCCCAAACAGACCTCACTTTTGCCCAGGAGAGTGAGTTCAGCTGCTGAAATGATCGTACCAGGAAGGATTGCTTGGCTTCGTCGGTGCTCTCAATGCCTTTGGTGTCGAATTTGCCCTGCTGCAGGCTGGACTGCATGATGCTGACTGCGCTGGTCACACCGCGCTGGATGTCCTGCAGGGTGGTGGCGGGGAAACCCATTCGCAGCTTGTTATAGAGCACCTCCCTGCAGACAGACAACAAGCAAACACCAAACCTCAGGGACTTGCCAACGACCTGCATCTGAGCACCACCTGCGCAATTCAGTATCAACAGCACCATTCAGAGCCCTGCTTGGGGTCAAGCTCACTCGATTAGTTACACACACAAGGAGAGGAGCAAATCAATTTTGATCAGCCAATCAAACATTATAACCTCTACAGTATAATAACTACAATAATAATCTGTTATTGTATTAAACACCGCCAATCAAATCACAGATCTTCTTGATCAGATGGTCATTCTTGAAAAGAGAAGGGAATTTTTTCCTGGCCAACTGTCCTCCAAATAAACATCAAGACTATACAGGGGCATTGACTGAGATCAGCGATGTCAGCACAGACCAGCCATCGATCTGGGTTCTGTCTCTAAGTAGCACCCAGCCTCGAGGAGCCCAGTTGGTCCTTACTCTGACAAGTCATTAACCCCACTTAATAACAATTCAGGGGTGGCACCATTACATGGCCCCAGTTCTGGGTGTCGAGAGTGCATCAGGGCTAGGTCCATCCCACTGCTCTACTGCTTAGGCGCTCTGGGGCGCTACCCTGTGTGAGGGGCACTACGTAAATGCAAGTTGTTGATGTTGTTACCTGAAGTCGGACTCCAGCACGGTGGTGGAATGGTTGATCATGGCGCACAGACAGTCGATGTTGGAGCTTGACAGAGCACGACCGATGCACTTCTTCACAATGAAAAACACATCGTCCACCATGCTGGAGGTCAGCTGCCCCTTCTCACACACGTCCATTGTGACGGCCTGTTTACACAGAAAAAAACATTAAACTTTCTGCACAGGAAGCTTAATAATAATAACAGCAACCTCAACAAAATTACATTTGTATGGCGGCTTTCACATCGGGAGAATAAAATAAAAGGGAGAGTAAAGTGTATTTTGAAAAGATTGTATTTTGTAGACAAAACGCGGCAGCCAATTATGCACAACAGTGTCCCACAAACAGTCGTGGATTGAGTGACCAAATTATTATTATTGTTTAGTTATTTATCAAAAAATTTTGAAGCGATTATTACCGCTGGAAAAGCGATCCGCCAATCAACCAATAACTGGAGTCCTACATAATAAAAATAATAATAATGCTTGCATTTGATATAGCGCTTTTCCTGTCTTCTCGATGTCTCAAAGCGCTTCACAGAATAGACTATAAGGTGAATTGACTGTATATTTGTGGGCGAAAGGCGGCAGCCAATTGTGCACAGCAGCGTCCCACAAACAGTTGTGGATTGAAGTGACCAATTTGTTATCGTTTTTTTTGAGGGATTATTATTAGGGGTGTGGTCAGGAAACTTGCCCAAGGTTTCACCTGCCGGGAATTGAACCCAGGTGTCTCGCTTGCAAAGTGAGTGCTCTAACAACTGAGTACTGGTGGGTAAAGTCACGTGCGGAGTAAGGAAACTTAACAAAATATACAGTCAATTCACTTTACAGGGTATCTGTGAAGCGTTTATTCTAAGTAAGGAAACTTGCCCAACGTTTCTCCTCATCCGGGAATCGAACCCAGGTCCTCTAGCTTGTGAGGCAAGAGCTCTAACCACCGAGCTACAGGCGTCCTGATGCAGAAGTGCCTCCTGATCAACACTCTTAACCATTTTGGCCCCGATTTTTGGCTCAGGTAAGCATTCCCGGACATTATCCGGGACACTGCCCCCCCGTGAAGAGCGCAATATAAATGATGATGATTTTGAGGCTTTGTCTTCATCTGTCCTGCACCCGGGTGTCTCACGTTTACAAGTACTGACCTGCCACGGCTGTGGGTAGAGAAATCCAGTGAGTGCCACTGCTGACAGTCCTCCCACACCCTGCACTGTACCTTGTTAACCGTCTCTCTCATGAAGTATTCCTCCATGGTGATGTAGTATCCGATCAGCTCCTGCATATTCCGGCTCAGCAGGCAATTGTTACACAACCTGTCCAGTGCCTTCTGATGCTCTGAGGAGAAACACAGGCGGCACGTCACAGAGCAGGCCACATCACCACAGTATTCCTACACAAGCAGGGAAAAAGGTACCCCACAATTATTCTCCCACAGTTCAACACCAGGTTAGGCAGGATAACCATCATTATCCATAGATCCCAGGTCTGATCCCAGCTCAGTGTCTCGGAGGCACTGATGGAACAACCTCTTGGGGGTGGGGGGGTATTGGCATCTCTTGGGTCCTTCCCTACAGCCGTGCTGCCAGTATAATGGACATGGGACATTGGAAGCGGCCGTACTCTCTAAAACACCCTAAACAGTTTGATATAAAAGAGTACCTGGAGCCTCAGCCACACCCCCCACTCCCCACGCACACACTCTCACCTTGCTTCACTTCTTCTGTGCCAACAGCATCGCAAACCTCAAAGTCTGCAGTGATCCTTCTCTTAACAAAGCGCAGGTACAGCTCTGCTCGAGCATTCATCAGGGTCACCTCTGTTAATATCGTGTCCAATTCCCTGCAGCAATAAACAAAATGAATATCCTGTCTGTACATCCTCGCCCTCATTATTCATAGCCCATTACTGCTGCTTACAAATGTAGATTTCTTAGCAAAAACTCTCAGTATTTTGTAGAAACTTTCTCAGTAGAAACAACCTGAATGGCTGAGTGTGTTGAGCAGCAAACTCTGGATCAAAGATTGTGGGTTCAATTACCATCTGGTTCAATCAGGCCTTTTTGAGGTAATAAAAGTTAATACTGTGTAATAAAATATGGTCATTACACTTTACAGTATGTTCTGTGAAGCACTTTGAGATGTCTCAAAGACTTGATAAGGCGCTGTATCAAATGCAAGAATTGTTATTATTACTGAGGGCAAGGTCTACTTTAAGGTGGGAGGGAGGTTAGGATTTACTGTGAAGATATGCAGAACAAAGGCTGAAAGCTCTGCATTAATCCAAAGCACTACCAGCCTATCTGGCTCATTTGTGAGACTTGCTCTAACAGGTTGGGTGGTCCTAGTTGGACAGGTACCAGGTAACCTTTCACTGCTACATACCAACAAGCTGTGAGGATATACATAGGTGCCAGTCTGGCTCAGGTGGTAGCACTCTTGCCTGAGTCAGAAGCATATGAGTTCAAGCCTTACATAAGGACTTTGAGCTCAGTCTAAATTGACCACTGTGTTGTCGGAGATGCCGTTCTTTGGATGAATCATTACAACTAGCCAGTTCAAGTGGACGTGAAAGATCCCATGGCACTGTTGAAAAAGAGAAGGGAGTTTCTCCCTGGCCAACAACACCCCCCAGATAAAATTGATCATTTCATTGTTGTTTATGAGGCAATGCCATGGACAAATTTGGCTGTAACGTTCGCTTATGAATACACACTGTAGTTTGTGATGCACTTCAAGAAGTTTCAACAATGTGTAGTCCTGTAGTTTAGTGGTTAGAGCGCTTGCCTCGCAAGCGAGAGGATCTGGATTCAATTCCCGGGCAGGGCGAAAAGTTGGGCAAGTTTCCTTACTCCTCACGGCTATTTACCTAGCAGCAAGAAGGAACCCGGTGTTAAGTCGATTGGCGGATCGCTTTTCCGGGGGTAATAATCGGTTCAAAAAACAAATAAATGATAGTAGTTTGGTCACTCAATCCACGACTGTTTGTAGAACACTGCTGTAAGCAATTGGCTGCTGTGTTTCGCCCACAAAATGCAGTCGCTACACTTCATACTGTATTCTATGAAGCACTTTGCGACGTCTCGATGTGATAAGGCGCTATATCAAATGCAAGGATATTAGTATTATGATGTGATAAGGCCATATGTCAAATGTAAGGATGATCATTATATTTTCTTAGCAGAGACACAATGCATATTCTCAGTGCCAGTACCTGGACTCAATTCTGTCCATTGCTGAACTTCGCATCATGCTGCTCTGTACTTGTTGGAACTGCAAAAATGAGACAATTCAGTGTTTTAATCTGTAATCTTTACAACAACTTGCACTTATGTAGTTTAGTTAAACATCTCAAAGGACTTTGCAGATGGAATGGAAGCTCGAGCAGGGTGGGGGATGGAGGATAGAATGGAGACAATTTGTGGATAGATTTTCAAAGCAAAAGGGGAGAATGTAAATATCAAGTTCGATATTTGCACCCTCTCTTTCCACCTTGGTGGCAACTACAAACTACTGACAGTGCAGTGACCGAATCAGGGCTCTGAGCTGTGGAAATTGTTTCATTACAACAATTCCACCTTTGGCCAAAGGACATTGTAGCCGGAGTCACACAGTCACTATAAATTATAAACTCTGGATTGCACAGCCTGAAAGGGTCGGTGGAATGGATTCAATAACAATTTTCAAAAGGGAATTGGATAAGGACTTATGGGCTGCTCAGCCCGTTTACAGTCTCCAACAGAGATCTATAGAGCTCTGCACCTGAACAACAGCTGAGTGTTTCCCCAGACACTGGTTTACAGTATCAGGTCAGGAATGTGGAGCTGTATTTTGGTATTAAGTGTTAATTATTTCTTTTGAAACAAACCCGCCCATTAGAAGCTGCCGCACCTTCCTGTGGTAGTCGCGCTGCTGAATGAACTTGTCCACTACTTTCTCAGCTTGTCGATCACACTCCACCTGCAGGTACTTGATGAGAGTGTAGAGCCGCCCGGGCCCATAGTACGTCTCCACAATCGGTTGGTGAGTCTCCACTATCCGAGCGATTCCTGTCAGGATACACCATGAGACAACGTGACCTACCCTCACTGACAAAACCACTGCTCGAAGCACAGAATATCTTCCACAGAGACTAGTAACTGTCCTGAAACCACTGTCAATTGGAATAGTACAGCTCAGACTACAGCCGTGGGAAACAATGCAATACAAATACAAAATTACATTTACACAGTGCCTTTCACTTCGGGAGGATGTCCCAAGGCGCTGGTCAAGGATTTGGACCTGAGCTGGGGGTTGGGATAAGAGAGAGTGGCCGAAGAGGAGGGTCTTGAGATGTGCCTTGAAGGAGGCACGGGAGGGAGTGAGAGGAAGGGAATGTGGATGAAGTTCCAGAGGGTGGGGCAGAGAGGCTGAAGGCCCAATCGCCAATAATGGGGTGGGGTGTATGCGGAGCAGACCGGGGCCTACTAAGCAGAGGGAGCGGACATGTTGATATGGGGTTAGCAGGTCACAGAGACAGCAAACTCCCTCCTTTAACAATGAGTTAAAGGAAGGAACTTGTGGAGATAATAATGATAATCCTTGCAATTGATACAGTGCCTTATCACGTCTTCAATGTGTGACTGAAAGGCACAGCATTGCTCACGGAGGGCACTGACACGACCATTTAATGGCCCCACAATGCAGTACATTCCTCAAAGTCCCAGAGGCCAATGAAGAAGAGCAAGCAATTTTTAAAGTTCAGTGAAGTCAAAGTAAGACCCAGGCAATGCTGATCTGTATGAAACATGAAATATGGCCACACAGCACTTCCTGTTCAAAGGACTCCTGGGTTGGTTTGAAACGGTCAACTCCAATACGCCAGTGACTGAAGACATTGACGGTGTGATATTGATAATACCAACCAGAGACTCACAGATTCACATCCTGTTTTGTTTAGCTGATCTCAGCCAGGACACAAATCACTCGCCTCAGTGTCAAAGGGTCCAAGATAGGAAAATCAGCCAGGATTCCTACTGCTGTATGCCATCTACAGACCCCCTGCTGTAAGGGGAACGTGTGTGTGAATGTTGGAGAAGGTAAGGATTGGGCTGTGATTCTCCCCACACCTCGCTTCTCCGGCTCCCAAATGAATAATGGCCACTTGGACATGACAATCCCAACTGGAAACTGAAACCTAACACTAAATGTTGGCCTTTTTATGCAGTGACTTGACACTCGCCAAGAGCTGGGGACCAGACTCACTGAGCATTTTACAGCTCCGAGCTCTTACAGTCAGCAGACTCTCATCTCAAGAGTTTGGGCTGGATTCCAACCCAGGGCTTTAAAGTAAACAAGGTTGGCTTTCATTAGAAGGCCATACTGACCCAACAATTCCTTAAGTGTAACAGTTCAATTCACTTGGCCAATCCTTACCTTCAAACAGCAGTGTGAGTGTGTCAGCAAATATCACTGCAGCCCTGCGGTCATCAGTCTCCGTGCCCAGTGCCAGGACCAGGTTCTCCTCAGCTTTGCTGGCGATCTTCGATGGAAACAAGTTAAACAACAACAACAACAACAACAAGATTCCATTTATAGAGCGCCTTTCACGTCAGGAGGACGTCCCAAGGCGCTGCACAGTTGGGTCATGACCCGAGCAGGGGGGAAATGGTCAGGGTGAGGGGAGGGAAGGGAGGGAGAGAGGAGGGGGGAAATGGTCAGGGTGAGGGGAGGGAAGGGAGGGAGCGAGGATCTAAAGATGTAAAGATCTCATCACTCAGCTAAGAGCCCAAGTGAGGGAAGAGCTACAGTGACTGTACATGCCCTGCTACTTGGGAGTCCTGTAGCTCAGTGGTTAGAGCACTCGCCTCACAAGCGAGAGATCTGACTTCGATTCCTGGGCAAGGTGAAATGTTGGGCAAGTTTTCTTACTCCACACGCCTCTGCTTACCCAGCAGTAAGTAGGAACCTGGTTGTTAGTCGTTTGGCGGATCGCTTTTCCGGGGGTAATAACCCCTTCAAAAANTAATAATTTGGTCACTCAATCCATGACTGTTTGTGGGACACTGCTGTGTGCAATTGGTTGCCGGATTTAGCCCACAAAATGTACAATCAATTCACTTTACAGTATATTCTGCTTCATCAAATGCAAGGATTATTATTATTATTACTTGCTCCACACCATGGCCAACGCTCCAGCAGTCAACCACTGCAATGGATAACTGGAGAACCCATTGTTTTTTCCACAGCAGAAGGCCACAATCCAATTATCCACAACACACTCAGAAACAGATATGGACCCAGGGCTGGGAGCTATTTGCCAAAACATCCAGTTCTCTGTGTTTATCCACAAAATACAAAGTCACTTTTATACAATTTTATACAATTTTATACAATTAGCCAGAAAGAGAAAGACAGAATAATACGTGCATTTGATATAGCTCCTTATTACGTCGTTAAGTCATCTCAAAGCACTTCGCAGAATATATTGTAAAGTGTATTGACTGTGAATTTTGTGGGTGAAACACGGCAGACAATTGCGCAAAGCAACGTCCCACAAACAGTAATGGATTTTGTTTTTTAAAAAGTGATCTGCCAATCGACTGACAACCGAGTTCCTACTTACTGCTGGGTAAACAGAGGCGTGTGGAGTAAGGAGACCAAGCATTTCTCCCTGCCCGGGAATCGAAGCCAGGTCCTGTCGCTTGAGGTAAGTTCCCTAACCACTAAACTACAGGACCGACTGTAGTCTGCTCAGCCAAGTCCACGTGAAATGAGAAACCAGTTCCCTCGGTGCTTTGAGCTCCCTCACCTGTTTGCACAGATACTGGGAGAACTTGCTCAGCCCCTCCTCGTGCAGGCCCAGCAAAGGGAAGATCTTGAAGAAACGTTCCACTTGGGGCAGGTCACCCTCCTGTATTGCCAGGTCAAACTTCCCCGTCACAATGACTTTCAGACGCTGCTCAGCCTCTTGCAGAAGGTTCAGGTTGGCATCAGTGACGCTGGCTGTTGAGAGATTTTAGTCGATCACCAGAGGGCAGCCTCACTATCCCCACATCAGCTAAACTCTTCGCTATAAGAACATAAGAATTTTCTGGCAAAAGACCGAGGTGCATCCAGTTGGCCTTCCACCATCCTGGCAGTCGCTTGACATGTTGTGCCCCAAAATATATATTGTATCCTCCGATATTATTTTCTAGCAGAAATCTATCTAATTTGCTCTTGAAACACAACTTTTTGCTACTTCCACTGTCTCCCTAGGAAGCCTGTTCCATATTTTCCTACTCGCTCAGTGAAGTAATGTTTCTGCAGATTTGTTCTGAATTTAACCCCATTCAAAGGCCGTATCCTCTAGTTCTCCTGCTCAGTACCAAATAAAAAAGCTTATCATGGTCTACATTATATATTTCCTTCAGAATCTTAATTTAATGAAGCTTTCTTCATTCCCAATTCAGTGATAGTCCAGTAAAGTCCACACCCACTTGGTGTGAGCCTGGACTATACTCGAGTAAAACCTGAATTGAGAATGATGACACCAAGATTCAACTCAACACACTAAAATACAAAGAGCTAATGTTTTGGCATCACATCCTCTTTCATCTCTATTTGTAGTCTCCAATTTGATAGGTTACTGTTTCCTGTCTCTAACCAATACACTACGGGACTCTCCACAGGACTGAACCTATGCTAGCAACAGATTTTTTAAAAATCTCCATTTGCTTTCCAAACCTTTGCAAATATTGTATATTTCACCACCCACCCCCCCCCCCCAAGAACTTTGGGGGCCATTGACCCTGCCCTTTAGCTCAGCCGCTGTAACCCGCTCACCTTCATTGCCTTGCCGGCTGAGTTCGATGACAGATTTGTCGAGGGACAGGTAGCGGTGGATGTGTGCGGCCGCCTGTTCGTAGTCCTCATTCCTCAGTGCTGTCTGCACTCCATCAGTGCAGAACTTCAGATCCAGGATATCATCCGCCCGCTGGATGGCCTGGTAGATACGGTTCTGGAAAGGCAACGGGAGCATCATCACTCAACCCAAGTCTCACAAGAAACGTTCGGATGGAAAAGGCTTCGGCCCATTTGATCTCATCATTGCAGAAAATCATCACAAACTTCTTCCCATTACAGCATCGAGCTGTTCCCTAAATCAGGGATTCTCAAACTGTCTGGGCTCAAGACCCTCCAGGAATCAGGTATCCTGACAAAGGACGCCCCCTCCCCACTTGGGTTGTGTGGGCTGTATGGAGCTGCAAGGCATTCCTCCCTCACTCCCCAAAGTCTCCACAAAAGGACGTCTTTAAATGCCCAGCAATGTAACCATGTAACTCTTTTCTCATTCGTTCCTTGGGCTGTGCCGGCTTCCATAGTCCAGCTAGGGTTCTGTGGCCTCTACACTTCCAGTGTGTCCCGGATCCGAAGCCTCCTGAAACCATTTCATGGCCCCAACCCGTTTGGGAACCATGCCCTAAATGACTCTAGTGGCTTGGCCTGCGTTTTCCTGTGTGTTCCCCCCTATCTCACCCCACTCCACATCACACCGCTAAGCGTCTGCTCTACAGCACTGCTGACCAGGACACGATTAAGGACAGTCACCTCATATCTCATCATTCACCACAAAAAGCATCTTCATTCTATTAGTTTCCTCCTCCTGAGAAGGGTGACCTGTGCTGGGTGCACATTAACAGACACAGGGTACCCTAACCACACCCAGCCCGAGTGACCATTATTTGACAGCCAACCTAGGCATTGATGTTGGTACGGGGACTCCTAGCCAAGTCTAGTGCTGTCTTTCTATTCACTTCCTCCAGCACCGGAGAGTAAACAGGAGCAGACACCAAGCCTTATTATCCTATCCATAGGCCAGGAGCAAAGAGGTCAACTGTAGCTTTTACCACTGAGCTGACTAACTCAATACAGACCTGCAATTCCAGACTGTAACAGCTTAGTGCTACATCATCTTTACCCACTGGGCCATTGCTTGATATCAGAGACACCTCGCGTGTCTGTGGTGGCTGAGAGCATTGCCGTACCTTTGCCAGGTCAAGCTGCCGCACTTTGCCGCTCACATTTTCCGCCAGGTTACACGTGAAGGTGATCATCCCTGCGAGCTGCTTGGCATCGCCCTCAATCAGCTGCAAGTTGGGTCTGGAGGCGAGAGGAACGAGAGGAACCCAGAGAATGGGAGACAGGGATACAATTACTGTGTAGCACATCAAATGTAACCAGAGAAATACTCCCCATTCTGTTCCTTTTTTTTTTGCCCATCCGGGTATCAAACACACATGGAAACCATCACCATGCTTAAGTATAATGTAAACCAAACCTAGAATTCCATGCATCCCACCTTCACATGGAAATCTGAGATTGATGGAATGGAATGTACACTCTCTCCCTGGAGGTATGCATCCTGTTTACCTAATCCTTAAGTATTTGGCGCAGGTCGACAGAACCAAGGCTTGGGAACTCTAGAGTGTGTGTTGGGGTTACTGCTGGAGTCTGACAGGCTAAAATTAGGTTGCCACTGAGAGCGCTGTCTGGCAAGCTTTCCCGCTGCTTGTCAAGCTAGGACCACCCTACCGATTAGGGCTTTGGCTTGCAGGGTTAACAGGAGCTGAGTGCGAGGATTCCCTGCCCAAAATGGTCTGCCCTTGCAAGTCCTGCTGATGAACCAAGCCAGGCTGTGCTGTCACAGCAGCACCCTGGAATACTGCGGATCAGCCTGGCGCAGGAACCTGACTGCCATTCTCCAGAACGATCTCCAGCTTGGCGAGTAGCAAGCAAATGGCTCCCACGTTTTCTAGTAAGTGCTGAGGAATCCTGCACAAGTATCAGTATCCATTATACTATTAGTGTACATTTAGGGGAAGCTTTCACAAAGCTACAGTGCAGTGTTCATACAGTTCACTGTTTCAAAAATCGTTTTACAAGCAATTCATCTCTATGCATCATTTCCAGGTTCACTTAGTGATGGTATAAAGCTGGTGTAATGACACAGCCATCGTGGTGATCAGGAATCACCTATAACTTTACCTCCAACCCCAGCAGTTTAAGCCCTAATTCCCGGAGACACTAACCCCATGCGGTGTAGTGCGACCATCTTGGCCTCCATGCTGCTCTGCTGTCCAATCAGGGCTTCCAGTTCTGCCTCAACCTCTTTCTGCAGAGAGAGGGCAAAACACACACATCAAACAGGATCATTCTACAAGGATGATGCAGTGAGTGCCTCAGACAGAACACTGCTCTCCACCCCACAAACATCAAGGACACGTTTCCATGGACATCAGCAGTACCTCAACCAATGGCTTATGTATGAAATCAGACAAGGAGTGAAAACGCTGAACGGTTGAACCAGAGGACACGACTTGCGATTGAAGGCGGTAAATTCACAAAAAAATCTGCAGAAACGCTACATCAGTGAGTGAGCAGTAAAAGTATGGACTCCCGAGGGAGACAGATGGTGGAAGCAGAAGATGTTGTATGTTTCAAGAATAAATTAGATTGATTTCTGCTGGAAAATAATATCTGGGGCTAATACAGTATATATAGTATAATACAGTCTGGGGGGCAGTGTGTACAGTGTGGGGGGCAGTGTGTACAGTGTGGGGGGCAGTGTGTACAGTGTGTGTGGGGGGGCAGTGTGTACAGTGTGTGGCAGTGTGGTGTGTGTGGGGGAGGGTGTGTGTGTGTGGGGGGGCAGTGTGTACAGTGTGGGGGGCAGTGTGTACAGTGTGGGGGGCAGTGTGTACAGTGTGGGGGGCAGTGTGTACAGTGTGGGGGGCAGTGTGTACAGTGTGTGTGGGGGGGCAGTGTGTACAGTGTGGGGGGCAGTGTGTACAGTGTGGGGGCAGTGTGTACAGTGTGTGGGGGGGGGCAGTGTGTACAGTGTGTGGGGGCAGTGTGTACAGTGTGTGGGGGGGGGCAGTGTGTACAGTGTGTGGGGGGGGCAGTGTGTACAGTGTGTGGGGGCAGTGTGTACAGTGTGGGGGGGGGCAGTGTGTACAGTGTGTGGGGGCAGTGTGTACAGTGTGGGGGGGGCAGTGTGTACAGTGTGGGGGGGGCAGTGTGTACAGTGTGTGGGGGCAGTGTGTACAGTGTGGGGGGGGCAGTGTGTACAGTGTGGGGGGGGGCAGTGTGTACAGTGTGTGGGGGCAGTGTGTACAGTGTGGGGGGGCAGTGTGTACAGTGTGTGGGGGCAGTGTGTACAGTGTGTGGGGGGCAGTGTGTACAGTGTGTGGGGGGGCAGTGTGTACAGTGTGTGGGGGGCAGTGTGTACAGTGTGTGGGGGCAGTGTGTACAGTGTGTGGGGTGCAGTGTGTACAGTGTGGGGGGGCAGTGTGTACAGTGTGGGGGGGGGGGCAGTGTGTACAGTGTGTGGGGGGCAGTGTGTACAGTGTGTGGGGGGGGGCAGTGTGTACAGTGTGTGGGGGGCAGTGTGTACAGTGTGGGGGTGCAGTGTGTACAGTGTGGGGGGCAGTGTGTACAGTGTGGGGGGGGCAGTGTGTACAGTGTGTGGGGGCAGTGTGTACAATGTGTGGGGGGGCAGTGTGTACAGTGTGTGGGGGCAGTGTGTACAGTGTGGGGGGGCAGTGTGTACAGTGTGGGGGGGGCAGTGTGTACAGTGTGTGGGGGGCAGTGTGTACAGTGTGGGGGGCAGTGTGCACAGTGTGGGGGGGCAGTGTGTACAGTGTGGGGGGGGCAGTGTGTACAGTGTGGGGGGGGCAGTGTGTACAGTGTGTGGGGGCAGTGTGTACAGTGTGTGGGGGGGCAGTGTACAGTGTGGGGGGGGGGCAGTGTGTACAGTGTGTGGGGGGCAGTGTGTACAGTGTGTGGGGGCAGTGTGTACAGTGTGTGGGGGCAGTGTGTACAGTGTGTGGGGGGGACAGTGTGTACAGTGTGGGGGGGCAGTGTGTACAGTGTGTGTGGGGGCAGTGTGTACAGTGTGTGGGGGGCAGTGTGTACAGTGTGTGGGGGGGCAGTGTGTACAGTGTGTGGGGGGGGGCAGTGTGTACAGTGTGGGGGGGGCGTGTGTACAGTGTGTGGGGGCAGTGCGTACAGTGTGTGGGGGGGGCAGTGTGTACAGTGTGTGCAGTGTGGGGGGGCAGTGTGTACAGGGTGTGGGGGAGGGCGGTGTGTACAGTGTGTGGGGGCAGTGTGTACAGTGTGTGTGGGGGGCGGTGTGTACAGTGTGGGGGGGCAGTGTGTACAGTGTGTGTGGGGGCAGTGTGTTCAGTGTGTGGGGGCAGTGTGTACAGTGTGTGGGGGGGCAGTGTGTACAGTGTGTGTGGGGGGCAGTGTGTACAGTGTGTGGGGGCAGTGTGTACAGTGTGTGGGGGGGGCAGTGTGTACAGTGTGTGGGGAGGGCAGCGTGTACAGTGTGGGGGGGCAGTGTGTACAATGTGTGGGGGGGCAGTGTGTACAGTGTGTGGGGGGCAGTGTGTACAGTGTGTGGGGGCAGTGTGTACAGTGTGTGGGGGCAGTGTGTACAGTGTGGGGGGGGCAGTGTGTACAGTGTGGGGGGGGCAGTGTGTACAGTGTGGGGGGCAGTGTGTACAGTGTGTGGGGGGCAGTGTGTACAGTGTGTGGGGGGGCAGTGTGTACAGTGTGTGGGGGGGCAGTGTGTACAGTGTGTGGGGGGCAGTGTGTACAGTGTGTGGGGGGCAGTGTGTACAGTGTGTGGGGGGGGCAGTGTGTACAGTGTGTGGGGGGCAGTGTGTACAGTGTGTGGGGGCAGTGTGTACAGTGTGTGGGGGGCAGTGTGTACAGTGTGTGGGGGCAGTGTGTACAGTGTGGGGGGGCAGTGTGTACAGTGTGTGGGGGGGCAGTGTGCACAGTGTGTGGGGGGGGCAGTGTGTACAGTGTGGGGGGGCAGTGTGTACAGTGTGTGGGGGCAGTGTGTACAGTGTGTGGGGGCAGTGTGTACAGTGTGTGGGGGCAGTGTGTACAGTGTGTGGGGGGGCAGTGTGCACAGTGTGTGGGGGGGCAGTGTGTACAGTGTGTGGGGGGCAGTGTGTACAGTGTGTGGGGGGGGCAGTGTGTACAGTGTGTGGGGGGGGGGCGGTGTGTACAGTGTGTGGGGGGGGGCGGTGTGTACAGTGTGTGGGGGGGAAGTGTGCACAGTGTGTGGGGGGCGGTGTGTCCAGTGTGGGGGGGGCAGTGTGTACAGTGTGGGGGGGCAGTGTGTACAGTGTGTGGGGGCAGTGTGTACAGTGTGTGGGGCAGTGTGTACAGTGTGGGGGGGGGGGCAGTGTGTACAGTGTGTGGGGGGGCAGTGTGTACAATGTGTGGTGGGGCAGTGTGTACAGTGTGTGGGGGGGCAGTGTGTACAGTGTGTGGGGGCAATGTGTACAGTGTGGGGGGGGCAGTGTGTACAGTGTGTGTGGGGGCAGTGTGTTCAGTGTGGGGGGGGGCAGTGTGTACAGTGTGTGGGGGGGCAGTGTGTTCAGTGTGGGGGGGGCAGTGTGTACAGTGTGTGGGGGCAGTGTGTACAGTGTGTTGGGGGGGCAGTGTGTACAGTGTGGGGGGGGCAGTGTGTACAGTGTGGGGGCAGTGTGTACAGTGTGTGGGGGGGCAGTGTGTACAGTGTGTTGGGGAGGGCAGTGTGTACAGTGTGGGGGGGGGCAGTGTGTACAGTGGGGGGGGCAGTGTGTGCAGTGTGTGGGGGGCAGTGTGTACAGTGTGTGGGGGGGGGCAGTGTGTACAGTGTGTGGGGAGGGCAGTGTGTACAGTGTGTGGGGGGGCAGTGTGTACAGTGTGTGGGGGGGCAGTGTGCACAGTGTGGGGGGGGGGCAGTGTGTACAGTGTGTGGGGGCAGTGGGGGGGGTCTCACCTCCTCACTGCACAGACGGCTGTAGGCCTCCTGCAGCTCCGCGGTGTCGGTGAGGCTCTGCAGGAACTCCATGGAGAGACTGGAGCTGTTTCCCACCGCCGCCATCTTCCGCGTCACTGTGACAACCACTTCCGGCGGCTCAGGCAGGACCCCGACTGCCCGCCCAGCGCCTGACAGCCCATCCCAGGGCAGCACAGGGCATCCCAGCACAGCACAGTACAGCACAGGGCATCCCAGCACAGCACAGCCCAGCACAGCACAGGGCAGCCCAGCACAGCCCATCCCAGCACAGCACAGCTCAGGGCATCCCATCCCAGCATAGCTCAGGGCATCCCATCCCAGCACAGCTCAGGGCATCCCATCCCAGCACAGCTCAGGGCATCCCATCCCAGCATAGCTCAGGGCATCCCATCCCAGCATAGCTCAGGGCATCCCATCCCAGCACAGCTCAGGGCATCCCATCCCAGCACAGCTCAGGGCATCCCATCCCAGCATAGCTCAGGGCATCCCATCCCAGCACAGCTCAGGGCATCCCAGCACAGCACAGTACAGCACAGGGCATCCCAGCACAGCACAGCTCAGGGCATCCCATCCCAGCATAGCTCAGGGCAGCCTAGCCCAGCACAGCTCAGGGCATCCCAGCACAGCACAGCACAGCACAGTACAGCACAGGGCATCCCAGCACAGCACAGCTCAGGGCATCCCATCCCAGCATAGCTCAGGGCAGCCTAGCCCAGCACAGCTCAGGGCATCCCAGCACAGCACAGCACAGTACAGCACAGGGCATCCCAGCACAGCACAGCTCAGGGCATCCCATCCCAGCATAGCTCAGGCAGCCTAGCCCAGCACAGCTCAGGGCATCCCAGCACAGCACAGCACAGTACAGCACAGGGCATCCCAGCACAGCACAGCTCAGGGCATCCCATCCCAGCATAGCTCAGGGCATCAGGACATCCCAGCACAGCTCAGGGCATCCCAGCTCAGCTCAAGACAGGACATCCCAGCTCAGGGCATCAGAGACATCCCAGCTCAGCTCAGGACAGGACATCCCACTACAGCTCAGGGCATCAGGACATCCCAGCTCAGCTCAGCTCAGGACAGGACATCCCAGCACAGCTTCGGACATCGCTGCTCAGCAAACATTTCAATTAAAAATAAAGAGATTGAACATTCAAAACCTTTTTAAAAAAATTGTGTTTTTATTGTGTTTTAAAAATATTTTAAATATTTTATTTTTTTTCTCAGTGCTGCAAGTCAGCAGAAGAGTCTAAATACGTAATTGCCTGGGAAATAATGGTACATTGTTGAAGATCTGCTCTCTGTGCATTTATTCAATTTTTTAAACCAGTTATCCATTTATTCTCCACGTCACAACTTGCAACTCATATAAACTCAACAACAACTTGTACTGATATAGCGCCCTCCATGCAGGGTAGCATCTCAGAGTGCTTAACAGTGGCGGAGCCCGACTCCGAGCCGGGGGGGAGGTGGCCATAAGCCCGAGGAAGAACGGGCATAGTGGCTGAAAGCGTGACCTCCAATGGAGAGAGGAGGTCGGAGAGGTAGGGAGGTGCCAGAGAGTGAAACGATTTGAACATGAGTGTGAGGATTACCCTCCAATGCACTGTGTGGGCAGCATTAAATTGAGCATTGAAGGGAGGTGTCCTTTGGATGAGACATTAAACTGAGGTCCTGTCTGCCTGTTCAGGTGGATTTCAGGCCTTGGGATGTCCTCCCGACGTGAAAGGCGCTAAACAAATGTAATTTTGTTGTTGTTGATGTTAAATATCCCGTCACACTATTCAAAAAGAGCAGGGAGTTTCTTTCTCCCAGTATCCTGACCAATCCCTCAAATAAAATTAGTTACTCACTTCATGGCTATTTGTGAGACGTTGCGGTGTGAAAATTAGCTGCTGCTTTGGCGTACAAAACACACAGTGCTTTGGGTCATCTTCCCAGTGTGAAAGGTGCTATTACCAAATGTCAGGATTATTATTATTAATAGAGACTTATACTGAAATACGTTTTATAAACTACTGTATTAAGCATGCAGCTCAGGATTGCCAGAAATTAAAATGCGGTTGTAGCCCATAGTCTCCCAAATACGAGCTCCAAAGTAGCCCAATATTATGTATTGCCCACTGTGGGTAGCAGAGCGGCCAATTTAAGTGAGTGCTTTTGAAAGAAAAAATCTTCGATGGAAAAAAAATGTGTTTTGCACGTTTAAATCAAAAATAAATAAAATTAGGCCAACGCCAAAGCCATTTTTCCCTGCACAATAGAATAATAATAATTCTTGTATTTGTTATAGCGTCTCAAAGCGCTTCACAGGATACACTGTAAAGTGAATTGACTGTATATTTGTGGGTGAAACGCGGCAGCCGATTGCGCACAGCAGCGTCCCACAAGCAGCTGTGGATTGAAGTGATAACAATTAACTAATTAGCATTTAAGATCATGCAAAATTCATAAAAATCTCAAGCCAAGTTTTTTTTTGGGAGGGGGGGGGTGTTGGGGAGGGAGTGGAGAAGAACTGTGCGGAAAACCCGCCTAATTGGGCGTGAAACCCGCCCAAACCGCCCCCCTGGCCGCCGCGCTTGTCTCGGTGTGTGTTTTTCTGCGCCTGCGCGTTCGGGTTGAGTTTCAGCAGGCGCGCGGCGGACAGCCCCTGCGTGCCGTGAGGACCCGGAGCAGAGCGCGGGCTGGGAGCTGCCGGCCGGGAGGCATGAGGGAAATGGAGGCGCGGACCTGAGCGAATATCAGCGGCATCCGACACCACACAGCGGGTAACGCGACCCAGCTCCGCTCGGGGAGGCGAGGGGAAGCCTGACGGGCGGTCATTTGCGGGCGGGGAGGAGATAAAAGGCGCGGATGGGCTGAGCTGGTGACCTACCCCGAGGCAGGCTTCAGGGCCTACCATGGCGGTGCGGGGGGAGGGGGAGCGGTACAATGGCCGCTCTGATCTCTGTAACCTGCTCTCTGGCAAATGCTGTGAGGGTGTCTTTACCTGAGAGCGGCGTGGCTGCTGCTGTATCCCCGGCCTCGCCTGGCCAATCGGATAATTTATTTATTGTTATATTGTTGGCTGCCGCGTTTCGCCCACAAAATACACAGTCACTACACTTTGCAGTATATCACGTGAAGCGCTTTAGGACGTGTCGAAGACGTGATAAGACGCTGTATTAAATGCAAAGGCCTATTACTGCCGTACTCCCCGGTGTTGCACCCGTTGGGACACGTACAGAGGCTCAGTCTGCGTTGTGTCCTTTGTTCACCTTTCGTGTTTTCCTTTTTATTTCCACAAAAGAAAGTCTCCCAAAGGTCGAGGGGTTTTGTTCGAGGCTTTTCACCAATTCGCAGTCGTTAAAAGCCCAGCCTCAGTCACGTGAAAGAGTAAAATCAACGTGTTTGTGTGAAACAAATCTAACTACATTTCAGACCAACTGACTTGCATGGTCCTAAAATGAGTTTTTTTTCCCCTTTCATTGCTCTAATTTAAATGTACTTCGCCTCTCCACATTCCCCGGTTCTAGAGTCCATTTTAGATGTGACTTTATGGTTGCTTCCCGCATTCGACCCTCCAGGGGGCAGGTGCACAGGGAGGTAATAAGGGAATTGTTCTTGCTTTGAAGGCAACGTTGCAGTACTCAGGTGGGGGGGGGGGGGGCTAACCAGTATAAGAGGATGCATGCGTAAGGCATCTGAACATCTACAGCCAGTAATAATAATAATAATCCTTGCATTTGATATAGCGCTTTTCACGTCGGGAGGACGTCCCAAAGCGCTTCACAGAACACACTGTAAAGTGAAGTGACTGTATAGTTGTGGACGAACGCGGCAGCCAATTGCGCACAGCAACGTCCCACAAACAGACGTAGATTGAAAATGACCAATTTATAATTGGTTTTGGAGGGATTATTAGGCTGTGTGTGGAATAAGGAAACTTGCCCAAGGTTTCGCCCTCTGCCTGGAATTGAACTTGGGTCTCTCGCTTGCAAAGCGAGTGCTCTAACCACTGAGCTACAGGACTACGTACTAAAAATACTAGCCTCATTGACGAAACGATTAGATTTTCTCAGCTGGAATGTCTAGCTGAGATGTCCTCCCGACGTGAAAGGCGCTACACAAATGCAATTTTGTATTGTATTGTACCCACCAGTATAGAAGCCAGTTGTGTTTCGGATTCATTTTTAACTATCTTGGCTATAATAATACTTGCATTTGATATAGCGCCTTATCTCGTTGTCAAGGAATTTCAAAACGCTTCACAAGATTGACTATTTTGTGGGGAAATTTTGAGTTCATGTGTCTGTGTGTTTGCCTAGCAGAGGGAAGACCCCATTTACTTTGTCAATTCAGTTTCAAGACCTCTGATCATTTCTCAACTCAAGGATATGTAAGGCTAGTGCTTTTTATAGTAGCTAGAACCTTTAATACTGGTGACGTCTAGTTCAAGGTCAGGGGGTGAGGCATCTCGCAGGCAGTATAAATAACGGTAGACTAGTTGGGCCATATGGCCTGTTTCTGTGCTGTAACATTCCAGTTAAGGGAAGGTGCCTAGTGCTCCAATTGAGGTCTGTCTAACCCTTTGATCTGTTCTTTGAAATGTCTTGGGACATCCTCCCGACGTGAAAAGCGCTATATAAATGTAATCTTGTTGTTCTGTGATTGCTTTACCAAATTTACTAGAACGTAATTATATCCTTGCAACTGATAAAGTTGAAAAGTCTCAAAGCACTTCAAAGTTTTTCTGTGAAGTATAGTGATATATGTAGGTGAAAGAGGCAGCCAGTTTGCACACAGGAATGTTTCAAAGACAGTTTTGAAGTGAATGACCAATATATCTGGTATTACTTTATCAGTGTAGTTAAATGTATTTTGCTGTTTGTTTCTCAAGCATTTGGATGTGTCTTGTGCATTGACAGAGAAAGCTGGGTTGATTTAACTTGCTACTGTTTATTGTTATTATTTTGAACTCAGTATTACTTGATCAAAAATGCCACAACTCCTTTTAATTGTTTTTTCTGGATAACAAAGCTGAAAGCTTATGTCCTCACAATTTACGTATTTATCAGTTTGACATAGGTTATCTATTAATATACAGCTAATATAAAAATGCACATGTACAGTGGTATTCACTACGACTTGGTGTTGTCTGTCCAGGAGATCAGTCTTTTACTCATTTAACAATTGCTCAGTCAAAAGTAATGTTTCATCCGTTCCAGCAGTTTCTTTGTGGAGGCTTTCTACAAATCACCCTTGGCACACACCATCCCTCTGAATAAGGTAGAATAAATTGTGAAAAAAAGGCAAAATACGAAGATACTGGAAATCTGAAGTAAAAACAAATCGCTGGGAACACTCAGCAGGTCAGGCAGCATCTATGGAGAGGAAAGTGAGTTAATGTTACAGGGTCTGATGAAAGGTCATTGACCTGAAACGTTAACTCATTTTTATCTCTCCATAGATGTTGCCTGACCTGCTGAGTGTTCCCAGTGACTTGTTTTTCTTTTAGAATAAATTATATGCTGTTAAATTTGTCTAAAGTAAGATAAATCAATTCATACAGCTCGTTGCTTTCCTTATCCTTCATTTCGAACCATTGTTCTAATCTATAAGTTTAATTTCAATTAATTGTGCTGTGAAACACTCTGCTTTTAGGGAAATTATATATGTAGTGGAAGCCGTTTTAACCGGACACTGCGTAAATTGGACAAAAATGCCCAGCCCCAATTCATTTGTATTGTTATCTGTTTTAAATATGTCAGACATGGGGTAAATTTCCACATATGTGTGTGGATGGCAGCCAACTTTATCTCTCTGCCTCCATCCTCAACTCCAGGACTACTGGCGTTCTGACGACTGCCTGTCCGACATCAAGTCCTGGACTAGGGACAACTTTCTCCAATTGAACATAGGCAAGATTGAGGTCCTCCTGATTGGCTCACACCAGCGCCTCGGCACCTCAGGCACTGGCAGCATCAGCCTCCATGGCTGCACACTCAACCTCACTAAGCCGGTCAGGAACCTGGGTGTCTTGTTTGATCCTGATCTGTGCTTTCTCCCCCACATCCGCGCCATGACGGGCACTGCCTACTACCACCTCCGCAACATTGCCAGACTCCGCCACTGCCTCACCCCTTAGGCTGCCAAACACCTCACCCACACATTCATCACATCAAGACTCGATTATGGGAACTCCCTCCTCATCGGCCTTCCGAACTCTTCCCTTCACACGCGGCAGATCATCAAAACTCTGCAGCTCGTGTGCTCTCACGCACCAGACTCCGCGACCCCATCACTCCCACCCTCGCCCGACCCCACTGGCTCCCCATCCCCCAGAGAATCGAATTCAAGATCTTCATCCTCACTTTCAAGGCCATCCGTGGCCTTGCCCCCTCCTACCTCTCTGACCTGCTGACTCCCTACCAACCTGCCCACTCCCTCCGTTCAGCGGGCTCCGGCTGCTCCGTGTCTCCCACCCGACCCGTCCTACCGTCGGTGGCCGGGCTTTCAGCCTCTCTGCCCTCACACTCTGGAACTGCATCCCACAGTCCCCTGGACTCGCTTCCTCCCTCGCCTCCTTCAAGGCCGGTCTCAAGACCCTCCTCTTCGATCGTGCCTTCACTCTCCCTCCCACCTCTGCCTTCCCTCACCCCCCTTGGGACGCCCTCCTGACATGAAAGACGCTCTATAAATGTGATTTTGTTGTTATCAGTTACTTCGGACAAAATGCCGCGCAGAGCACTGCCTTCTGTGTCTTGACCATTCAGCCACGAGTGGCTCCAGGGTAGAGATGGGAGGAGTCACATTGAGATTGATTTACTGTGGACTCCCAACGATTCATAAACGTTTTGGGCTGTCGATCAGTGAGGAATGGGGGAATGGTGAAGAAACAAGGGAAGGAATGGGAGGAGGGATGAGTCAAATCGCAATTGATTGACGAGCGGGAGTCGCTTGTGATTGGCTGGAGTACCCACAGGCGGCTCCAAGGTTGTTGATTACTTTGGAGCCCTCGCTAATTGGTCCCCTTCTCATCCAATGGGAGTGAGGAGGCGCCACTGCCGCTCTTCTGCTGAGCAGGAAGAAGTAATGGAAGTTCGGTTAACCTCAGACGCTTCTTAAACCGGACAAAACAGCTGCCGAATGTCTGCCTTAACCGTCTTTCACTGTACTTCCTTTTTGACATGTCAGCATTCGGATGTGTACACGCTTCAGTTTCTCTCTGAATTCATGCATTCTCTTTCCCCCTCCTCCACACAAACACATTCTGATAGAGAGGGCATAGAGTGATCCAAGGTCCTGTAAATTGATACTGTGTTTGGTTGATAGAAAGTGATTTGACTTAATCTCTTTAGGGGAAAGGATATACCAATGTGCTTGAGGTCTTAGGTCAACAACATGCACTGGAGAGAGCTCAAGTTCGAAAGTTTGGCCGTTCTGGTTGATACCCAGTGTGAGTGTATTAGAATGCTGTGATGAAGTGATCTCTGAAATCATTCTACTTGAAATTTGATGCTTATGGAAATAGATTGACTTTTAAAAAATAAAAGTGAATGTGTTCGAATACCTTGGTCTAAGTATTCTTGGGGAGGAAAGAGAGTAAACAGCCAAGATTCTCCTGATTTCTACTCAAGTCTTCACTATTAGGCTTGGGTGCGCTGCCCCACAGTTGAACAACGGGAGCTATCGAAGGCTTGCACATGAATGACCAGTTGAGTGAGGTACCAGCCAAACTACAAGATTGCAGCCAAGATTGGGAGTAAGAAAGTCATCTTCATGAATGGGAATTCTGTAAAGGACAGCTCTTGATTACAGGGGAAATATAATCTCAGGCATTAATATCTGCTAATTTTACACAATGTGTAAGTATTATGGATCGTGCAGTCCTGTATTGGTTAGAGCACTTATCTCCCAAGCGAGAGGATGTGGGTTTGAATCCCAGGTGGGGCGAAACATTAGGCAAGTTTCCTTACTCCACACGCCTGTTTACCGAGCAGTCAAGTAAGTAGGAACCCGGTTGTTAGTCGATTGGCGGATCACTTTTCCAGGAGTAATAATCCCTTCAAAAATATATAAATCAAAATAATAACTTTGGTTACTCAATCCACGATTGTTTGTGGGGACACTGCTGTCGGTAATTGGCAGCTGTTTTTCGGCCAAAAAATATAGTAATTCACTTTACAGTTTATTCTGTGAAGCGCTTTGAGACATCTCCAAGACGTGATAAGGCGCTGTATCAAATGCAAGGATTGTTATTATAAGGTTTAAAAACTGAAGATCTCATGTGATATTGAGAAGTAATGCATTTTGCATCCCCAATAAAATGACAAAACAGCTGATCCAGTGAAAAGGGTTAAAACGTCATGATAATTTTGTAATGATTGTTTAAAACCTTCTTAAGGTTGTATTTAACACGGTTCGTGGTTTAGGCATGTTGATAAGATTTGCTGTGCAGGTGTGCATGACATTTCTTTACTATATTTTATAGCTTGCAGCCAGAATATTGTGGTTTATGGCACAAGAGGTCTTATGATTGCAAATGAATGAACTGTGAGGTCATCTGATTTGCGCAGTGAGTCCAAGCATCCTGGTTGCATTTGCCTGTCCGGGTGCCCTTGTGGCTCAGGCTTTGTAACTCAGCTGATTACTGAACTCCTGTAGCTTAGTGGTTAGAGAACTCGCTTCGCAAATGAGAGTACCTGAGTTCGATTTCTGGGCAGGGCGAAGCATTGGGCAAGTTTCCTTTCTCCACACGACTCTCCCTGTCAGTAAGTAGGAACCCGGTTGTTAGTCTATCGGCAGGTCGCTTTTCCGGGGTTAATAATCCTTTTTAAAAATATATAATAATAATTTAGTTACTCAATCCGCGACTGTTTGCAGCACATCACTGTGCGCAATTGACCGCAGTGTTTCGCCCACAAAATATACAGTCAATTCACTTTACAGTTTCTTCTGTGAAGCGCTTTGAGGCGTCTTGAAGACTTGAAAAGGCGCTATATCAAATGTTAGTATTGTTATTATTACCAGACTCTTTACCATGCAAAGAGTTTACTTTGTTTTTTTCTTTCTCCACAGTCCTGCTCAACACTAGAAGTCGTACGGTGCTGTTTTTTATACTTGGTAACAGACTTGTGCAATCATGTTTTTGTATAACCTGACCCTTCAGAGGGCAACTGGCATATCCCATGCCATCCATGGAAACTTTTCAGGTGAGTGTTTTCAGGTGGCTTTAATGTTAATCGTCTTGTTGCTTTGACTGATTGGGTCCTTTACTCGGATTTCAACTGTATTTATTTCTCAATCTGAACATGTTGATCTTTGAATGGCTTTCTCTTAATGTTCTCATTGAGAAGATTTTGTTATATTGGACTCCTACATTTGTTAAGCAAAATTCTAAAGTAGATGTTCATTGTACTTTATGGGTCAACTGGAATCCCCCCCCAAAAAAAATATTTGGCCTTTCCTGATGCATTTTCCTTGTTTTAATGTTTCTGATGAAACAAGGACTGTGTGCTAAACTTCGAAGGCCTTTGCCGCATGTTGAAGCAGACAAGCTCCTAAATTAAAGAACTTTTATACTAAATTTTAGAGAATAGGATTTTTAGTGTTTGATCTAGTACGACAACAACAAGATTACATTTATATGGCGCCTTTCACGTCGGGAGGACGTCCCAAGGCGCTGGACAACGTACAGCATTTCAGACCCTAGCTGGGGTCAGGGGGATCCTAAATATATATATCCTATATATGGGATAGTACAGATCCCATCCCTTTCCTCCTTTAAATTATTTAGCCTCTTCTACTGCTTGGGAACCTTGTTGTTGCATCATTCTGCACAATGATTTCACAATAGATTTACAAGAATGAGGGACCTTGATGATGAGGAAAGGCCAGAGAGGCCGGGATTATTCTCATTGGTTAGAAGGTTACGAAGAGACTAATAGAGGTCTTCAAAATCATGCGAGGATTTGATAGGTTAGAAAGGGAAAAACTGTTTCCACTGGTGGGTGTGTCGGTGACTTGAGGTCACAGATTTAAAATATTCTCTAAAAGAAGCAGAGGGGAGGTGAGAAGAATTTTTTTCATACAGCGAGTTGTTTGAACCTGGAGCGCATTGCCTGAAAGGGTGGTCGAGGCCGATTCGATAACTACTTTTAAGAACGCGGTGGACGAGTATTTGAGGAGGACGGGTCTGCAGGTTATGGGGAAAGGGCTGGGGAGTGGGATTGACGTTATATTGCTCTTTTCAAGGAGCCGGCAGACTCGATGGGCCGAATGGCCTCTTTTTCTGCTTATGATTCTATGAATGTGTATTGAACTGAGATGCTTTGTAAATGTTAAGCATATAGAGGAAATATCTCCATGATTATTAGTTTGGCTAAGAACTAATTCATAATGTATGACATTTTTCAGCACATAAGACAAACTAGTGATTTGCCTAAAATAAGTCACATACTGTGAAGTTGAGTCTGGTGATCTGGTTTAACATTTGCAATTGTCATTTATGGTGTAAGCCCTTTGTCTTGCTTTTTAACTCCAACATTACTGGAATGGAGATATCAACCTCATGGCGTAGTTTTACATTTTCTATTGTACTTTCTGATTGTTATTTCCTACTGTGTAGGAACCAAAATGCAGGAGATTGTTGTTTCCCGGGGGAAGATCCTCGAATTACTCCGTCCAGATGCAAACACAGGGAAAGTACATACTCTGCTTACAGTGGAAGTTTTTGGGATAATTCGTTCTTTAATGGCCTTCAGGCTAACGGGAGGTACTAAAGGTAAGGTATATTATACCTTTCAATCAGCTAATGGTAATATAAGCTTCTGTAAAGGATTGGCGGTCTATGTAGTTATATTGAAATATTTATTATTTTATTGAAATCAACCTTGCATTTCATATAGCGCCTTACCAAGTCGTTCAGACATCTCAAAAGTGCTTCACGGGATATATTGTAAAGTGATGTGACTATGCATCTCCACACCACAAGTTTTAAATATTAAATGATTTTTTTTAAATGTTGCTAGGTCACATTGTGTTGCAGTTGTAGGAAAATTAATGTAAAAAAGGTAATCAGATCAGAGCTTTCTACTAAAATGAAAGTGTAGCACAAAGGTTTGTTAAATTTGTAGCTTGCTTTTTCATGGAGTTTCCTTATATGTATTCTGTCAAAGATTGACAGTCACAACATAACAAGGATGCACGTTGCATAAGATAACAGGTGCTAATTTATTATTCAATCTGTTAGCTTGGCCCAGTTGGCAATGCTCTTGCCTCTGAATCAAAAGGTTGCATTAGAACTCGAGATCCTAGTCTGATCACATTTCCAGTGCAGTACTGAGGAGCAGTACATTGTCGATCATGGTGTGCTTTGCGTAACATTAAAAAGAGGTGCGGATTAAAGATCTCAGGGCAGAATTAGAAAGAGAAGGGTGTTTCTCCCAGTGTCTTGGCCAGCATTCCTTCAGATAAATAGCCTTGTGGTTTGTGGTTCTTACTGTTGCTGCCTTGGCTTACTAAAACATTTAATAATAAGAAGAAGAATTCTTGCATTTGATATAGCGCTTTTCACGTCGGGAGGACGTCCCAAAGCGCTTCACAGAACACACTGTAAATTGAATTGACTGTATATTTGTGGGCGAACGCGGCAGCCAATTGCGCACAGCAATGTCCCACAAACAGTCGTAGTTTGAAAATGACCAATTTATTATTGCTTTTGGTTTTGGAGGGATTATTATTAGGCTCTGTGTGGAGTAAGGAAACTTGCCCAAGGTTTCGCCCTCTGCCTGGAATTGAACTCAGGTCTCTCACTTGCAAAGCGAGTGCTCTAACCACTGAGCTACAGGACTCCATTTGCTAGTAATTATAAGTGAATCAATAACTTACTTGATAGAAGATTTGCAAGTAATTAATTGGTACACTGCTTACTTAAAAGTCATTAATGAAATGCTTGCTCTTTTACCCACAGATTACATTGTAGTGGGCAGTGATTCGGGCAGAATTGTTATCCTGGAGTACCAACCATCCAAGAATATCTTTGACAAAGTTCACCAGGAAACCTTTGGCAAGAGTGGTTGTCGGCGTATCGTACCTGGCCAGTACCTGGCAGTGGACCCCAAAGGTCGTGCTGTCATGATAGGTAAGTGTTGCATACAAGTTGGTGCTTAAAGCAAAGGAAGTAATGTACAATTGTGTAATACCCTGGTCAGACCTCATTTGAGTCCTCTACAGTTTTAGACACTACACCTCAGAAAACACCTTGGAGGCTATTCGGTGAAGACTCACCAGACTGATATGTGGATTTAAGGGGCTTAGTTATGAGAGCAGAATGGGAAACTGGGATTTCTTTGAACAGAGGAGTTTGAAGTTCGAGGTGGTTAAAATAGTAAAGGAAATTGACAGAGTGAATAAGGAGACTCCTTCCTCTGGTTGCAACATCCAGAACAAGAGGGCATAATCTAAAAATTTAAACTAGACCTGTTAGTGTAAGCAGATGACATCACTTTGCTCAGAGTTATGGGAATGCCTCCAGTGCAAGTGGGAGTTTACACTGAATTGTCATTAATCTCAAGGAATAAACTGTTTCTGAAAAGTAAGCTATTTATTATTCAGGTGCCATTGAGAAACAGAAGCTGGTGTACATTCTGAACAGAGATGCTGCTGCCCGGCTGACCATCTCCTCGCCCCTTGAAGCACACAAGGCAAACACACTCGTGTACCATGTGGTGGGTGTGGATGTGGGCTTTGAAAACCCTATGTTTGCCTGCCTTGAGATGGACTATGAGGTAACGTCTTACTCATTCTATAACTTTGGGGCTTTGGACACCCCGCATTTTCCACCATGTAAGGGCACTGCTAGACATCGCCAGTGTATGACATATATGAACTGTATTGTAAACGTTAGAGGAGTATTTACTGAACTGAGGAGATGTTTTAAATTAATTTGTGGGGTTAAAAATGCACTATTTTCTGAGTAGCAACATGAGATGACACCCACCTGCAGGAGTTTTGCTGCAGAATTAGATGCTTTGGAACAGAGTTCCTGGCGTTTGGTGTAGGAACTTCTGGTTATCTCAGTAGTCGCTATTTCATGAATCCATGTAATGAATACCGACCGGATTTAAACCCCTTTGTGTGTGCATGGAAATCTCTGATAACTGTTTGGATATCTGTTCAGTGGGCTGTGAATTTACACTCTAATCTTAAACAGTAATTAATATATAATGTTTTTTTGTCATTTACTAAAGGCCTATCTGAAAGAAGTTTAGCATTGTGAGCATGTTGTACTTTTTAAGATACATTTAACACATTTTGTTACAGCAATATGTTGCTCAGTTTGTACTGCTCTTGCTGTAATCTAATCTCACAGAATGCAAGAAGTCTTTGGCTTCCAGTTTATTACTTCCACTTTGTGAGATGTGTGCGCACATTTGTTTTATACTGTTGCAAGCAATGTTTATAAAGGATAAAGGAGGCTCTGAAGCTTTGATTCCTGAATTCTGCTTCTTAGTCTAGTACAAAAAAGCACATCTTCAGTGACAAGCTCTGCCACACAGACACGAGAAGGTCCCAAATTCAATCCTTGGTTGCTGCGTACCCAATTCCAGCCAGAATGTTGTGAGGGGTTCTATAATTGGTTTCACTGCCCCTGTTGGGGCTCATTTCTGCTCATTAATCCATGGCAATGAATCAACTTCCTTCAGAGTAAGCGAGAGGACCTGGGTTCGATTCCCAGCGGGGCGAAACACTGGTCAAATTTCCTTACTCTACATGGCTCTGTTTACCTTGCAGTAGGTATATTCTGTGAAGCGCTTTGAGGCATCTTGAAAACATGATAAGCTACTATATCAAATGCAAGGATTATTATTTATCTTCAAGTGAGAAATGTCCATGTTATTCTTGCTAAAAGTGAGCAACTTGAATATGATGACACTGTCCGTGTTTCACCTGATGCTTAAGTGATTACACTAACATTTCTGACTTAAAGTTTGCTCATTGTTAAACTCTCGTGAGAGGAATTATTAGGTTATTAGGTTTGTGAAAATTTCATTTGAATGGGTTTGATTTTTAAATGTCTTTCACTTCATAGTATATTGTGTGAAACGCTTTGAAACGTCTCGAAGGCATGCTGTATCAAATGCAAGGATTACTATTATAGATGTTTAATTTTTTAATGTGACGGTTTAATGGGTAGCTGACGGTAATCTCAGAGAAGTTGTGTGATGTGAAGCTAAATTCATTTCTAACCATTTAAGGTTTCCTAACTTGCAATTAGATCTTTCAGTTTTGGAGGGTTCCTGAGTATCGACTTTTAGTGCTATTGTGAAATGTTCCCGGAACAATCCGAACTTTGTGTAGTTGATTTGATATTGTTGCTAATTACTGGGAAGCAAATCGATATATTTCACTAAACATATGGAATCAAACTTTGGGTTCACAGAAGACTCGGTTGCATATTTGTAGATCCACCCTCATCTTATCCTGTAATTCTGTAAATCTAGCTGAATGGATATCCCTCGCATGTTTTCTACATTGGGTAGCCCGGTCTCTTAATCTGAACAAAACTATCAATAGCATTAGTGGTAATGACTCCTAATGTCATTGGATCCAATGCCAACTGTAATACGCTAGTAAAACAAAGTATACCGTAACACCATTAGAACTCAACAGAGCTGAACCTACAGATATAAGCAGATGGTAGTCTCAAAGACACATATGAGTTACGCAGCAATGAGTTACTGTAAATGCCTGTGTGAGCCTGAACTGTTTTCTGACTGATTAGTCGTCTCTGTGTTTATAGGAGGCAGATAGCGACCCCACAGGTGAGGCAGCAGCTAACACGCAGCAGACCTTGACGTTCTATGAGTTAGACTTGGGCCTGAACCACGTAGTGAGGAAGTACAGTGAACCTCTGGAGGAGCACGGCAACTTTCTGATTACAGGTTAGCATCTGTGGCTCAATTACATTTCTGAACAAAGGGCTGAAATTCTACTTGCTGCTACGTGAAGCGACTCCTTCACTGCTTGATGATTACAGTGGGAGAAATCCCATTAGCAGCTGACATTGTCAATGGCGCTGACCAGAATTTCAGCCCAATGGCTGTTCAGAATAATGTAGATGTGCTATCTATGTATCTAATGTATCTAATTTTGTGTTGGGTGAATGACTATTGTTCTGGAGACTCCCATGGCGATTCAGTGGGTGCATTCTGTGGAACAAAGCCGTAAGGATTGTATCGCTGGCCTCCAACGAGTATCCATTCTCGGAGGTGCTGTATCTGTCTGAGCTAATGATTGAGGGGCAATCAGCCAGAATTTCTGCTCCTGATCTATCTTTAATGGTGGCTGCTGAGAAATTGCTTTTTGATGTCTCAGGATGTCTGAGGACAGGACCAGGTTTGGCTAAGGCACTTCCCATGATCTAACAGCAGAAAGAAACGCTGGCTTGTGGAATTGTAGCCATCCATGAGGCCCTATCTTCATTAAAATGTAGTGGACCAGCTTAAGCAGGGGGTCAAGTCACCTAAAGTGAGCGAATGATTTTTAAATAGGGATGGAAAGGGTGGCGAATATTTTTGGTGCAAAGCAGTGTGTCCAACTGGTCATCCTCGGTAGGTGGCAGTGTCATATATGATCAAAAAACAAGGCACCATAGAACTGGCTCGTTACTGAGTCAAATTGAAAATGAAGCCGGGTTCATGAAGTATTGCATAAAAATATAAATTTAGGTATTAATACACTTCATATTGAATATCACTCCTTCCTGTTGTTTTTGTTGAGCACGGGCAAGACACCACGTCGCTGTGATTGACCCGCTGGAGACTCCTGGTGTACAGGTTATAGCATTACCTGACCCAGGTGGCACCTGCACCATTGCCTCTCAACCGTTTGTCAGGGCAACTCTTGATCTGGCTGCTGGTTAAAAGAATACGTAGATGGGGCATTACTACCTAGTTGACGTGGTCGTACAGAGGTTGTGTCTGTGGGACAACAAGCGTCTGTGGGTTTCTTCCCCCATTATAGTGTTGAATAAACTAATTTATCTTTCAACGTTTTAACCTGCGTAAAATAGTTTTGCGTCTTCTGAGACTAGACAGCTCAGAAACGAGGATTTACCTTGATTTGCAGGTAAAAATCCGTGCATTCAAATGGCTTTAAATTTGCACGTGAAGTTGGAAACCGAGGTTGATTCTGTGATAAGGTAGTCTTTCACACAGTAGAATATTTTAAACCCGTACAACCCTTACAAAGAATTCAGTTCATCCCTTTATTGCCTGTGTTAAATGTTTTAATATCCTAGAATTATACAGCACAGAAGGAGGCCATTCGGCCCATCGTGTCTGTGTCGGCTCTTTGAAAAGAGCTTCCAAATCAATCCCACTCCCCCGCTCTCTCCCCATAGCCCTGATCAACCCCACTCCCCTGCGCTATCCCCATAGCCCTGATCAACCCCACTCCCCCGCTCTCTCCCCATAGCTCTGCAAACTTGTCGTCCCCAAATAATTATCTACTTCTCTCTTAAAAGCTGTTATCGAATCAGTTCCCACCGGCCTTTCAGACAATGCATTCCAGATCCCAACAACTCTCTGTGTGAAAACATTTCTCCTCACCGCCCCTTGGTTTCTTTTAACAACTATTTTAAATCGGTGTCCTCGGGTTACCGACCCACCCGCCAGTGGAAATAGTTTCTCCTTGTTCACCCTATCAAATCTGCTCATAATTTTGAAAACTTCTATCAAGTCTCCTCTTAACCTTCTCTGCTCCAAGGAGAATAATCCTCGCCTCTCTACCTCTCCTGATAACTGAAGTCCCTCATTCCTGATACCATCCTGGTCAATCTCCTTTGCAACCGCTCCAATTCCTTGACATCCTTCCTAAAGTAGTTCCCAGAACTGAACATGGTCTCTAGCTGAGGCCTAACCAATATTTTATAGTTGCAGGTGTATCTGACTGGCTGTGTTTAGGGAGTTGTTAATATGCCTACGTGAAAGAAATTCCCATCACTTCTCTGTAGATGTTAATTTTGCTCTCTTGTTTAGTAAGGCCCTCTCAGCCATGTTTTCTATGCTTTTCTATTTTTTATTTAAACTAAAGTATTTGAAACTGTTGTGAATAAGAAAGCAATCTAGCTGTTTGCTTTGGGAATTGCCATCAGGGTTAGTGAAGTGGTTACATTAGGACGTGCTAATTGAAATCATTCTGTCCTCCAGTTCCAGGGGGCTCTGATGGCCCGAGCGGTGTGCTCATCTGCTCTGAAAACTACATCACGTATAAGAACTTTGGTGATCAACCTGATATTCGATGTCCCATCCCAAGGAGACGGGTAAGAAGCTGCCATTTAACATGTTTGCAGTATTTACAGAGAATACTTCTAAACACATTTATTTTGGTTAAACTGGAGTAAAAGCTCTAGCCTAGTTTTGAGTGAAAATTAACAGGAGAGTGTGATGCTCTATAGGAATATATAGGAGTTAACTGTTGATTGCCTTCTCATTCCAGAATGACCTGGACGATCCCGAACGAGGAATGATCTTTGTCTGCTCGGCGACACATAAAACCAAGTCCATGTTCTTCTTCTTGGCACAGACTGAACAGGGCGACATCTTTAAAATCACCCTGGAAACAGACGAGGATATGGTAAGCATCCCGCTTGGCAGGCCTGTGACTGAGCTATAAGCCAGGTACTTAGATTTCACAGCAGCTCATCACACCTTTCTTTGTGTTTTTAAAGGTTACCAATTTGCAGTATTTGGACTCAAGTCCGTATAGTATAACTAAATACCCATTCCTTCTGGTTGTAAGAGAATCTGAAAATCCCCAAACAACTTGTTTTTATACAATACCATTCATGTGAAAGCCTCAGAGTGCAAAATGGAATGTGCTTAATTCGAAATGACGTGAATGTTATGGAAGTAAAAGTGGTAGCTGCTTTGCATCATGGACTATTTTAACGGCAGGCAAATCCTTTAATCCAAGATAGCAGTGCCCCCAAAATAGCAAGTGTGTTCTATCTGCTTGTCTACTGGAGTTTTACAATATAATTTCACAGAATGCTTTTTAAATGGAACAAATCTTCAGTCGGGGTAGGGCTTGGCTTGTACAGTATTTACTATAGCAGCTCTTTTTCCATCTCCAGGTAACTGAGATCAGACTGAAGTATTTTGATACAGTTCCTGTATCTACCGCGATGTGCGTGTTGAAGACTGGATTCCTGTTTGTAGCTTCTGAATTTGGCAATCAGTAAGTATGGAGGTATTTTGGTTGGTTAATATTAAGCTAACTGGTACTAACTGGTCATTCAATCATCTGTTCTCTGGTTTGAAGTGAGCTTAATTTAGTTCATTTAGTATCTAGCCTCCATTTAGATCCTCATCAGTGCATTACAGGACATGTGGAGAATCTGTAATGGAGTGTCCTGGCTGCCCCTTGCCCCCACCACCAGCATAACAATTATTTTATTCCTGAAAATAATGTATTAAATAATGTATTTCTGTCCCTGTGGTTGGATTTATAGTATTGTACTTTGTGACTTGGCAACGGGGAAGCAGTTTTGTGCTGAATATCTCTTTGTAGTGTCTGAATTTGACAATCGGTGGGTCTCGATAGAGTACTTTGGTTGTCAGTTGAAAGATTAACTAGTGTGTTACTGGGAGATCGCACTATTCCAGGTAAATGTTTATAGTGGGAGAGAGAAATGATGAAACTCGAAATCCTTCATAAAGATTTGAAAAAACATTTATTGCCTGAAAAAAAATTCTTGAGCAAATCTTGGTGAGTTTCTAATTCAGAGAGCTAGTAACTAAGCCTTGCCTCCTTTTTCCAGCTACCTTTATCAGATTGCACATCTGGGAGATGATGATGATGAGCCTGAGTTCTCCTCAGCTATGCCTCTGGAGGAGGGGGACACCTTTTTCTTCCAGCCACGACCTCTCAAAAACCTGGTACTAGTTGATGAGCTGGACAGCCTTTCACCTATTCTGACTTGCCAGGTATTTACCTCTTTAAAATTATGAGTGGTGTTGGTCTTCTTGACACAGTCTGACCAGGGTGACATCATTAAAAACCCAGAAACGGAAGGGTTTTGATAGATAGATTTGATAAAGAAATTATTTCCACTGGTCAGTGAGTCAGTAACTGTAGGGCATCAATTTAAGACGGTTAGTAAACGAGTAATTGGAGAGGTTGGGAGAATGGTTTTCACACACAGCGGTTAGTTTATGGATTGCCCTGCTGGGAGCGGTGGTTGAGCCAAATCCATTCGGGCCTTCAAAAAGGAACTAGCGAGATGCAACAAGTTACATTTGTATACCACCTTCACCTTAGAAAGAGCCCCCTGCAAGGCTATGGGGAAAGGGCAGGTAAATGAGACTGAAAGAATTGCTTTTGAGGGAGTCACGATGGACCAAATCACCTTTTGTGTTGTTGATTTCTGTAGTTCTGTAGATCTTCAACCGCCGTTCACTTTACAAGCGATAGCAACAATGCTTAGTAGCCAACCATTAGTGGCTAACCCAACGGTACTGCTGAGGAATAGATGTTATCGATTGATGTTCTTCTCTGAAAGCCACTGAGGAATGAATGCTTTATAATTCTCATCTTGTGTGGCTGAGCTGACGGGGAGCTCCATTGGATGCTGATATATAACTGCGCTTTGTGCGTTTATCCACAGATTGCTGACTTGGCCAATGAAGACACACCCCAGTTGTACGTGGCCTGTGGTCGGGGCCCACGGTCATCCCTGAGAGTCTTGAGACATGGTCTTGAGGTAAGGAAAGATTTGGTTTGCACAAGAGCAGTGGAGATATAAAGGCACTGAACTACTGTGCCGGCTAAAATTAAGTGGGGAAATGGCACTGGAAGATAGTAGGAGCAGAATGGGCATGGGCACATGTAAGACTAGGATGTGCAAATAAAGAATTTTATCTGATAACATTACTGACACCATAGCTGTTGAGCCCAATAAGCCTGAGCGAAATGGAAATTGTGCATTTCATGCAAGTATTGAAGATGACTAAAAGAAGCATTAGAGGGTGCGTGAGGACAATGGCGCCAAGCATCTAAAGAAAATGGTGTTATCAATTCAGTTGGGCTTTGAAGACCTGATGTGTCCTTTTAAACCATGGTTTGGGTAGAGAGATTGGGAATGAGACACAATGTCTCAATGTCTGCCTTATATATTTTGCTGAAGAAGAAATCCCCAGTTCCTGTGATACTAGCTGGGAATGTTGATGTAAGCCAGCTTTTAAAAAAAACTAGAAACGCTATTCAGTGCTAAATGAAGTTGAGTGAATGTACAACCTTGAATTTTAAATCCTGGTTTTGGATGGGGGTGGGGGGGGGGGGGGGGAGATATTCCAGGACTGCTCTCTATTAAAGTTTGTTAAAAAGAAATGTTCAATATGTTGCGTGAAGACGTTAGTCATTTGTATTTGCCGTTTCTCTGGCAGGTTTCCGAAATGGCCGTCTCTGAGCTTCCTGGTAACCCTAATGCAGTATGGACTGTAAGAAGACATGTGGAAGGTATGGATTGAGTACAGTGAGACAGATGGCTATGGGAGAAATCTGTTGCACACAACCCTCCCTCGAGAGCCTTGTGTTGCACCAACTGAAGACATAACTTTTGTCTGTTCAGAAATATTCCTTTGAGGAAAATGATTCAGCAAATGCTCCCTTTGCTATTGAATCACTTTGAGTTTGTTTAACCCTTTTAGGTATATGACTGGGTTTCCTCGGCAGCTTTGTAATGCTGCAATTTAATAAGTTCATCTGCACAGTAGAATATATATGCAATGTCGAAAATAAACCATGCATCTTATTGGGTTTCCTTTTGTTCAAAAGTTTAATGGCCTGGAAAGGTTCAACGTTTTCATTAAGTTTTTTTAATGCATTTGCAATTTAGATACAAAGCTGTATGTTTTTAAAGTAAAGGTTTAGAAATCTGCAAGTGACTATTAATACTGGCTGTGTGGTCACACGTATCTGGTGTTGAAATTCGCTCTATTTTTGTTCCTCTTCCTTAAACGTGTATGAACAGAACTTTCTTATGTTGAAAGAAATTCAGAATCTTTGCTCATGATAAACCTTAAGAGACTTCCTCCCAATGGTTCAGTTGATAAACATGCAGCCCAGAGTGAAACTGAGCCAGACAGACCTGGGTGGTTTTAGGTTCAGTCTTTGCTGACTTAACTGATCTCAGTAATTGGTGCTTCAGTTGTTTCTAGTGCCTGGGATGATGGGGAGGTAGTAGAGGAGAGTCAAACAGGAGTTCTTACTCCTAATCACTTAAGCAGTGATCACTGAATGGAAACGTTGGGTGACATTCGGGTGTCTAACTCTGTTCTGATACTCCCCCACTGAGTAAATTGTTGAAAAGATACTAGAGAACCTATTGGAACTGGAACTAAGCCTGAGCACTAATGATGCTGATTTTGGTGTAGGAAAGATCTTGTGACTTGTGCCATTGTATTTCTTGTCACTTGTGGATGATTTACAGAAGTGAAAGCTGCAGTACTCATTTCTAGGGCTGGGCAGATCCTGTGAATGTTACAAGCCAGAGGAACTGGGCTGAAGATACTCTGAATTAAATGTTACAGCTGGAATGCCTGATAGCATTTCTAATTGCCGCTGTACAAGAGTATCATGAGTGAAATCGTTATGGGGGTATATTTTACTCAACTTTTAAGAGAGCACGTTGCATATGCGATTACTCTGTACTCTTGAATCCTTGTAATGGATGGAACAGGCCTACTCCATAATGATCTACTCAAAGAGCATAATTTCTCTTTCCGTTAAATATCGGTCAATTTACACCTTTTAAATTGCTGGGACTCCACATCCCCCAATTGATGTACTTAAAACTTGTGACGTACATTCACGCAATATTGTCTCATTTTGTTACTGTTTAATTACTTCTCCCTCAGCCATAAGGTATTAACTCTAGAATTGTGGCTATGTAATTCGTTGTTCAGCCCTAGTTTACCTGCACTGGCTTGATGGCTCACACACTCCAGACTTTGCCCAGCTCAAGTCATTTTTGCTATTGCAGTTTATACCCTGGTTTTCCTCTTGATTCTGAAAGAGCAGTACTAACCTTGGCTGGTATGTGGTGGCACGATCTCTACCAATACCAAGCCTCTGTTTCTCTCCCACAGGTGGCCGGGGAAGGTGCTACTCACTCTAGGTGCGTACCTGCTGGTAGGGCATCCTGGATACTGGGTTAGGACAGACGTTGTAAAGAACAGTCCTAACTAGTGATTTACATGAAGCAAAGTACTGCAGATGCAGCTATTCTACATAATGGAAGTTTGCACAGCTGGAAAATCGTGACACCCCTTCCCTCCCCCAATATTATAATTCAGGGTTGACGATGGACAAATTTATAAAGAGCGCAGGGGACTGAGTTGCTGAGCATGTTTTGGATAAAGGGTTTGATTGAAAGTGCTGTGCTTCAGAATTCAGAGCTTCTATTTAACATTTGCTTGAGCCATCAAGCTTCAGTTAGCTGATTCTTCAAATGTGTTACTTTCCTCTTTGTAGAACAGAATAGGAGTAAATTCTGAGGTTTCCTGTGTTTTTTAAAACAAAAAGTGAAAAAGTTCCTGGTTTGGCTGGGAAGAATCCTCAGTCTGATCTGCCCAATCCCTGAGGAATGGTTTGAGGTTAACAAAAATGAGTCTTTTATGTGAACCGTCGTGTTTTCTTTCAACTCATTCCACTTTACTAAATATCCAAATGGGATTAGTTACAGATGTTTCATCTTATGTACAAGTGGGTTTATCACAAGTGACTTCTTGTCAACATGAAATTGCTTTAAAACGTTAACCCCATCATTAAATCTTTGATATTAAAATGTCCCAGTCTCTGTCTAGCCTTAAACAGATTCACTAAAACCTATGGCAAAATGAAGAAAAACCTTCTTTGCATTAAGATACTTCCTTCGCCTGTAGCTAAGAGTATTATTTCAATGAGATCCTGTCTTTAGGACCTGTTCTTGGTTTGCCAGCGTATAGCTGAGCCCTGTTGCTGCTAATAGTAGGTATAGGCTGATTTACTTTTGAAAATGGCGATTACGTTGTATTGAACTTTTTTAAAAGGCATTTTATTTCCCCGCCCCATCCTTCAAAGCAAAAAACTGGTCAGGAACGCGGTAATACATTGTACTTACTGTGTCTATGCTAAATGGACTTTTAAAACTAAAGCCTACTATGATTGGGTTTGGCAATAGAATGTATTGTGAAAGTGTTGAATGTTAACCTGCAAGTATATTTTGCACCTTTTTTGTGTGTGTTTAGATGAGTACGATGCATACATCATTGTATCTTTCGTGAATGCCACACTGGTACTGTCTATCGGTGAGACTGTAGAGGAAGTGACAGACTCTGGATTTCTGGGTACCACACCCACACTCTCCTGTTCCTTGCTTGGTGAAGATGCACTGGTGCAGGTAGGGGTACAGTGTTTGATTCTATGTCGTAAAGGAGCCAATTCTTTCAGGGTGCATTGATTTTTGTTCAATAGACGGGAAAGGGCGAGATTTAGGATTAAGGATGTTTCACAGCATGAAAGCAAATTTCATAGAGTAGTTAATAGTGACACATTGGTCACTGGAGTTGACACCTTAAGCAGCTGATCAGCAATAGGATTTATTTAAGGGTGAGATTGAAAAGGTGCAGAGCAAGCACATTCCAATCAGGAGGGTGGGGGCGGTGCAACAAAGCATAAGGGGACCAGGGCCAACAAAGAAATATCAGGGGGATAAGAGGGAAGCTTATGTAACATTCAAAGCCGATAGCACAGTGGAAAACCAAGAAATGTCTCATTGTATAGAAGAGAGGCAAAAGGGGAGACTAAGAATGTTAAGGAGTATGAAAAAAAAATTAAGGGATTTGTTAAAGATTTTTATAAGCTATTAGAAGTAAAAGATTATCTCAGGAGCTTGGGCCACACGAAGGCGAAAGTAACAAATGGTGGTAGAGACGAAGGGCATGGTGAGCTATTTAATGAGTACTTTGCCTCAGTTTTCCCTGAGGAGAGGTGGCACTCACACGGTAGAATTAAAAGGGATATGGCACAGCTACTTGGGATAAGCATCCAGAAGGAAACTTTACCACAAAGTTATAACATTTGACAAATCACTGGGCTCTCCCTAATCGATGCATCCCAGAGTGCTGAGGGAAATAAGGGAGGAGATAGAGAATCTTGGTGATTTTGCAAACTTCCTTGGAGACTGGTAGGGGGCAGAGGTGGCACCACTGTTCAGCAAGGGTGCTAGAAGCTCTGTAGTCTGTTTTAAAGGCGCAATACTAATGTAATCTTGTTGTTAGCTTGTGCTCAATCTAGATTGTAATTGCAACTACTATATTCATCTTCCCCCAAGTTGGAACTGACCATGTCATTCTCGCTAAAAGTGAGCAACTTGAAAATGATGACACTGTCCGTGTTTCACCTGATGCTAAAGTGATTACACTAACATTTCTGATTTAAAGTTTGCTCATTGATAAGCTCTCCCATGAGAGGATTTATTAGGTTAGGAGGAACTCCAGGCCGGTTAGCCACAGTTGTGAGCAAACATTTGTTAGCAATAATAAGGGGCCAGGTTAGCAATTACATAGATAGGCATGAGTTAATCTAGGAACCATCAACACTGTTTTTAGAGGGCAGATTGTGTTTGACCAATTGAATTATGAAGCATATTTTACACTGTAACCCAAGAAAATCGCTTCTTTTTGATGCTAGGTGTACCCGGATGGTATCCGTCACATCCGTGCAGACAAGAGAGTGAATGAGTGGAAAACCCCGGGTAAAAAGACCATTGTGAAATGTGCAGTGAACCAGCGTCAGGTTGTGATTGCTCTGACAGGTGGGGAGCTGGTCTACTTTGAGATGGACCCGGTAAGTAATGCACTACATGACTGTAAACCAAATGAATTAGGGTGAATGGACATGTTTAATCGTTAAAGACTTGTAACCAAAATAGACGTCTCGTCGACCAGTTTGCAATGTAGCGTTAACAGAATGGAGAAAACTGGCTCTTCTCCTTCAGTGGGTTATTTAATTAGCAGTGCGAGGCAAATTTAAATTCTTGGTGTTTTTAGGTCCTTCCTTTCTACAGATCCTGTGGTTGTGGATCATACCATTGAGCTCGAAAAAGCAGTTTTGCTGAGACGTTGCATGCAGGGATCCTGTAGACTGTTTTGCTAGCTTGTACTCAATCCAAAATGTGATTCAACTATTATATTCAGCTCCAAATTGAAACTGACATTGTCATTCTCACTAAAAGTGAACAACTTGAAAATGATGACACTGTCCGTGTTTCACCTGATGCTAAAAGGATTACACTAACATTTCTGATTTCAAGTTTGCTCATTGTTAAGATTTCCTGTGAGAGGAATTATTAGGAATTGTTATAGGTTTGCGAGAATTTAATTCAAGTCGGTTTTTGATATCTTTTTGGTCAGTGCTGTAGATGGCACAGTTAATATTGAACCTAAATGCAATGCTGAATGGGTGAGGATGGGGACAGGGTGTGCTGCTGTTCATACAGCACATGTTCTGTTGCAATCTTTTCTGCTACTTAAACTTAGTCTGTGGGTGGATCTGATTATTCCCGTGGGCTACATAAATCGCTCTTTTGTTTGTAGTCTGGCCAGCTGAACGAGTACACTGAGCGGAAGGAGATGTCAGCAGATGTGGTGTGCATGAGTTTAGCAAACGTACCTCCAGGAGAGCAGCGCTCTCGGTTTCTGGCTGTGGGTCTTGTAGACAACACCGTCAGGATTATTTCTCTTGACCCTTCGGTAAGTTACACGTCTTTGAGACGTCTCAAAGCGCTTCACAGAATATACTATAAAGTGAATTGACTATATTTTTGTGGGCGAAACACAGCAGCCAATTGCACACAGCAGTGTCCCACAAAAGTCGTGGATTGAGTTACCAAATTACTATTTACTTTTACGCTACTGCTCAACCCAGAAGTGGCTTATAATCTAGGTAAATTGTCATTAAGAGCACATTATGACCAGGTATTAGAGCATTCGGATGGGTCACTGTTTTTTGAAACACTGGAGTACAAAATTCAAGTGGTTTAAGGTTCTACATTTAGACAGTCCACGATGCAGTAAATTAAAATGAAATGAAACTAAGATACAATATAGAACAAGATGCAGATCCTTTTTGGGTACTTGCTTACAGAGTACATCATCCAAAATAAAGGTACCAGCTACTGATGCAGTAACACTTACCTCCCAGGTGACGGTGCTCATGCGCTGTGTAAATTCAGCAGTGACTGAAATGAAATGGTCTCCTCCAGCACATTGTATATTGCGCTGATACCATTAGAGTGGTATTTACAGCTCTTTACTCCTTTTATGGAACAATGCCAATCAAGAGCCTAACAAAATGTTGATTTGATTTTTGGGGATCAAATGTCCATTTGATCTATATTTTTCAGAATACCCACTCTGCTGTTAAGCCATTTGTTCACTAAGTCCAGCTGTTGATCACAAACCAACATTCAAAGCTGCACACCTCCCATCTGCACCTCATTACAGACTTCTTAAGTGATGTCGTGGAAGTTCTTTAATGTATTTCAGTTGAATTTCAATTCAATGCAAAGGTCTTTCATTGTAAAGAACTCATTTGCAGGTTGCTTTAATGTAACAGAGAATGACTTTGAGTCTCCAGCTGTGTCTCTCTCTTAGTCCACCATGACTATGCTCCATGATTAACTGGCATTGCAACAGTGGCATTGTAATTTTAAATTTGTGGAAGGAGGTGTATCTTCAGAGACATTTATATATCAGTTTGGCTCAATTGATAGCACAGCTTACAACAACAAAACATTGCATTTATATAGCACCTTTCACATTGGAGGATGTCCCAAGGTTCTGGACAATGAGGGGTTTGCACCCGAGCTGTAGATTGGGATCAAGGGGGTCAAATCATGCTAGCGTTTGAGCTCACAAACTCGGCTGACAGTCCAGTGGGGGAGCATTGTGTTGTCAGAGGTGCCGTTCTTTAAACCAGATGATAAACCAAGGTTTAATAAAATAATCTCTTAAACCATCTCTTTTTCAGGACTGTCTGCAACCCCTGAGTATGCAGGCTCTTCCAGCACAGCCAGAGTCGCTCTGTATAGTTGAGATGGGTGGTGCAGAAAAACAGGACGAGCTGGGAGAGAAGGGCTCCATTGGCTTCTTGTACTTAAATATAGGTTTACAGGTGAGTTAACAGCAGTGAGTCATTGTAGGAAAAGAGAAATAATTTTAGCCTAACACACAGTCTATGTGCCAGAAACAAAGTTAAAACCTCATAAAAAAGAAAGTTTGAGCGCCATTTGGCTCATGATGCTTGTGCTCTCCTACCTCTTCAAGTCGCTTTTTATTAATCCATTTATCCCCGTATTCCTTAATCATTTTTACTTTTCATAAACCTGACCTTTGAGCAAAGGAGGCGGCCCACTTTAATCGACTAATACGTTGCACGCAAAGTGTAATAATATTCATGATTGTTGATTATGGGGTCAACAATATTCACAATTATTGACTCCACAACCAACAATTGTATTGGGGAAGAAAATCTTTATGGTTCTAAACTAAATTATTTCCAGATTTTGGGTGGTGTAGAGAGCTGGGAAGTACTGCTGTATTTTCTGTTGCTGATGTACTTTGTTTTAAGATTTGGTTGTGCTTCCTGTAGAACGGTGTGTTACTGAGGACTGTGCTGGATCCAGTGACTGGCGATCTGTCTGACACCAGAACCAGATATTTGGGGTCTCGACCGGTCAAGCTCTTCAGGGTCAGGATGCAGGGTCAGGAAGCGGTGAGTGCTGAATTAGTGACCCGAGACCTTGGTCCTAATCCATGGGTTTAGAGGAAATGTTAAGTTCTTATTAAGTAAGAAACTGATGATGACGTTGGTTTGGACTATTGCATCCTCTTCCACTTCTTAAAATGGAACCAAACTATTTCCTTGTAATCTGGGGCCCCAGACATTACCTCCACAACATCGCCCGGCTCCGCCACTATCTCACACAGCAGGCTGCCGAGACCACGCATTCCACCTCATGACCACCTCATACACGCATTCATAACATCCAGGCTCGACTACGCAAACTCGCTGCTTGTCGGTCTCCCCAACTCCTCCCTCCACAGGCTGCAGATCATCCAGAGCTCTGAAGCCCGTATCCTCTCCCGCACCAGGCTCCGTGACCCTATCACCTTCACCCTCGCCCGACTTCATTGGCTTCCCATCACACAGAGGATACAGTTCAACATCCGGGTCCTCACTTTCAAAGCTCCCCATGATCTTGCTCTGCCCTACCTCTGCGACCTCCTAACCCCGTACCAACCTGTTTGCCCCCTCTACTCAGCGGGCTCCATCCTGCTTCACGTCAACCGCCTCACTTGCCCCACCATTGGTGGGTGGGCCTTCAGCCACTCTGCCTCCATCCCCTAGAACTCTATCCCATAGTCTGTCCGCCTCACCCCCTCCCTCGCCATCTTCAAAACCCATCTCAAGACCCTCCTCTTCGACCATGCCTTCGGTCACCCCATTCCCCCCCTGCCCTCTACCCTCCCTGATCCCGACCCCCAGCTTGGGTACAAAACACTGATTGTCCAAAACACCTTGGGGCATCCTCCCAACGTGAACGGCACTATACAAATGTAATTGTGTTGTTGTTGATAAGCCAAGCCAGTCTGTGCTGTAAGTCACCAACATCAAAATGATGAAGCATATTCCGTGTTTCACCTGATACTTCAGTGATTACGATATTGTTTCTGATTTCAAGTTAGCTCGTTGCTATCCTGTAGTTTCTATATTGTGCTTGCTGATCTCCGCACTATTTTAATACTGTACATGTTCTTCACTCTGCAGGTGTTGGCTATGTCCAGCCGCTCATGGCTCAGTTACTCGTATCAATCTCGTTTCCATCTGACACCACTGTCCTATGAAACTCTGGAGTATGCATCGGGTTTTGCTTCAGAGCAGTGTCCAGAGGGTATTGTGGCCATCTCCACCAACACCTTGAGGTAGGACTTCTAGAAATCAAGGTTATATAAACAAAGATTATAAACCTCCTACAGATGGAAGCTGTTGCTCAACCTCATCAGCAACTCATTTACTGAAGCACTTATAATTAAATGAGTGATGCAAAGCTTTTAATATCTGCCATATATAGGAGTCAGTCTGTCTCAATGTGGTTGCATTCTCGCTTTGAATCAGAAGTTGTTGGTTCAAGCCCTATATTGAGATTTGGGGCTCACAGTGCAATACTTGGGGGAATGAATCAGAAGTGTCATCTTTTGAATGATTTGTCAAAACCTCTGCTCAGACGGATGTTAAAGATCCTGCTGCACAATGTGAAAAGTTAAGTGAGTTTCTCTCCTGGTGTCCTGGCCAACAATTCCCCCAGCCAGCTAAAATTGGTCACTCACTTCATGGTTCTAAGGGGTATTGCCGTGTGAAAATGGATGCTTTAGTCTGCAGGTGCATTTGCCTAAAAAATCACTGCATTCTACAGTAAATGGTATGAAGTGCTTTGAAATGATATAACCAAATATACCAAACTCAGATATTATCATGCTTTATATAAAACAATTGTTATTTACACAATACTCTTTCGGTACTGCAATTGTGGTATTTATGTGAATCAGATACCTGATGCCCAGCTCAGTTTCCTTTACCCGTATAAAAATTGGGTTTCTGGCCAGCAGCATAAAATGTATGCTGGTACCTAGAAACCCAATTTTCTGCCAGAAGTTCCCTCCCCAACACCCCATCCTAAACTGAGTAATTCTGGTATTTCAACTTTTGTGCTGCATGACCATGTGCCACACAGAAGGAATATCCAATCAAAACTTGTAGTTTAAACATTTCAAGCCCCTTCTTAAAACACTGGTTAGGCCTCAGCGAGAGACTGTTCAGTTCTGGGCCCCACACTTTAGGAAGGATGTCAACGCATTGGAGAGGGAACAAAGGAGATTGACCAGGATGGTACCAGAAATGAGGGACTTCAGTTATCAGGAGAGGTAGAGAAGCCGGGATTATTCTTCTTGGAGCAGAGAAGGTTAAGAGGAGACTTGATAGAAGTTTTCAAAATTACGAGTTGATAGGGTGAACAAGGAGAAACTATTTCCACTGGCGGGTGGGTTGGTAACCCGAGGACACCGACTTAAAATAGTTGTTAAAGGAAACGGGAGGTGAGGAGAAATGTTTTCACACAGAGAGTTGTTGGGATCTGGAATGCATTGCCTGAAAGGCCGGTGGGAACCGATTTGATAACAACTTTTAAGAGAGTAGATAATTATTTGGGAAGGACAAGTTTGCAGGGCTATGGGGAGAGAGCGGGGGAGTGGGGTTGATCAGGGCTATGGGGAGAGCGCGGGCGAGTGGGGTTGATCAGGGCTATGGGGAGAGAGTGGGGGAGTGGAGTTGATGGGGAGAGAGAGGAGGAGTGGGGTTGATTTGGAAGCTTTTATCAAGGAGCCAGCACAGACACTATGGGCCGAATGGCCTCCTTCAGGACACTGTATAATTCTATGATTTTTTAACCTTAACTGCTTTTGTCTGTTAATGAGGCAATTCTGGCTCAGTTGTCAGCACTTTACTCTCGCCTCGAAGTCAATGTTGTGAGTGCAAGCTCCCATGTCAGGAATGTAACTCAGATAATCTCAGGTGACGCTTCAGTGCATTGCTCTGGGTGTGCTGTGTTGGAGGTTCCATCCTTTGGATGAGAAGTTAAACCACTCTTTGGAGACACTTCTGTGTCTAGTTGGGCTGCCAGAGCACCTCCAGATACTCGCTCCACAGTAAATTCTGTGAAGCACCTTGAAGCACCTTGAGCAGCTATACCAAATGTAAAGGTGGTTATTATTGTTAATCTGCAGTATGAACATGGGCTGTTCTGTAATAATCATAATCATCCTTGCATTTGAAATACGCCTTAACACGTCTTCGCGACGTCTCAAAGCGCTTCACAGAATATACTGTGAAGTGAATTGACTGTTTTGTGGGCAAAACATTTTGGGCTCTGCATACTTCCTGCAGTTATCAAGGGCCAGACTTGCTTATCTCCTTAAGGAGGAAAATATCCGGAAATGTAATTGTGTAAAGTGAACGACTATATGCTTCATTAACCCTGGGGTCTTGGATTGCTTTCACTGCTTCTGTCATATCTTAATAGGCTATCAGGTTGTAACATTTTATTTTTATCCTCCTTTCAGAATCTTGGCTCTTGAGAAGTTGGGAGCAGTCTTCAACCAGGTTTCCTTCCCTCTGCAGTTCACTCCCAGAAAGTTTGTCATTCACCCAGAGAGCAACAATATCATTGTTATTGAGACTGACCACAATGCTTACACAGAGGCCACCAAAGCCCAACGCAAACAGCAAATGGCTGAGGTAACATTCTGATTCCCTAACTGTATAAATCTACTTTCTGTGTAGCGTGTGGTATTGATGGTCAGTTTGTACTAAACCGAGATGCGGAACCTTTCTCCACTTATCCGTGATTTATGCAATATTCCCTTCCTAACCCACATTTACCCATATTCAAGTTAATTAGCTGTTTATCCTGTTATTGATGTCTGCTCAGATTAAGTGCCGTGTTTGCTTATGTGGCGTACACTTTGTTTCTGATCAATTATACACTAAAACCTGGATACATCGTCTCGCCTAAGTCGTACATCTGCCCAAGTCCCGTTCAAGAGTACGTTCTATGTTTGACATAACTCATACTTTGCATAAGTCATACTAAATGACTGACTGGCACGACTTATGTGAGGTTTACTGTAGTTTGTAAAGCGCTTTTGAGATATTTTTATGAAAAAGGTGCGATTATCAATCCAAGCTGGTGATATAATTTGTGCAAAAGCAGGGAAAATTGTTTTTCGACATGCGTTGCTTGTTTGTTTGCAGTGGCTTTGAACCCGCTGTGTTGTCTTTTGTGCTGTTCAGGAAATGGTGGAAGCAGCTGGAGAGGATGAGCGAGAGCTTGCAGCAGAGATGGCTGCGGCCTTTTTGAATGAGAATCTGCCTGAATCTATTTTTGGAGCCCCCAAGGCAGGAAGTGGTCAGTGGGCATCTGTGGTCCGAGTAATGAACCCCATCCAGGGTAACGTGTATGATCAAATCCAGTTGGAACAGAATGAAGCAGCCTTTAGGTATGCGAGTAATAATGTACATGCAATAATTCATTAAGGTTCATTACCTCATTGTGTAATTGGTGCTGTGCGTCAGAGTATTCATTCTCTGATTAATGCCTTCGATGCGCAGTGTGTTGGCTTGCATTTGATCAGAATACTGTACAGTAGAGTGCTGATTTGCCCAAATTGGATTCAACACTGTTAAAATAATTGGACCTGAACTCTGTAGTACCACACTCTGCCAGCCTATCTCTCTCTATCTGTGCCCCTACTTTCATACACATTCATTCCCTCCCTCCCACCTTCTCTTCTTCCGTCTCTGTCTCTTTTTCTCGCTCTCTCTCTCTTCCCCCTCTCATACATGTGTACGTCAAAGATACTCAGCTGACCAAAAAGATTGAATCATTTGGATGTGATTTGTAATTTCGGGCTCATCTGCTTTTTGCCTTGGCCTGAATATTCAGGAATGTGATTGAATAAGCTTGCATCAGTGAAATCCAGATACCATCTCCTGTAGGGCATGACTGAGAGTTTACATGAGATCCTTCCTTGTAACGAGTTTCTCCTATTGTGTTTGTTTGGTATTATTTGACTGCACTGACGGGGATGGGTGTGTTCTGTGTTGCCAGTGTTGCTGTCTGTAAGTTTGCAAACGGAAGTGATGATTGGTATGTGCTGGTTGGAGTTGGCAAAGACTTGATCCTCAATCCCCGCTCGGTTGGCGGTGGATACATTTATACCTACAAACTCATCAACAGCGGGGAGAAGCTGGAATTTGTACACAAGGTGAGACTGTGCTTAGTACGTCTACAGACTAGCGCTGATGCTCTTTCACTTTGCACTCCCATCCCATTTGATTTTAATCCCTAAATTTGTGGTAATGAAGATGTTGTTCATACGGAGTACTTGAGAGATGTTATGTAAAATGAATTTTACACATACCACATCGGACTTTGTTTTCATAGAATCGTAAATATTAAAGCACAGAAGGAGGCCATTCGGCCCATCATGCCTTTGCCGGCTTTTTATAAGAGCTATCCAATCAGTCCCACTCTCCTGCTATTTCCCAATATCCTAGCAATTTTTTTCCTTTTCAAGTACCAATCCAATTCCCTTTTGAATGTTGATTCTGGGATTTCCTGGCAGATTGACGTTTAAATCCCTCTATGGTCTCTGCGCATCTTCCCTCTGCGATGTCCTTCCAACCACACTGATGGACTGCTGGCTTTGCTCAGCGAACACTCGCTTGCTTTTGTGCTGCTCACCAGCGGGCAGGTTTCCAACCATTCTGCCCTGCTCTGGAACACATGCCCAGCAGAGTCACTCCAACTCGCTCTTCTTTACCCTTGTTCAAGGCCCTCTTTATCCTTATTTTCAGTACCTCCCTTTCCCACTACCCCCCCAGCTCGGGGTGCCCAGCTGGTATAATCGTAAATCTTTGCATTTGTTTAAAAAAACATAGTCTAAGGCTATGGTTTTAATCTTTTCCATCCACCTGTCATTCGCAGACCTCCATTGAGGAGGTTCCCACAGCCATTGCACCTTTCCAGGGCCGAGTTCTGGTGGGCTTGGGTAAACTTCTGCGCATCTACGATCTAGGAAAGAAGAAGCTTCTAAGAAAATGTGAAAATAAGGTAAGTTTGCTAATAGTTATGGACAACCCCAAAGATTTTGATGGTTGGAAGTAAAAAATAGTTTTGTGTACTCTGTGCAACAGGGGAGTTGAGTTGAAAGGAACCTATTTGACTAAGCACTGACCATATCCAGACTGAGTCAGCAATAACAACAATGTAAATGCAGCAAACTGGGTATTGGGTTGTTTTGGCAGATTAGTAAAGTTAAATGTAGCTGATATCCTGCTTAAACTGTAGAGTGCTTTGGTCTGACTGGAGTACATAGTATAGTTCTAGTTACTGTAAGGAGAGAGCAATGTGGGGTTATTGGGTTGAGGAACAATTAAAATTTCACAATGTGTCTGAAAGAGGTACCACCACTTTGATTTGCGTCTGATTTGAAACTTCCTGTAGTTTTTTTCTCTGTCTCTCTCCCTGGTTTGGGGAAAAGATCTTCGGATAGAATCCTGACCGCTGAGTTTGAATTTGAGGGTGGGGAACAGAGAGTGAGAGACATGAAGCCCAATTGTTCTTTAAGGACCGCAGAAAGCCTAGAGCACTCCCTGAAGTGAAGGGTGAAATATTAAGCCACGAGGGAGATTGGATCTTGATTACAAATTGTCGGAGCTGTGTAATGAGTTTTTCTGTCTGACTCTTGCTTCAGCACATTCCAAATTACATTGTGGCTATTCACACCATTGGGCACCGAGTGGTTGTCTCAGACGTACAAGAAAGCTTCTTCTGGATCCGTTACAAACGGAACGAGAACCAGCTGATCATCTTTGCCGATGACACGCTGCCGCGCTGGATCACCACAGCCAGCCTGCTGGATTACGAGACCATGGCCGGCGCCGATAAATTTGGAAACATCAGCGTGGTGAGTGCTGCTGATTGGTTTTACCTGTCCTTGGCATTGGGGGCAGCTCACTCTGGCCTCTCGACTGAATAGTGGGTTTTGATTCCAGTCGACCTGGATACTAATAATAATCCTGGCATTTGATTCAGCGCTTATTCGCGTCTCAAAGCGTTTCACAGAACATACTGTAAAATGTGGTGCTGTTTTATTTTGTGGGTGAAACGCGGCAGCCATTTGCGCAGTCGTGGATTGATGTATCAACTCTGTTCTTGGGGCGTCCTCCCCATGTGAAAGGTGCTATATAAATGCAATTTATTGTTCTTGTTTAAGCATGCTTTTGCATCTTGTTCTCTGAATACTGATTTAATTGGAGAAATGTTGTTTGTTGCTGTTGGTTTAAAAGCTTTTTATCGCACTGAAATCTCCCATTGAATACGTGAACGAGCATGAACTATGTCTAACTGAGGCTGCTCTTTGACTGTTACAGGTGAGGTTGCCACCAAACACCAGTGATGATGTTGATGAGGATCCTACAGGGAACAAAGCCTTGTGGGACAGAGGTCTGCTTAATGGAGCTTCACAAAAGGTAATCAATCTTTTCAACGGTTTCCTCCCATCACTGAAATTATCTGACTCCTGTTTCCTTGGCATCTAGTTCCACTGAAGCCAGTTTCCCTCCACAATTTGAGCCTTGATTCTGAACAATAATTTGCTTTACACAGTTGAGAGCAATAACTAGGTGTCTCTGCTAATCTAGACAGTACAGAAATGCAAATTTACATTTATAGAAAACTTTTCACATTGGGAGGATATCCCAAGGCATTGGATAGTTCAGGGTTTGCACCCGAGCTGGAAGTGTGTGTGGGGTTGGTGGGGGGAATGGCTGAAAGCACGGTCAAAGAGAATGTTTTTTTAGGCAGACCTTGAAGGACTGAGCTGAAGCAAAGCCCACTTGCCGATGGTGGGGGTAAGGAGGCCGTTGCCTGCTGGACAGAGGGAGTGGCTGGATTGATAGGGTTTGAGGAGATCGCAGAGGCAGGGTGGGGCAAGACTGTGGAGGGATTTAAAGATTAGGATGAGGATCTTGAACACTGGGGAATGGAGAGCCAGTGAGGCCAGGTGAGGGTGGGTTGCTAGTGCAAGAAAGGCCATGAACTACTGAATCCTCGATGGTCTGCAGCTTGTGAGGGAAATAAATGGGTAGAGAGCTGGCACAATGTAGCCTGGACTTGAAACATGTATCATGGGCTTGTTGGCAGCCTGTCTAAGTAAAGGATTGATGAGAAGTGGTAGATAGAATCTCCATTCTAATTCTTTTCTCTCTTTCTCTCTCTCTTCAGGCCGAGGTCATTGTTAATTACCATGTGGGTGAGTCGGTGCTCTCACTGCAGAAGACGACACTAATCCCTGGTGGCTCTGAATCTCTGGTGTATACAACACTGTCCGGGGGCATCGGGATCCTGGTCCCATTCACATCACACGAGGTGAGATGTCAGACCTGGTTATACAGGCCAGATTTGTGATATTGAGATCCTATCAGGAGGGATTGACAGCTGTTAATTTGCTTTATTCTTGCTCAGCAATTTAGTGACCAGGGTAAGGTAACATTTGTTAATAATTCGACAGGTGGTGATAAGAGTTTAGTATTTATTGCATAACACAAAATGTAATGTTTAACAATCTAATCAAATTATACTACACAATAACAACGCAACACATCTACACAGCAGGCACTCGGGGGTTGCTCAGTATCCAGACGAACAACACCCGTCAAAATACACAGCAGAGATCAGCCCCTGGAAATCCCTGAGGGACAACTGATTCTGTAACAAACAGACTGGTGTCTGGTAAACCCTCGGACTCGGCAGTATGTATCTGGGTCTCACTTCGTACCCCGGACGAATGGCACCCAAGATTATACTTTAACGAACCTCTGCACAGAGATCAGCCTCTGGAATTACCCTCAGATGCAACCGACTCTTGTGATATCAACAATAAACTGGGACCTCGGATGCAACCAGTCATACACAGCAACAGTAGTACTGGAACACAAGAAATAGCATCAGGAATAGGCCATTCGGCCCCTCGAGCCTGCCCCGCCATTTAATAAGATCATGGCTGATCTTCTAAGCTAATTCCATTAACTCGCCCTATCCCCATATTCTTTTAAGAATCTATCAATCTCAGACTTGAATATGTTACTGACGATACAGTGACGACAACACATCCAGGCACTGTTTTGTACTCCAGACTAAACAGTAGACCTGGGTTCACACCTTGACATACACTGGAGAGATCACAGAACTATCACACACAATCACAGAGAGTGGCTCCTGGAAACCCAACAGAAACAATCAGCTCTTAGCCCAGGACCTCACTCGTGCTGACAACCACTACTCCTCTTTCACTTTTAATGGTCACTTTCTTACTGGAGATAAATCCTTCACCCCTGTACATAGATAATAGAATCGATATTGATTCTACTGGGACGTGTGCTGATCCCCTACAACAACTATTCCAAAGTTGCATCTTTTATATATTTCTAACTCCACCTCCCCTGGTCACAGAGATAGCCCCCACCCTTCGCAGCTGCTTTGCATATGGACAATTTCCGGGCAGCCCTCCACAGCTGCTTGTTTCTCAGCCTTGCGATAGGCAGGGGTCTGGGGCTGTAGCCTTTTCTTTCTGTGGTCCATTGTTCTTACATCTAAGCGCTAGGCACCGATTGCTTATTATCTTAGAGGAGTGAACATCTTCCCAGGAAAATATGAAATATAATCGGAAGCTGACCTCAACCCATCCAGCAAAGCTACTTTTAACCATTTAACTAGCAAACTTTCTGGAACATTCGGTTGCCGTTTGAAATATACCAATGTACCCTGAGGTGATGGTCGGTATATTTCAACACATTTGTTGCTCATCCCAAGTTGCTCAGAGAGGATTTTCTTTTGGGGCATTGGGCAGGAGAGATCGGTGTCAGTTGGTTGTCTGACACATACGGAAACCCATCACGGTGATTAAGAGTATTCAAACAAAAGTGAGATTTCCAAGCATCCCATCTTCACATGTGGAAATCCCAGAGATAGATTGCTGGAATGGAATGCCCATTCTCTCTCTCACTGGAGGGACACATCCTGCTTATCTAATTTTGGAAAGGATGAGGCGCAGGTTGGCAAGAGCCAAGGCTTGGGGACCCCAGAGTGTGCGTTGTGGTAACTGCTGGAGTTCTAACCAGCTAAAACTACATAGCTTGCCATTGATATTCCTATCTGGCAAGCTTTCCTGCTGCGTGTCCAGCTAGGACCACCCTATCCATAAGGTCTTTGGCTGCAGGATTAGGATTAACAGAAGCTGAATGGGATAATTCCCTGCCCCCAGTGACTGGTCGGCCCTTCCAAGTCCTGCTGATAAGACAGCCTGGGCTGCGCTGTCATCAGCAGTGAGTGCTCTGGAATACTGCGGACCCACCTGGCTCAGGAACCAGACTAGAGACTGCCATAGAGGGCTGGCTTGATTCCGACATTTTGTTGCCAAGCATGTCACCTTGGGGCCAGTTCAGCTTCAAGGAGACCCCACTTAGAGAGGCAGGTGGGACCTTCTTTTTCAACCATTGATCTGTGCTTGTATTCCTTCTCAGTACAATCTGCAGAATGAAAGGTGACTTGCAGGCCATTTAATGTCCTGTCAGCATCCAAGGCTGCACTGTCCACCTCTCAAAGCCATCAGGAACCTCGGTGTTCTGTTCGACCCTGAGCTGTCCTTTCTCCCTCATATCCGCACCACAACTGGTACCGCCTTCCATCACCTCCGAAATGTCGCCAGACTACGGCACTACCTCACCCCTCACGCTGCTGAAACTCTGGTCCACGCCTTTGTCACCTCAAGGCTGGACTATGGGAACTCTCTCCTCGCCGGCCTTCCCGGCCCTCTCTCCACACTGCAGGTCATTCAGAACTCTGCAGCTCGTGTACTGTCCCGCACCAGACACCGCGACCACATCACTCCCACCCTCGCTCGCCTCCACTGGCTCCCCATCCCCCAGAGGATCGAATTCAAGATCCTCATCCTCACCTACGAGGCCATTCACGGCCTCGCTCCCTCGTACCTCTCCAACCTACTATCCTCCTACTTACCTGCCCGTAGCCTCCGTTCCTCTGGCTCCGGTCTGCTCCACATCCCCCGCCCCAACCGCCCTACCATCGGTGGCCTTCAGCCTCTCAGCCCTGAGGCTCTGGAACTCCATCCCCCAGTGCCTTCGCCGCCTCCTCCCTTTCCTCCTTCAAGGCCGGTCTCAAGACCTTTCTCTTCAACAGTGCCTTCAGCTCCCCTCTCGACTCTCTACCCCCTCCTCGCTCCCTCCCTTCCCTCCCCTCACCCTGACCATTTCCCCCAATGCTCCAGCGCTTTGGGACGTCCTCCTGACGTGAAAGGCGCTCTATAAATGGAATCTTGTTGTTGTTGTTACTGTTTAATGTTACTCTGCTAACTAGTGTTGTTTGATCATTTGATGCATTACATTTTATAATGCATTAATTGGAAACTTACGTGAATCTTCCAGACTGAATGTGGTTTCGGTGCATGTCGCATATTTCCGGGATACTACCAATAATAATAATCTTTGCATTTACTATAATGCCTTATCACGTCTTGATACGTCTCAAAGCACCTCACAGAATATACTGTATCTTATCTATATCTGGTTCCAATCGCTCCCAACTTGCAGGCTTAAACTAGGGACAACTTGGACAACAATAACAACAAATTACATTTGTATAGAGCCTTTCATGTCAGGAGGATGTTCCAAGGCACTGGACAACTCTGAGTGTCCCTTTACAACAGAAATGCCCACAACACACACCCTCACACCACTTTGCAATATATGCTGTGAAGCATTTTGAGACGTCTCAAGAACATGACAAGGCGCTATATCAAATGCAAGGTTCAATATTTATTTACAAATGCTATACATTTCAGTGCCTTTTATGTAAAACAAATGTCAACTTAACAGAATTAAATTAATCAGAAATGAAGAGAATGTTATGGAGACACAATGAGCTGGCAGCTGAAGAATAAATCATTTTCATTGTTTTGCTTTCAAGCCAAATGGCCCTGGGGAGTAATTTCTGCTTATTATTCTCTGGGTTTTTCAACAAACAAATCGTTGTTTATCTCTCAGAAAAGGCTTTGGCTCCCAGGTAAGGTGTTGTTAGGTTGCGCTCAGCGAGTGTTGAGTGTTTAACCAGTGTTTAACCTGTTTTCTCCAGGACCACGACTTCTTCCAACATCTGGAGATGCACATGAGATCAGAGCATCCTCCTCTCTGCGGTCGAGACCACCTTAGTTTCCGCTGCTACTACTTCCCCGTCAAGGTAGGTCCTTTTTCCAATCGCATCTTAAAAACAAAATGAATTTTGAGCTAAAACTTTTTTTTTAAAAAGGCAAAATACTGCAGATGCTGGAAATCTGAAATAAAAACAGAAGTCGCTAGGAACACTCAGCAGGTCAGGCAGGATCTATGAAGAGGAAAATTAGTTAATGTTTCAGGTTAATGACCTTTCCTCTGAACTGAGGGATGTTGGAAGGGAGCAGATTTTAAGGACCTTGTCCCTTCCACTCCCTGCTCCCTTCCAACATTCCCTAGTTCGACCTGAAATGTTAACTTATTATTTACTTAATTTATAAAGTGCTCACAAAAATAGCATCCGACCAGAGGATACAAGGAAAGTCTACTCTGTTCCACAAAATTCAAATAGTTTGATCCGTAACAGCAAAGCACACGTGGTGGTTCATTTCATAGAATTATACAGCACAGAAGGAGGCCATTCGGCCCATTGTGCCCGTGCCAGCACTTTGAAAAGAACTATCCAAGTTAATCCCACTCCCCTGCGCTCTCCCCATAGTTCTGCAAATTTGTCCTTTCCAAATAATTATCTACTTCTCTCTTAAAAGTTGTTATTGAATTGGCTTCCACCAGCCTTTCAGGCAATGCATTCCAGATCCCAACAACTCGCTGTGCAAAGATATTTCTCCTCACCGCCCCTGTTTTGGAAAATCTGTGTCCTCGGGTTACCGACCCACCCACTAATGGAAAGTTTCTCCCTGTTCACCCTATTGAATCCTCTCATAATTTTGCATACCTCTGTTACATCTCCTCTTAACCTTCTCTGCTCCAAGGAGAATAATCCCGGCTTCTCTCGCCTATCCTGATAACTGAAGTCCCTCATTCCTGGTAAATCTCCTTTGCACCCTCTCCAATGCCTTGACATCCTTCCTAAAGTGTGGGGCCCAGAACTGAACACAGTCTCTCGCTGAGGCCTCACCAGTGTTTTATATAAAGGTTCATCATAACTTCCTGACTTGTGTACTCTATGCCCTATTTATAAAGCCCAGTATCCCGTATGCTTTTTTAACAGCTTTATCTACCTGTCCGGCCACCTTCAAAGATTTGCTTATATGACCCCCAGGTCTCTCTGTTCCTTCACCCCCTTTAAGATTCTAACATCAGCTTATATTGCCTCTCCTCATTCTTCTTCACAAAATGCAGTTCTCTGCATTAAATTTCATCTGCTATGTGTTTCCCCATTTCACCAGTCTGTCTATGTCCTCTTACTATCCTCCTCACAATTTATTACTTTTCCTAGCTTAGTATCATCTACAGACTTGGAAATTGTGCTCCCTACAACAACAACTTGCACTTACATAACTTATATAGCCGATATATAACATATGTATGTGTATATATATATATATATATGTGTGTATATATACCCGAGTCCAGGTATTTATATAGATTAAAAAGAGCAGTGGTCCTAATACCGACCCCTGGGGGACACCATTGTATACTTCCCTCCATTCTGAAAAGCAACCGTTCACCACCACCACTCTGCTTTCTGTTTCCCAGCCAGTCTAAACTGGCTTAGGCTGTTTGCTCTAAACTCTTTGCTCATACAAAAGATCGTCACGCTTCTTTACAGCTGTGAAGCGCATTGAGATGATATGATGAAATCTCAAAGATAAATACTGACACATCCAACACGGTTGAATTATATTTAATTCTTCATTACAGACATCAAGACACTACCCCACGTGAAATGTAAAATGCAAGTTGTTGTTGACTCCATTACCTAGCCCAACAACCATTAAGATCACTGGCCTGGGGGTTCCCAGGATTAGCTCCATCTCCCTTTATCCTCAAAAATAAAACACTTCAGTATGAATTGCTTTATCACATTGCCAGCACTCACTCACCACCTTACTTACCTCAGTGTGAAACTAAAGATTCATAGTACACAATCTGATATAATTAACTGATTTTGCAACAACTTCAAGCAAGAGACCTGGGTTTGATTCCAGTGCAGGCAGGGTGAAACGTTGGGCAAATTTCTTACTCCGCATGCCTTAGCAGTAAGTAGGAACCCGGTTGTTAGTCGATTGGGGGATTGCTTTTCTGGGGGCAATTATAGCTTCCAAAAAATTAATTTGGTCACTCAATTGCCGACTGTTTGTGGGATGTTGCTGTACGCAATTGGTTGCCGTGTTTCGCCCACAAAATATACAATCGATTCACTTTACACACCTGTCACTGTACAACATATTGACTACATTTATATCTGTTATTTTGAAGTCCTAACAAAATCATAAGCTGAGCTGTGTCCTGACAATACAAGACAATACTCTTGTCCAAAACAATTGAGAACACAGTAAATTATTTTACTTTCTCACAAAACTGACCCTCTAGATCAGTGGACAAATCCTCAATTCCACATTCAGTTGTGTGTCTTGACAAAGGAATTTGTTCAAGTTCGCTGGCTTTTACTGGGCAAATTATTTGGTGTACCCCTTCAAAACGTATTTTAACAATTCTCCTTCAGAAAACGTTCCTGAATGTTTGATTATTAACTCTGTTCTGACATAACCCGTGTTATACATTTTCTTGTGTGTCGTGTTTTATGCGGGAGTGTTGAGAGTTAGGGAGGTTTACCAGTCAATAATTAGCTCTCTAATTATTTCCAAAATACCGTGCAAAATAGGCTTATTTAGATTATCATGATTTTATAAGTACGTTTGCTGAACGTTTTTGCACACCGCTTGACTTTGGCAGGCCAGTTGAAAAAGCCTTTGGGTTATATTGTGGCCGGCACTTTTCTACATTGGAATCGAGCATGTGTTATAGTCTCAGTAGTTTGGTTCCTAGTCCAGACAAGTCCACAGGACTGCGGACGGCAGGGATTCCATTGCGAGGAATGTTTTGGGAGTTCAGTGTTTCACTTTACCCAAACATTGGTACCTAAGTGAGCTGAGCTGCCGATTGTTGCCTTTGCCCTGCTTGTCGGGCTTCCCAACTCCTCCCTCCACAGCTGCAGATAATCCAGAACTCTGCAGCCCGTGTCCTCTCCCGCACCAAACTCCGTGACCCCATCTCCCTTGTTCTCGCCCGACTCCATTGGCTCCCTATCCTTCAGAGGATCCAGTTCAAGATCCTGGTCCTCACCTACAAAGCCCTCCATGGCCTCACCCCACCCCACCTCTGCCACCTCCTAACCCCCTACCAACCCGCCCACTCCCTCCGCTCAGCCGGCTCTGGCTGCTCCACATCCCCCACCCACCCGCCCCACCATTGGCGGGAGAGCCTTCAGCCACTCTGCCCCCAACCTCTGGAACTCCATTCAATCACTCCGCCTCACCCCCTCCTTAGCCTCCTTCAAGTCCCGCCTCAAAACCCTCCTCTTCGACCATGTCATCAGCCATCCCCCTACCCCTCCCCTCCCTTCTCCCTCCCCTGACACCAGCTCGGGTCTGAAATGCTGTCACTGTCCAGCGCCTTGGGACGTCCTCCCGACATGAAAGGCGTTATACAAATGTAATCTCATTGTTTGCCTAGAGATGAAGCTCAGATACTGCCTATTCCAGGATCTTTTATCAAGGTTCAATTTTGTTATGTGTTATGGCAACTGTCAGAAGTGCAGCTTTACTACAGGACTTGTAAATATTGCGCTGTAAATATATCCATAGCCCAGCTAATGCTGCATTTTTTTCGCTCTTATAGAATGTAATTGACGGCGATCTTTGTGAACAGTTCAACTCCATGGATCCCATCAAACAGAAGAGTGTGGCGGAGGAGCTGGACAGAACCCCAGCTGAGGTGTCCAAAAAACTGGAAGATATCCGAACACGCTATGCATTCTAATCACCATCCGCTGCCCAGCGCGCTCACCTCAATTTGATGGTTGTCTGCGTTTAATCGGTTTAAGTCACAGAGTGTCCAGTCAGAGAGACCCGTGATCCATCATTCACTCAACCAGTTATTTTCATGGTTGAAAAGGACTGGAATGTCTCTTGTAAATATAGTTTTGTACATTGAACTGTTTAAAAGCTTTTGTGGGGTGGGTGGGTGGGGGGAGAGACAGTTTTGCCACACGCTTTGGGGGACATGAAGTGTGAATATCTACCTGTCATTTTTTTAAACAGTTGCTTTTCCAGTTGAATAGAGCAAAATAATAAAAGTCCTTGTTTTATTAAAAGCTGTTTTCTTGGTTCTACTTGAAGGCCAGGTTTGACACCCTGCTCGGCAGGACTCCATAACTCGAGGCCTCTCCACACTAGGTTTGACACCGTGCTCGACAGGACTCCATAACTCGAGGCCTCTCCCACACCAGGTTTGACACCCTGCTCGACAGGACTCCATAACTCGAGGCCTCTCCCACACCAGGTTTGACACCCTGCTCGGCAGGACTCCGTAACTCGAGGCCTCTCCCACACCAGGTTTGACACCCTGCTCGACAGGACTCCGTAACTCAAGGCCTCTCCCACACCAGGTTCTGGGGGGTGAGCGCTGCATTGTCGGAGGTGCTGTCCCTTGGATGAGAATTTAAACTCGAGGTCCCATCTGCCTGTTCAGGTGTATATTAAAGGTACATCAGGTCCTGTGAACTGTTAGCTCCATCCTGGCTCTGCTCCACTGGATCCCTATCCCCAGAGGACTGAGATCCTCTCATTCAAATCCCTCAATGGCTTTCACCCTACAACTGACGTTTAACCCTACTGTCCTGGCCTTCGCTACTCAGCAAAGCTTTACGTTGGGACTATGAAATTGTGTAGTCCAGGCTGACATTGTTGGGGGTCCCGTTCTTCAGAGGAGACGTTAAACCATCTGCCTGTTCAGTGTCCCGCGGTGCCTTTTGAAAAGAGAAAGTAGTTTCTCTCCCAGTGTCCTGGCCAACAATCCCCCAAAATAAAATTAGTCATTCGCCTCATCAGTTTATTGGGCATTGCTCTGCAGTTTGGTTACCTTGTTCACCTACATAATACAGTTGCCTTACAGTAAATACCTGTGAAGCAGTTGGATGTGCACTCCTCACATGAAAGGGGCTATTATCAAAAGCATCTTCAGCCTGATCTGATAAATTGGCCAGGAATGTGTGGGTTAACTTGCATCAATGCAATTTTTTTAAAAAACAATATAGAAGCATAGTTGAGGTATGAGGAAAGGTTAATAAGATTACTGAACTTTCATGTAGACGTCCTCATACCTTGTAAGAACATTTGAGGCGTAAACAATAGAAATTAGCAACTTTCTCACTGTTGATCATTCCCCAAACTGCATGTTTTGATTCAGACACTCGTAATCCAAAGAACCAATCTGATTCAAATTGTGTTGGATGAGATTCAAATACCATGTGCTAAATTGTAAATTCATTCCCAGAACCTGGCTGTTTGCACGTTATTGCTGTGTGCAAATTGACTGTGTTCCTCCAAAATAAGACCTATTTGGAAGCACTGTTTGCACTCTGTTTACTGTGGGAAGTGCCAATTAGCAGGCAACAAGTGAAGCCCATTCCCCAGCACTGAAGCCCTATTTCCTCAGTGCCCTGTTCCCCATTATTGCTATGGAGGTTCCCCATTGTCTGCATTGCCTGGGAAAGTCTAGGTTTGAACACGTTTTGGACTCTCCAATTACTTTAGTCGCGAGTACTTCAGGGTTGACCGTCTATGAGTGCTGTTTCCAGGCCCCACCCCCCCCCAAGCTTACACCATTGGTCATTCGCAGCTTATTCAACCTAACCGGTTTACGTTGACCAGTTAACTGAAACTACTAGTTTTAACTACTAGGGTGTTCACAAGTCCTGTTTAACCCCATGTTTGTTTTCCACTGTGCACTGACACAACAACTGAATCATGTGGAAGAATGATGATAAGGAGGAGGTAACCAGAGTCTGGAGCTCAGCTGGCTCTAAGGTAATATGCCTGGTCATCTTCCTGAGCCAGGTGGGTCCAAGGAACTGCTGAAGACAGACCAGGCAGTTTGGCTCATCAGCGGGGCTTTGAGGCACAGATAATAATAATAATAATCCTTGCATTTGATATAGCGCTTTTCACGTCGGGAGGACGTCCCAAAGCGCTTCACAGAACACACTGTAAAGTGAATTGACTGTATATTTGTGGGCGAACGCGGCAGCCAATTGCGCACAGCAATGTCCCATATTAATATCTCTGCTCTATATTGAAAGTCACTAGTTGGTTCAGCATATGACTAGTGTCAGAACCTGTCTAAAAGCAGATCAGGCTTGTAAATTCATTGTGTAAAGTAATACTCACACAGATTCATATCAACATTTTAATTTATTCGTATTAATAGGCTCTATCTCTTATCTCCTTTAATCACAAATTGAATCTTAGACCTATATTGTTACAGCAGCCAAGAAACGTTATCATTATTATTATTTCCCCTCAAGATAAACACAAGCCCATAAAGCCAAGACTCACAATATTGAAATCAAGTTAATTTTGGTCAGCCGGGTGTCTGACACACGGAAACTCACCACTATGCTCAACAGTATCCAAACTGGACTGCGTTCCATGTATGGCACCTACACATGGAAGTCTCTCTGTCGAGTGGAATGTGCTCTCCCCACAATTCTGAATTCTCTTACCAACCTAATTCTTAGAGAATTAGGCAAAGATTGGCAAGAGCCAAGCTTGGGGGGACCTCAGAGTGTGTGTTTGGGAAACTGCTGGAATCATAACCAGCTAAAATGGCATAGCTTGCCATTGAGAGCGCTGCCCAGCATGTTTTCCCACTGCTTGACCAGCTAGGACCACCGTACCCGTTAAGGCTTTGACTTGCAGGGTTCAGAGGAACTGAGTGGGAAAATTGACTGCTCTCTGTCTACATCTCCAAGACTGGCCGATGAAACTCCCTGCAGATTCCGTTCCCCAGGACTGATGCTGCTATTTGAAAAGAGAAAGGAGTTCTCTTTTCCTCTTGGTGCCCTGGCCAACAATCTCCCAGATAAAACTGGTCATTCCTTGGCAAAACACCTTCCGCTTTTGTAGGCCCCAGCGACATGTCTCACAGCTGGCTTATAAACCAGCCAAGCCCAGCCCTATACACATCCCAGCAGTCTGTATCAGTGATAGAAAAAGGTCTTTCTTAAACAATTGGATGTAACACCTCTTTTCCTGGAGGTGTGCTGGAAAAGAGAAGAGAGTGGGGTAACAATCTGTTTCCCTACCTGGGCTGGGGAACAGTGAGCTGTGGTCACAGATCTCCAGGCTTGTCTGTTAGCTCCTTCTTTGTGAATGATCCAGGCAGCTCACACTTGGCCCCTGTCCCAAGCAGGAATGAGTCAGAACATCAGCAAAACCACATTCAAGAGAAACTCATATCTAAGAGACATCACTGTCATTCACTCCAACCCACATCCAACAGGTCTCATAGCTTCCCTGTCCGAAGGGAGGAAGGGGAGGGAAGGGAGAGGACACCACACTCACTAAAGGCCCCAAGTGCAGTCTGGTCTTAAACCTGTGAGACTATTTTAACTCAAAATGATTTGAATAATAATAATCCTTGCATTTGATAATGGGACCTTATCATGTTGAGACAACCCAAAGCGCTTCACTGAATAGACTGTAAAGTGAACCGACTGTATATTTTGTGGGCGAAACATGGCAACCAATCGTAGCTCTTTATTTGTTTTTTTTAAGGGATTATTACGCCCAGAAAAGCTGATCGACTAGCAACAGGGTTCCGACTTACTGCTGGGTAAACAAAGGCATGTGGAGTAAGGAAACTTGCCCAATGTTTTGCCCTGCCTGAGAATCAAACCCAGGTCCACTCACTTGCGAGGTGAGTGCTCTAACCACTGAGCTACAGGACTCCATTCTAATAATAATCCTTGCTTTTTTCAAGTCAGGAAGGTGAGGTAGATATCTCAAAGGGCTTCTCAGGATTCACTGTGAAGTGTAGTGACTACATGTTTTGTAGGCGAATACCGCAGCTAATTTGCACTCAGCAATATCCCACAAACAGACATGAAGGTGAACGACCAATCGTTGGCACGGGTAGAAATGACATGAAGGCGTTTGATGAAAGAGCGAGGGTTTGGGATCCAAAAGCTGTCAAGATTTACTGAAGTGGTGAAACTGGTGCAACAAGCTCAGTGGGTTGATGTTTCTGTTTCCGTGTTTCTATATATCAGACCTAATCATTTCCTTTTCTCAATGTCGTCTCTCTCTATCCGAGCCAGGTATGTGTCTCTCTCTCATCTCTCTCTATCCGAGCCAGGTATGTGTCTCTCTCTCATCTCTCTCTATCTGAGCCAGGTATGTGTCTCTCTGTCATCTCTCTCTATCCGAGCCAGGTATTGTGTCACATTTACATATCCCCACCTCTGTAGCTGACTCCTTTCAAAGGTATTTATCTAATCCATTTTTGAAGGCCTATGTGGATTCTGCCACAACCACTGCTCCCTAAATGGCGTCCCACATCCTAACCACTCTGTGTGTGAAAACTTTCGCCTAACCTCCCCGTTTGCTTGATCGCTCATAAATTGCTGTTCTCTATGTTACTGACTCACTATAATAATAATCCTTGCATTTGATATAGCACTTTTTACGTCGGGAGGACGTCCCAAAGCGCTTCACAGAACACACTGTAAAGTGAATTGACTGTATATTTGTGGGCGAACGCGGCAGCCAATTGCGCACAGCAATGTCCCACAAACAGTCGTGGATTGAAGTGACCAATTTATTATTGTTTATGGTTTTGGAGGGATTATTATTAGGCTCTGTGTGGAGTAAGGAAACTTGCCCAAGGTTTCGCCCTCTGCCGGGAATTGAACTCAGGTCTCTCACTTGCAAAGCGAGTGCTCTAACCACTGAGCTACAGGACTCCAAATAATAATAATAATAATAATAATGACTGACTAGTGACCTCAGGTAATCTCTGAATCCTGCAATGATGTGCAGAAAACCTGGTCGCTGCCAATTGATGTAACCGACTGTGCTTGTTATAATGTAATATGATAACAATCTTTATATTTAATACAGAATTTTATCACGATGTTACCCAAAGTGTTTCACAGGATATACTATAAAGTGTGGTATGATACAGTCACTCCACTTTACAATATATTCTGTGAAGCGTTTGAGACGTCTTGACGTTGTGATAAGGAGCTATATTAAATGCAAGGTTATTATTATTATTTTGTTATTAAAGTTTAAAACCCTTGTCCTCATGTTT